CCGTCTGCCCACACGCCCATCCTGGGAGCCCCCAAGCAGCTTGCACGCCTGGTGCGGGGCCAGGTGGCATCAGGGTCCCTCCCTGCTGCTGGAACTGGGCTGGGGCTTAGCGTCCGGGTGGCGGGAGGCAGCTAGTCAGGGGCCTTGAGTGGCAGATTCCCTCCAGGTGGCCTGGGAGGCACTGCTGCCTACAACCCTGGGAGGCGACGGGAGCCGAGCGTTCAGTCCTTCCCACCCCGGGCGTCTAGTCCTTTCCACCCCAGGCAACCCCCCCCAAGCCAACCGGGTACCTTACTGATCTGGCTGTTGCCTTAATCAGTAATTTATGAGCATTTCCCGTGCTGGGAATGTCAGTGTGAAATGTAGGAACACAGTCTCAGACCACCTCAGACCAGTCAGCACCCAGCACAGCGGCCCTCTGGGCTGTTACTGTAACAGGCACGGGAGGTCTCCTCCAGGACCGCCTGAGTCCAGCCTGGCAGGAGGCGCCAGCACTTGCTGGCATCTGGTCTTGGCCACTCAGGCCTCCACTGGGCCCCCAGAAGCCTCACGCATCTTTGCCCCCATACCTGCTGTTTTTCTCAGAAATGACAGGCTGGTCTAGTTGCTCCTGCGCTGGGGCAGTGAGTATCAGGCAGGAGCACGGAGTGCTGGCCTGGGATCCCACGGCAGGCACAGGGCAGTGGTGAGCTCTCGGAGAGGCCGGTGGAGGCGCCTGGAGGAGGGCCAGCAGCCGGCAGGGTGGCCTGGAGAGATGGAGTGTAGACGCCTTCCCCGTGGAGGGACCTGGACCTGAGGGTCAGGGTGCTGGCTCCCCTCGGGAGAAGGTGACCCGTTCTCTTCGGCCTCTCTTACCACGAGTCTGCCGGGACCTCCCAGCTCAGCTCTCTCCTCTGTAGAATGTGAGCACCCGCCCCCTCCCAGGTTGCTCTGTGTTAACAGTGATAAGGACCAGGGGCATTTCCCAGAAGGCCCAGCTCCTGGCGCCTGCCACGCTGGGCCTGCTGGGGCTCCGCTCCCTGGCAGGCTTGTGGCCTTGGGGGACGGGCAGTGGCAGACGGGTCAGGATCTCAATGTTGAGGCGACCATCTGATGGCCCACTCCCACATGCACAGGTGGACTGTTCTGTGCAGCCCTGTGGGGATGTCCAGAGGCCACACAGACTGTGCAGCCAGACTGCAGCTCTGAGTTTTCTGGGCCAGAGGGTGTCTGACAAGATGTGATTGCCTCCTGCACGAGTCTCAGCCCCCTGGGACGCTTGGTTCATCATCACGATTTCCCACATTATTCTCACGGCTGCCGTGGCACTCTCCCGAGGTCACGCGCCAGCTCCACCAAGGATGCCCTGTGAGCTGAGGCCTCCTGGTGATGGGGGGGTGGGGGTGGGGAGGTGGGCTGGGAAGGGAAGGTGTGGGCTGGGTTCCAGGTACTTGCCCTGAGAGCGGGCAGCTCACCCACCATGCGGCTTCTCTGCAAGCTACCCTGGCCCCCTGGCCCCAAAGGCACTGGGACTGGGGTGTGTGTTAGGAGCAGGGCTGCTCCCGGCCCGGGGGCATCTGGGCGAACGCAGTGTGTTGCAGTGTGTTGCCATTGACGGTTGGTCACAGTGACTCAGGACTCTCCCAGGACCTGTCTTCTGCTCTCCTCACTGGGGGCAGTTTTGGGGCTGTTTTACACAAAGCCCTGGCCTAGGGAAGGACTGCATTTTACCTGAAATCTCACTGGGAGATTTCCTAGCACTTTCCTGAGATGTTGGAAATGCCTACCAGGCTGCTCACTGCGCTCAAATGGGAAAGAAGGCTCAAGCCAGGCCCACAGGCAGTGCAGACCATCATTGTATTTTTAGGAAGAAAGTGTCCAAACATTGCCTAACACTTGGCTTTGGATTTTGTGGCAGCTGTGCAAGAAGCCTTAGGCTTTCTCTGCCCACTTCTGTCCCTGTGCAGCCAGCACTGTGCTTTAGGACGGTCCCTCTCTCTCGTCCCCCCTGCCCACCTTTGCCCTGTGAGCCCGTGGCTGCCCTCTCCTGTGACCCACGGGACTGAGGACACAGCCCATGTACAGGCTGGATGAGACAGCACCGGGGGCCCTTGTTTCAAAACAGGACCATCTGTGGCACGGTTATAGTGGCTGGCAGGGCGCCAGGAAACCACAGATGTTTTGCATGAGTCTCGCTGGAAACAAGGCCCCTGGAGGGCTGTCCAAGCTTCAGGAGCGGAGCCCCTTGCCTTTTCCTTGAGGGGTGTGGGTGGCTCCTAGAGGAGCCCTGAGATGGAATGAGGAACTCTGAGCTGTGACAGATGGTGGGGAGTTCTACTGGGGCCGCTGGGCTGAGTGGAGGAAAGTGCTCCCTGAGCACTGGGCTCCCTCTGGTCAGTGACCCTGGGCAAGCCAGCAGCCCTCGGAAAGGACTGGTGTGGGCACCCGAGGCCATGGGCTGTGCGGGAGGCTTGTGTTGGCGTCTCGACCCTGGTGAAATAGAGTTCAGACGTCTCCCGCTCGTGGTCAGTTGGCTGCATTGAGATGACCTACTTTCATAGCTCTGGCCTGCTTTGGAGGGCCAGCGGTGTGAAATAAAAGTCTTCAAGAATACGTACTCTTAAAACCTTCTTTTTAAATATTTACCTGAGCCAGGAGAGCCAGTGCCGCTCCCATGGGGCAGTGTAGCAGGGCCCCTGGGCTCGCAGCCTTGCTGTCAGGGGCACGGCCCAGCCACCTTGGCTTCGTGTCCTGGGATGGACACGCCTCGGCGTCAGAGGCGGCTGTTGGGAGCTGAATCACCTTGTTTGCCTCCGTTGTGACTTGGGAGGCGTGCACAGGTGTCTGACGCGGTGCCAGCCCTGCTGTGGTGCAGTATGATTGCGCTGAGAATGAGGCAGGCAGTCCTGCTTGTCCATAACTCAGGGAACCCCGGCCACACCGTCACACCAGCCCAAGTGTCAGCTTCAAAAATGTACCCCCGAAGGCCACGTAAAAAGTTGCCTCTGATTATTTTTCTCCCTGGTGGTGGGCACGTGTGTGTTTGCTGGCTAAGAGTCTGACTCCCCGCACGGGAGGGGCTGCTCTGGGAGGGCACGTCCATGGCCTTCTTCCGGGATCGGGAGCCCTGGGCTTGCCTGGTGGCACCCGGCCTCCCGAGCAGACCTGTGCCCAGAGCCCATAGTCAAACACAGCCAACGTCCTGCCCCAGTGACCTAGGTGAGGTGAGGCGTTCCCTGCAGAGTGGGGGTGCTGGGGAGCCCCCCAGGGCTGAGGCAGCTCCTGGTGCCAAGCACAAAGCAGGAGGGCCCTGTGAGGCTGCCCGCCTGCCTGGGAGGACCGACAGAGGGCCAGAGGACAAGGGACGGTGGCCCCCAGGCTCTGGGGTGGCGACCTGCATCTGGAGACTGAGGGCTGGCATGTGGGGCAGCCTGGCTTCCAGGGCTAAGGGCTCCACCCCACACAGAGCTGGGCTTGAGGTGAGACCCCCCGGGGCTGCCTGGAGCCACAGGGTGCTGAGGGCGGGTGGGGCAACATGGGGCTTTAGCTCCCACCCCTCTGCTGATGGGTCTGCCCCTCCCAGGGTGACCAGCAGCCTTGCCCCCAGGCTACAGTCCCTCCCTGGGTCTATTCAGTGCCTCTCACTGTTGTGGGTGCTGAACTTTGGAAGTGGTTCTGACTTCTGTGCAGCCTCCAAAAGCCCGGGGGACAGCCTGTGAGCAGTGTTCCCCTCCTGGGGCCACGCTTTGCCTGGGGTGGAGGCCTGCGTGCTCCTTGGGGCACCGGGGACTCACCCTTCTCCTTACTGGGGAGGCCTGCCCAGGGTCCGGTGTTTGGGGACCTTCACTTTACCAACATCAGTGCCCTCCACAGGCGTCTGGGTGGTGGCCACGTTTGCAGCGTGGCTTCAGTTCATCTGTGTGATTACAATATTCCTCTCTCTTCAGGGCCAGTCTGACAACTGTTTTAACAAATCTGCATGGGATCCCCCTACCCCACCCCCGACTGCCCCCATCCTGCCGACACCTCCCCCTGGAGCAGGGTGGGCTAGAAGCAGCAGGCATGGCTGGCCCAGACAGGGGCAGCTGTGGGAGGGCCTAGCCCTGCCCGGGTAGATGAGGACCTGCGTGCTGCTGCAGGCACGGGGGACAGGCCGCAGACAGCAGCTGGGGCTCCCGCTCCCCTCGGAGGGCCTCATATGCGTTGCTGGGCAGTGGGTGGGTGGGGTGGACAGGGGCCTGGGCATCAGGGTGGGACTGCAGGTCCATGGGTGCCTGAGGAGCCCCCAGTCACAAGACAGAGGGACTCCGGTTAGCCTGGTAGAGCTTCTCTGGGTGCTGGCCACCCCGCTGAGCAGGCTGCAGCGGCCAGGGCCACCCCTTGGGGATGGTCTTTCTCAGGCCTTCTGCTGGGCCTGGAGGGATGTGCACCCCGCCCCACTCTGGGGCTGCCTGGGGACTCTGCCTGCCTGCAGTCTTCACAGTCACAGCCCCTCTTATTCATCTGTCTTTCCTGCAGTGTGTCTGTGTGGCCCCTTGGGATTGTACCATGAACTCCCCGGGAGGGTGGGGGACCTGCTTCCAGGCTCTGGGTGGTCCTGAGACTCCTGGGGCTGCCGATTGGCAGGTCTTCCTGGTTCAGGGTGGCTTCTATGGGGGTTGCTGGGTGCCTGGGTTTAAGCTGAGCCCTCTGGGTACCATTTGCTCCACTCATGCTGTGTCCTGTCTGTGGGTCGCTGACCTGGCTTGGCCCACAGTGAGTGGGAAGAGGGGCCCCCGGGACTCACCTCTGCCTCGACTCAGGGCCCCCTGCGTTGCACATAAGCCTGAGTTTAGCCCCAGCCAGCAGCACGAGTGACCCTCTTCCAGGATGAAGGGGGTGGCCAGAGGTCTGCAAGGGGCTCCCTGCAGAGGTGGGTGGCCCTGGGGACTCTTCCAGCTGGGGGCTTGTTGGGGGGCATGGCCTTCCTGCCACCTCATCTGGCATCCACCTCACCTGGTGTCCTTATGTTCTTTCTGCAGTGAACTTTGACCACTTCCAGATCCTGCGGGCCATCGGGAAGGGCAGCTTTGGCAAGGTAAGGCGGAGCCACAGAGGCCATGCTGACCCTGCTCTGAGAGGCTGGCCCACCCCGGTCTGTCTTAGAGGCTGTAGGTGTGCGGCGGTGGGGGGACCGGCTGCCGGCAGCGGAGGGGGTGTGCACTGAGCTCCTGGGGCCTGAGTCTTTAGTCCAGGTCTTTGGGGGTCTTGCGGAGCTCAGCTGGGAGCAGGGGTACAGCCAGCACCAGTGCTGAGTCCGAGGGCTGACACCAACACCCCCACGTGCTCAGGATGGCCTTTCTTAGAGACGGAGCCTGGGTGTGGGCCACCCAGAGTGCAGGAGCTGCTGTGGCCCTCTCACACGGCCGCGGTGCATGGGCCAGGCCGCTCCCCCAGGGGTGCAGGGGCATGGGCAGCAGCGTCCTCGTCCGGGGCAGCCATGCCGCTCCTGGCCCCACGCGGCCTGCGTCAAGCCCCCGTCTCGCCGCCCTTTTGCTTCCTCTTGGCCAGACCTAACTTCCTGATTGCAGCTTGTACCGTCTAGAGACTGGGGGTAATTACAACTCAGAGAGGCTAATGAGGCCCTGGAAAGTCTGAAATCAGCTCTTGGGACCCTGCCTGTGGGTCTGTTGTAGATGGATTGCCTCCGAATGGACCTTTTCTTTCGAGCTATTGAGGGGGCTTGGCGGGTGAGGCCTTTGTCCCCTGCCCCGCCTGCGCAGCTGTGTGGATGCCCTGCCTGGCGTGATTGTAACAAGGGCAAATTGGCTCCTTTGCATGAATTCACTGAGAGACTCTCACGGCCTTGTCAGAGACCAGAAGGGCCCTGTACAGTGGCCTGGGCATTCCAAGGTCAGGCCCCGGCTGGACGAGGCTGGGCCCCAGCACCAGGGACGGCAGGGGCTGGGAGCATGGTCCCCCTCCTCTCCCGACCGCAGGGAGCTGTTCGGTGAGGGCAGGGACTGTTTCCGGCTGCCCGGGCTGAGGGTGGACGCCTGGCCGTGGAATTGCAGGGACCCAGCGTGGGGGCCTCCCCTCGGAGCAGTGGCCGTCGGAGTTTATCTCATGTTCTGAAGTGGGCCGAGGTGCATGAGAATGCTGGCCCCTCTCTGGGTCCCCAGGCCTTGCTTGTGGGCCATCTTCTGTGTGGCCAGGTCCCTGTGCTTGCCCCAGGACAGTGTGTGAGCGCTCGTTACCTGGCAGGGTGCTGCTGGCTGGGCCCAGCCAGGTGCCTGGTTTTGGGCCGAGCAGCGTGGGCAGATGGAGCTGGTGGACGGCTGAGAGCGGCAGGAGCGGCCAGCCCCGTGTGTCCCGAGTGGGGAGGAAGCTGCCCTGCCTGGGTGCTCGGCCCATGCGCACGGCGATGCAACCATCTGGGCTGGAGGCTGTTCTTTGCGATCAGAGGAGGTGAGGGTGCCCACGCTTACCCTGGGCCTGGGCTGCTTTGTCTGCAGTGGGAGCCCCGTGGCCCATCCCTGCTCCTTTATTAGTTTTTAATTTTGAAAAACTTAAAACCTAAGCAAAAAATAGAAGTAGAATAATGAGCCACCACCCACTGGCTCCCACTCAAGGCTCCTGTTCCGCTGTTACCCCTCCACAGCCCCTCTGCATGCTGGGTACTGGAAATGAGCTCCAGAGAGCGCATCATTTACTCATAAACACTTCACTGTGAATCTCCAAAAAATAAGGGCTCTTTCCCTAAACATAATCGCAATATTTTTTCACACCTAAAATGATTAACAACATCCAGATATCAGCAGATACCATGCCAGGCTTCATGTCTCCTGATGGTTAGGAATTTTTCATTTTGACTATGATGATTTGTTGTGATTACTCGGAGTCAGAATCCAAACGAGGCCCCCCTGGTGTGGTCGGCTGCGTCCCCGTCCCTCTTTCCCTGCAGCTTCTCTGCCGCGGGTCCAGCCAGCTGTGTGCCCTGAGCGGCTGCTGTCCGGGTTCAGCTGGCGTGTCCCCCTGCAGGCCTCCGGCGTAAGCTGGCCGTGATCTCGCCCGGCTGGACGGAGGGGGTTGACTTTGCAGCAGGGCTTGCCCTGGGGGCACCCCCCAAGTTCTCCATCAGGAGCCCGAGTCTGCACGCCTCCTGAGGCTGGTGCCACCGACAATCATTGCCAGCCGGTCACTTCCTTAGGGCTGTGGCGGTGGCTTTCCAGGGCCGTCGCTTTATTCTGATTAGCTGAAACAGGCCAAAAATACACTTCCTCCATCAAGTTTGTAGAGGATGCATTTGAGTCGCAGCTCACCTAGGAGATGCTCTTCCCCATCACCAGGCGGTTTTCAAAGGACAGGGTTGGTTCCCAAGGCCTCTGAAGGCCAGCGAGGCTGTGCTCCACTGGGAGTGTGCGTGTGTGTGAACTGTCTGTGTGGCCACGTCCACCCTGGCACTGTGCTTGTGGACACCCGGAAGGCCCTGCTGCTGGCCCCCTGGTATGGACCCCTGATGCTTCCCATGCCTGGACGGCACCCTCGCTTGCCGGTGTGACGGGGTGCTCTTGCCCTGAGGAATGAGCCCATTTCTCCGTGGGACCCATCCTTTGGTGGCATGGCAGTTAAAGACCATAGTTTGCTCAGGGCTCCTGGCCGGTCATCTTTGCAGTCCTTTGGGTGGCCAGAGCTGGGGGACCCTCAAGGAGCACCCCACAAGGTGTGTTTAAGGCCACTTGAACTGGTTCTTCTCTGGTGAGTCCCCCACCTGGATCCACATTAGCTTATGTTTTATTTTGCTGTCATTTTTAGGGATTGCCTTTTATATTAAATTTAATGATTATGTAAGATATTCAGATGGTGTTAAAATAAAAGCAGGAATAATCAGGACAGGGCAGCTTCTGCTGCTCTTCCTTCTATGTGGTGCCCTCCTTCCTCCTATAAATACCCCTTTGAAAAAGGTTTTGGCTTACATTTCCATTGATTTCTTTTTAATATATTCACACGACCTGCTTCTTACCGACAGCAGCCCAGCACTCCCACTGCCTCCACACTTTGCTTTGCTCCTTAGCGGTATTTCTGGAGACGTGCTCCGCCCGCGGATGTGGCGGTCGTGGCTCCTCACGGCAGCATAGTGCCGCTGGCAGTACAGGTGCAGGAGCTCCCGGATGCCGGGCCCGTGGCTACAGGCGAGTGGCCTAGGCAGCCTGTGCATGGCTGGCGGGCGTGGAGGTCAGGGGTCCGACGTGGGAAGCAGCTGGCCACCGTGGGGGTGTGGGTGAGGCTGACTCCCGGCTGATGCCCCAGGAGAACTGGTCCCCCGCTTCTCCTGCCCGCAGGGGCGTCATGCAGTGCTCGCGGCCCCACATCCCTGACACGGCCTCTGTGCTCACGTCTCCTTGGACTCCGGCCCCCCTGCCTCTCTCTTCCTGTATAAGGACCGTTCTGTGGCACTGGGCCCACCTTGGATGCTCCTGAGCAGTCCCCCCGTGAGCTGTGTGCCACCCAGGCCCATCTGCAGAGCCCCTCCTCTCATGGAAGTGGCATCTGCACACAGGTTCCAGGGGCTAGGACCTGGACATCGTGTCTGGTGGGCCTCAGGGTCTCCAACCTTGAGCGATCACAAGCAGTGCTGTGCCACCATGCCGCACACATAGTCCGGGGGCGCCTTTGCCGCCACATTTTCGGGTTAGCTCCTAGGAGTGGAGGACGTGGGCTGCATGAGAAATGTGTGCGTGATGGTGTGAGACGTCGCCACCCCCCCACACACACCCCCGCACAGCCCTGTGCTTGTTCCCAGCACGGCGCCTGCCACGGGGCGTGTGCCAGAGGCTTGGATTTTTGCCAGATGGCAAGAAGCGGCATCTTACTCAGCTTTACTTTGCATTCCTCCTGTAATCAGCAAGGGGGAGCATCTTTCCAAGGTCAGAGGGCCATTCGCACAGCCTTTGCCCGTTCTTCTACGGGTTGGTGGCCTTCTTCATTGTAGAGACTCATCTCTGAGATGTATTATCCTCTTATCTCTGACATTAACTGCAAATACCTTCCCAGTTAGTCTCTCAACTTTGCGTGCTTTTTCTTTGTAAAATTATTTTTCATTTTCGTGTGGTCACGTCTCCCCACCCTTTTCCTCGCTGCTCTGGGTGCCATGTCGCAGGAACGTGGTCCCCCCTGTGGCCGAGGGCTCCATCACGCGTCTCCATCGCCTCACCTTCCACGGGTCACATTGAGGCTCTTCCGTATCTGCAGTGCACTCCGGCTACAGGGTCACGAGTAGATCAGATTGTGTCTTTGCTAATACAGCTGTTCAGTTATCCCAACGTGACTTATTAGAAAGTCCACTTTCCTATATATTTGAGATGCCACCTTTATGATGTACTAAATATTCTTCGGCAGTTGGGCCTATTTCTGGATTCTCTCTTCTGCTCCACGGCCCTCCTGTCTGTTCTGCTGCAGGACCCCACGCTTTATTGTGGAAGCTTTATATAATACGCTGTGACACCTGTTAGGGCTCAACACCGCTGCCTTGTCCTTCTTTTCGAGGTTTTTCTGTCTAGTTTTGCTTGATTGTCTTTCTGGATGAATTGTACAACCAATGTGTCAGCTGTGGGGGAGAAAGCCCTGGTATTTTCACTGGGACTGTGTTGAGTTTATAAAGCACCTTAGGGAGGAGTCACATATTGATGCGAAGCCTTCCCGTCTGAGACCCTGGCCTGCTTTCCATCTGCTCTGTGTGTGCGGCGTCTCTGAGGAGCGTCCTGTAGGTTTTGTGAAAGTTTTTTATTTTGCTTTTATAAAAGCATTTTCTCTCCCATTACATCTTCAAACTGGAATTTGTTTATATGTACTAAGGCCAGCAAATTTTGTATATTGATCTGATAATTTGCTATTTCACTAATTTTTCTCATGATTGCAGTAGTTTTTCCATTGCTTATTCTGATTCTGTTGAATCCAGATGCAAAACTGCCTGCAGGCAGAGATGGCTGACATCTTTCATTCCAGGTTTGGCCCTGCATCTGGGCTCTGCGTTTGCTGGCTGGAACTGGGGCTGCATGGGAACCCACCACACTCTGATCCTGTTTCCTTCTCTGCAGGATGGGGCAGCCAAGGGACCTGCCCCTGGGAGAGCTGTGTGGATTAAATGACAAATCAGTGTAGACCCCCGGGCCTGCTCCTGGCACGAGGGTACCAGTTGGAGGGCCTGGCTGTGGACAAGGAGTCCTGTGTGGCCAGCTGATGCCTGTGGCTGGCTTGTGGAGCCTCCTTGTGGGCCTCTGGGGCGGGAGTCCGGCCATACTTTCTCCTCTGCCTGGAAAGGACCTTCTCCTGGATGGCACTGGGACCCTTCTGCAAACATTTATTGAAATATTCATTATGATCTGGCAGCTCTGTTCTAGGAGCTGCGAAGCACCTGGGAACAAGGCAGATTAACTCCCTGCTCTGGGGGCCAGCACTCAGTCGGGGAGAAACAGAGCTGGGCAGGTCAGCAAATGACCGTGTGGCATGGGAGGGACATTAAAACATGCAGCTGGGAGAGGCAGGGGTGGATGAGGCTCTCTGCCAGGTGGCCAGGCAGCCTCAGGTGAGCAGAGGTCTGCTGGCCTCCTCCCCATGCATGCAGCCAGCCACAGGGTCAGGCGTGGGTCCTGATCAGTGAAGCCCACACTCGCACGGAGGTGGCGCTGTCCAGGCCTGGGCTCCCGCTCACTGCTGGGCTGCCCTTGCTGGCCGGCTTGCCACTCACGGCCTCAGGGTGGCTGCTGCACCTCCAGGTTCCAAGCCTGGCAGAGGAGCCAGAGACCCTGTGTTCTCTGCCCAGAGAAAGTCCTAAAAGTGCAGACTTCAGAACAAGTAGGAGTAACACCCTTGCTTGCCAATATCTGCTCCAGAGGTAGAGCATGTTCTGGCCGCTGCAGAGACAGGCAAAGGCCTGGTGCCCCTCCTTTCTGCTTCGGGCTGAGGAGGAACCTTGGCATAATGGCCTCGCCCTGACTCTGGTGGCCAGCGCTGGGTGGACGGTGTGTATCTGCCCACGCTGTTCCCCTGCACACCTACCCTTCCTGCCATTCTGGCTCCGTGACCAGACCCTGCAGCCAGGATCCAAGCCCTGGGCTGGGGGCGCTGGCCTGTCATCACTGCAGTCAACTCATTTCTGAGCGCACAGCATTGTGTCCTGGCTAAATGACAGCATTCGACCAGGGAAGAGCCACGGGCTGGGAAGGAGTGTGGCAGGAACATGGGCTGGCCGCCTGCAGGCCGGCTGGGCTGGGGCGCCTGCAGACCATGGGAGGCCCACTGTCTCCTCAGTAGCTGTGGCTCTGCCCGCGCACTCGGTTGTCTGTAAGCTGGCCTAATTAGCCCTTTACTTGCCCAACTTTGCTAGGCCCCCAGATGTCCCTGCAGGAAGGATGCAGAGGGTCCCCAGCATCTCTTAGGAGGTAACCCAGCTATGTGACTGTAGCAGATGCAAGAAAATAACCTCAGTGTCAGACAGGGCCACTGCCAGCTCACTGCCCTCACAGCCATCGCCTGGGGCCCCTTTGGGGGCTGCCAAACCCTTCCCATGAGTTTTGTGCATTTCTGTGCCCCAGGAGTCTCTGTAAGTATACTGGCCATGGTCCGGGTGGCCGCTGCTGAAACCCCAGCTGGCCCTCTATACCCACCTCACCCCCAGGGGATGGCAAGGCAGGTCTGGGCCAGGGATACATGCTGGGGCCATTGCTGCCCAGGGGCATGTGTGAGCTCACTCTGAGAGTGAGGGGACCCCGGATAGGGCCTTTGTAAAAAAAGAGCCACCCCAGGGGATCCTGGGCAGGGGCAGCTTCTCAGGAGGGTCCAGAGGAGAGGGGTCACCAGACGTGGTGGTCAGGAGCCTGGCGTGGCTCTGCTGTGCATTCTCTGAGCATCCTTCCGGTTCAGTGTCCAGAGCTTGGCCCCGCTCCCCATGGGCTCCCCCCAGATGCCCACTGCCCAGCTCCCCCACCCAACACCTGCAGACATGCATGGGCCGGCCACAGGGACAGAGACCCAACAGAGCAGGGCTCCAGGCCCTTGGACGTCTCCAGGAGATCCGTCTGCAGCCAGACTCTGCCTTCCCTGCGGCTGCGGAAGCTGCCCAGGTGGGAGTAGGAGGCCGCTTCCCTGCATCATGTTGAGGCTCTAAGTACCTGTTGTCATTTGCTTTCTGGGGAATAAAAATTACTTGGAAAGAAAAAGAATTTGAGGTGAATCACTAAATGTGCAGAAGATACACAGGTGTCCCGTTAAAACAGCTGTCACCCACCATCAGTCACCAGCTGTCCCGGCTGTGGCTCAGTGCCCCGTGGCAGTGGCGCTTCCCCGAGCCCCGGGCTGTTGGGCTGGGGTCAGCAGGCTTTATTTCGCGGCGCTTAGATCTGTTCCTGCCTGGAAGTCGAATGTTGGAGGAAGTAGAGACCAATTCCATTCGAGGAAATGGCTGAAGGTGGTCAGCCTGCTCCGTTTCCAAGGCATAGTCATCAGAGCCGGGCCTTCCACACCCTTTTCATGAACACTGCCCGTTTGATCTGCAGCACCTGGGGCCCCTCTGGACGGGGTCGGCCCCGAGCCCAGTGCTTCACCCACCGCTAGCTGGAGCCTCAGCGGCCCGGCAGCCCCCCCAGAGAGCGTCAGGACAGGTTGAGTTTAAGGGGGACCTGGCCCATCTCGAACAACTGCGAGTGGACCCAGCAGCCCGTGGGCCTTGAGGGCTGGTCCCAGCCTGCAGCGTGAGGCCAGGCCGGCTTGGACAGGTGCAGGCAAGGGGCTCTACCCAGCGCCAACCACTCCGCCCCTGCTGTACTCAAGGAGGCGGACCTCCATCTGCCTGCGTGGACTTGTCTGCCCCCAGCTGAGAGGGTGTGTGCGCGGGGACAGCGTGCAGGGCCAGCTGCTCGCCCTCCAGTGGACGGAGCTCTTTCTGGGCAGCATGAAGTGTCAGTCTGGAAGGGCCCTGCACTCAGCGGAAGGTGGGCTTATTTTCATTTGCCTCCTGACACTTAGAGGCCGGTAGATGGTCAACCGGGGTTTTGCTCTTCCAACGGCTTGCACGCCCTTCCTGGAGCTGGGAGGGTGTTTCTCATCCGCTGTGGGATAGAATTGCAGGACAGATGGCAGGTTTGAGGTGCAGGCCGGGCAGGACCCAAGCGTGTAGATGTCCACCACGCAGCCCTCTTCTACCTGTGGGCATCGCCTGGGGCTGGCAGTGTGGCCTGGGGTGGGTGGCCATGTGGTGGTGTTACTTTGGAAGCCGCAGCTGTGCTCGGGGAGGTCCTGGACTGGATGAGCTGGGCCGTTCGGGCTGAGAAGCTGCTAGCTGCTGTGTCCAGAACCCCGGAGCCACACCTCCCTGGGGGCTGAGGGCACTGTGTCGCCAGACGCCTCAGGGTGATGTTGCAGAAGCCAGAGCGGGGGACCGGGTCCCAGTCTGCTGTCCCCAAGTGTGGCCACTCCCTTCCACCCATGCTGATTCCAGCATCTGTCTCTCTGGGCCCATCATCTCTGTGTTAAATAGTGGAGCTTTTCGTTCTTGCTTGGTACTTTAAAAGTTGTCATGTGTCATTAAAAGTCTTCCTAAGTGTCATTTCAGTGGCCACATCTGTGTCTATAGGTCGTTAATGTTAAGGTTGTTTGAGTTTGTTAGAAGCAGTTCGTTTGATGAGATGAACCTATTTTGGAGAAAAGGATCTGCATTTTTTAGGTGCATCCCTGGGCGAGGGAATGGGGGTCCCCGGGGAATGGGCTCCTGCTTCCCTGGCCCGACTCGGTTGCTCCTGGACACGTCTGGTCAGTTCCAGGCCGCCTGCCTCTGCCTCGGTTCTGGAATCTTCCCTTTCCTCCAGCCCCTGGCGCCTGCCCTGTGAAGACTGGAGATGACTTGTGGGGACTCAGAAATGGCTCTGGGTGTCTGTCCTCTGAGGGGTGGGGCCCTGGAGCAGGTTCCACAGCCCCCCGACCAAGCACATAGCCCATTAGCTGCACCCCATTGCCAAGTGGCCTGCAGTTCTGTGCTCAGAGGGGCAGTGGGGTTTAAGAGCTGTGCAGGGACCCTGTCATCACAGGGGGCTTGAGTTGGGGAAGATGGCCCCTGGTTGAGGGAGGCAGCTCTCTGTGGCCTTCCCGGGTGCCAGGCTCTGGCTAAGGGCATCTCTGCCAGTCACCAGCAACTGTCCCAGCCAGCTGCTGTCCTGAGCCCTGGAAGGGGAACCAGGTCATGGCTGGCAAGGGGCGAGGCACCGGAGAGGCCTGGGGACCCCCGGCCTGTTGTGCTCCTGGGCAGCTCCTCACTGCTTTCTGAAGGTGCGCACGGGTGCCTGCCCTGCCAGACACTGGGAACCGGGGCGGAGGCTGGTGGGGCTCCATCCCCGGGCGGGCGTGCTGAAGCTCCCTCTGCCCCCAGGTGTGCATCGTGCAGAAGCGGGACACGGAGAAGATGTTCGCCATGAAGTACATGAGCAAGCAGCAGTGCATCGAGAGGGACGAGGTCCGCAACGTGTTCCGGGAGCTGGAGATCCTGCAGGAGATCGAGCACGTCTTCCTGGTGAACCTCTGGTGAGCCTGCTGCGGGGGCAGAGGCCCGACGCTGGGGTGGCCACCCTCGCCTGCCCTGGGCTCCCCTCCCTGGGTGCCCTCCTGCCTCTGGGACCCCCACGGCCCTCCCCACCGTCCCCGTCCAGTGTCCCGGGGCAATAGCCGTAACCACCCAGCGTTCGTCTCCCAGGCCGCAGGAGCCCGGCTTTCCCAGGAAGGGTGGCTGTGGCCCAGGGAGTTTTGCACCAAAGATGGCAGGGGAGCCCTGCTGGGGCCAGGGGCCTCCCCAGTGCAGGGCCCTCCTGATGTGGGGTCCTCCCCAACACAGGGTCCTCCTAAGGCCTCCCAGCAGCCTCCCACTGTAGGCCGGTGCTCCCCTGATGCACCTTCAGGTGGGGCATCATTCCCGAGGACGCTTGGCGGGCACGGTGCTCATGGCAGGTGGAGAGACATGTGAGAAAGGCACCCTGGGCTGACAGTGCCTCCTCGGGGAGGTTTACAACTTCTCCCCAGTCTGTCTGACCTGAGTGTCCATTAGAGGCAGCCCAACCAGCACTTGGGGACGATAGAGTGGGGACACCACCTTCTGTTGGAGAATCATCTGGTGCTGAGTCTTCCAGGGGAGTCACTCAGGGCCCCGACCCCCACCCCCAGTTAGTTACTCACCTGGGGTCACTGCAAGTGCAGGAGGGACTTCAGAATGGACGGCAGCCTGCAGCCACACCACTGCCAGTCAGTCACCTGGTCCTGCTCCATAGTTACGTGGGGGAAAGAGCCGGGTGGCATGGGGGACTGCTGTCTTACCCAGGCTGCTGCGTGGAGACGGACATGCTGACCAAGGCCTCCAGGGCTCCTAGGTGGAGGCCCGGAAGCTGCCCAGTTCTGGAGGAAGGAGCACAAGGAAAGGGCCCTGGGCCTCCGGCTCCTTACCCATCTGTATCGTGGGCCCTGGCCTCACTCCCTGCGGCCCTGCGGCCAAATGGTTGTCTAGTCCGCAGGCAGGAAGAGGGCTGCCAGGGCTGTACCACATCCCTGTGCCCTGAGGTCTTGTTATTGTGCTCCACGGTCTCATGGTTCTAAAGCGAGGGGTACCCAGGCACCAAACACCGCCTAAGCCTGCCCCCTCCACCAGACAGCTGGGGAGGGTCAGATCTCTGATCCGCAAAGGTGGTGACTGCCCCCCTGGGGTGGTGGGTCAATGGGGTGGAAATGGCCTCACCGAGGCAGCTCCTGGCTCGCAGCCTCACGGGAATGGGCTGCTGTCTGTGGTCAGCCCCCAACCACAATGCTGGCATAGGACCAGGAGCTTCTTACAGAAGGAAGACCTGGGATTTCCCTCCTTGGGGGCCTTGGCCTGCATCCTGGCCCTCCCTGCCTCTCCTAGGGGCCCAGCATGGGCACCTGGGCTGACTCCCTCCATCTGCCGCAGACGATGCCCTACCCTCCCTTTACCAGTGCCCTTGTCTGTGGAAAGGGGTGCGAGGGTCCCTGAGCCGCACTTCTCAGGCTGGCAGAAGTTTACACATGTCCACACAGCCAGAGCACACCAGTCAGGGCCGAGCAGGGGTGCAGGCTCCCTGCCTGCTCAGCTGACGTCTGCATCCCCGCAGGCTGGCCTGCCAGGGGGTGTCTCCCACCACCCCGCAGCTGGGCAGGGCAGGGCCGCTACAGCCTCGCCTCCACTGCTTGCTGGGACCCCCGGCCTGTCCTGGAGGCTCACGTGCTGAGTTCCTGTGGTCTGTGGCCCAGCCCCATGCCCTCCTCAGGCCACAACCTATACGACCCTCGTAGGGCCACCCCTCCTCCCCGAGAGTGAGGACAGGTGGCTTCTGGTGAGCAGGGAAAGGGGCATCACATGGAACATGAACTTGTCACATGGCTCTTGGAAGAGCCAGTCGATTAACAATAAGGGTTCCTTCTGAAAACTCACAAGAAATCACAGAGTAGGGGTTCCTTAGGCCATCGTACTGCCACTTTCATCGTCACCATCCTCACCACTGCCACCATCCCCACCGTGCTCACCGTCCCCACCACTGTCCTCACAATGCTGTCACCTTGCTGCAGGTTCTTAGCAGCCCAGCACTGCCCAAGCCTTGTCCCCATTTCTCCGACGACCCTCCAATGTTGGGTTTTTATCTCTCTTAAGGAGACCAGGAAGCCAAGGCAGCAACTGGGGAAATGGCCCAGAGACGGTGCTTGCTCCTCCCCCAGTGGTCACCCGGGTCTCGGCCCCCAGCTGGGCTGCCTTCCATCAGGGCCATTCTGTCTTTCTTGGGGGTCCTGGCTCAGAGACGCTCCTGGACAGGGCAGAGTCCATGCCTCAGGCACAGCCCACTTCTGGGGACAGCCCTGCCCAGGGTGGGCTCAGACCCTTAGTTGGGGGCTTGCCCAGTGATACGAGCTGTGACTCCAGCTCCACAGCCGTGCATGTGCCAGCGCCCCGCCCCCACTGGCGCCCACAGGTACTCCTTCCAGGACGAAGAGGACATGTTCATGGTGGTGGACCTGCTCCTGGGTGGGGACCTGCGCTACCACCTGCAGCAGAATGTCCAGTTCTCTGAGGACACGGTGCGGCTGTATGTCTGTGAGATGGCGCTGGCCCTGGACTACCTGCGTGGCCAGCACATCGTCCATAGGTGTGTACATGCCGGACAGGTGGGGCGCCTGCCTTGGCCTCAGGCCGGATGCCTGTGGGGCAGCCCCGCTCCAGCGGAACCCCAACAGGCTCCTGCCCGCTCGGCCTGCCCTTGCCCTCTGAGCCCCCAGGTGAGCCCCCTGGCCCATTAGTGCTGGACTCCAAGGCCAGCCCCACAGCTGTGCACCTGATGTCCACCTGGGGGTGGAGTGGATGCTGTCTGAGCAGCCCTGGCCAGGTACCGAGGGTGCTTGGCTCTCCGGGAATCTGGGACTGGCCACATCAGTGGGACCTTCGCCTGGTCTGTTCCACTGCAGGGTCCTTGCCCCCACCTAGCAGGCACCCATTTCCCCATCTGCCAGTCCCTGGGGAAATCAAACTAGTTTTAGCAGTAGCTGAAAGCAGATGAAATTAGGAAGATAAAGCAGCATCACAGAACAAAACAAAAAATTATGTGGCATATTGTAAAATCAAAGATGGGATGGATTTCTGTGCCCCTGGGACTCTTATCTGGCCATTATTCAGGCCAAACATTTACCGAGTGCCCAGAAGTCGGGCAAGGTGAGGCCTAACACCGGTGGGCGGACAGCTCGGACCCGAATCAGTAACTCTGGGCAGCACAGGGCTCTCGGACAGGGGCCAGCCTGGGAGGCCACAGCGAGGGGCTCCGCTTTTGTTCTCTGGGGGCCCCAGCGGCTCTGTGCCCTTGCCGAGCCCCCTCCCTGATGTCTGTCTGGCTTCAGAAGGTGGGGGGCCACCACAGGGACCAGAATGTGGCCCTCGTGGGAAGCCCCAACCCTGCTGGGGACCAGGGGCAGGCGCAGGAAGGGGCTCCGGACCCACGCCCCTGCTTTCTGCTCTCCGCAGAGACGTCAAGCCCGACAACATTCTGCTGGATGAGCGAGGTGAGGCCCGGCTGCGCGGGGCCCAGGCCCCTGCGGGCACCTCTCGTCCTCCAGACAGAGCCGCATCCTCTCTCCTCGCAGGGCACGCGCACCTGACTGACTTCAACATCGCCACCATCATTAAGGATGGGGAGAGGGCGACCGCGCTGGCGGGGACCAAGCCATACATGGGTGAGCCGCGGCCCTGCCCGCCCTCGCACCCACACTGCCCAGGGCTGGCGGGTCAGGCCACCCCTGACGTCGCACAGCAGTACGTGATGGGACCGGCTGCTGAGACCCTAAGGGATGCCCGTGAGGGTTACAGCGTGACTGTGAGGCAGCCCTCCGCCCGTGTCAGGCTGTGGGACCTGGACTGAGCCAGGCGGTCAGTGGGGAAGGCTGGGCCGCCGAGGGCAGCTTCCCTGTCCAGCCCTGGTGGCCGCCTGGTCTTGGGGCCCAGGAGGGGTGCCGGCCCTGGGGCCTGTGCGTCGGGGTGCTCAGCTGCTCTTCCCTTTCCGCCAAGCTCCGGAGATCTTCCAGTCTTTCATCAGTGGAGGGACTGGCTACTCCTTCGAGGTGGACTGGTGGTCGGTGGGGGTGATGGCCTATGAGCTGCTGCGCGGATGGGTACGGAGCCCCTGAACCCAAGCCGGCTGCGGTCCCGGGGGTGGCCCGAGGGCCCTGGGGAGGGACAAGGCCGCCCCCAGGCCCAGATGCTCAGAGGCCTCTGTGTGCTCTGGCGATGAGGACACGCTTTTAGTGAAGCGTCCAGTGGGTGAGTGGTGCCCATGCGGGTGCTGGGGGCAGTACATTCCCGGGGCCGTTGGCAGGCTGCACTCTGGCCTCTGCAGGCAGGCAGGGGAGGACTGACCCCCAGGGGACCTTCCTCAAGGCCCCTGTGGGGGTCCCCGTGCTTTCACTCTGGGGCCACAGCAGGGCCAGTCCTCGGTCCTGGGAGGCCAAGGGTCCTGCCTATTTCCCCGTGGGGGGCTCTGAGGCACAGCGCCCATAGCCACCCTGTGGGACCCCACCCTGAGGAGGGCAGCCCTACCTGGTCCTCCAGGGATGGTACTCCCAGGGCCCAGTCCTCTGGGGGGCGATGCTCCTCCTTCCTGGCAGAATTCATTGCCTCCTCTGAGTGGTTCCCTGGCCATGGTCCCAGCATTCCCCCTGCAGGCTCTGCCTGGGGGTGTGCCCACTTGGGGGTGAGGTGCTGCCTAGGGGGCCTTGGGTGACAGGGACCAACCACCTGAAACAGTGCTGCCTCCACCTCCGCAGAGGCCCTATGACATCCATTCGAGCAACGCCGTGGAGTCCCTGGTCCAGCTGTTCAGCACAGTGAGCGTGCAGTATGTCCCCACCTGGTCCAAGGAGACAGTGGCCCTGCTGCGGAAGGTGAGCCTGAGGGTGCCACCGGCCAGGCACGGGTTGGTCCTGCCCGTAAGCTGCAGCACCGAGACACTGGTCTGACGAGGGCATGTGATTCCCGCATCCAAGTACCTCGGGTCTCTGCGCAGCCAGGCTTGCAGGCCCCTGCAGTGGTGCGCAGCATTGTGGAGGAGCTTGGCCTGTCTGGGCAGAGCCTGAGAGCCGACTCACCGGCTCCCGTTACCAAATTTAATCCCCAAGACCTGCTTCCAGGTGCTGCTGTCACCCCTTTGGGCAGACACTCTGCACCCTGTCCCCCAGGCTAACCAGAGCAGGCCTGCTGTAGGGAGGGCGAGTGTGGGGCTGGGACCCAGCCCACATGGTGCACCGGCTTCCTTGGCCCCTGCTCCCCCTTCGGAGGAGGGCAGCCCCTGCCACCACCACCGGCCAGACCAGCCCCACCCCACCTGCAGCAAGCAGAGCCCCCGGAGCCCCGGGCACCTCCCAAGGCCTGAGCATATGTCTGCAGCAGCCCAGGGCACCTCAGCCTGGTGGGACGAGGCTGTCCAAGGGCCTCCCTCCAGGCCTCAGGGCTGGACTGGGGGCTGCCCCTCAGCTGAGCTGCGCCGTAAACATCTGGTGCCTCTGGGTTAGGAGCAGGTGTGGGAAAGGTCTGGCCAACTCCCTGCTCCCATCTCCTGGCCCGCAGGGTCCTCCTGAGCAGGTCCTGGCTGCTGCCAGAGTCCTTCCACCCTGGGATTAAAGCCGAGCAGCCTGAGGCTCTCCCAGCCCGCAGAGATCCTCTCGGCCCAGCCTTCCCGGCAGAGCTCTGCCTGCACCTGCCCAGGGGTCTCGCACGGGAACCTTGGCCTTCAGAGACCTACGTGGGGAGTGGGGATGGTCCAGGTGCAAGCCCCACCCCTGGGGAAGCCGCTGACAGGGTCTGCGGTATTTTCCTGGGAGACAGGACAGTGTGTGGGGAGATGCAGCCACCCAGCATTGTGACACTGGCCGCAGGGCCACCCTGGGACTTCATGGGGCTGTGATGTGTTGTATCCTGGCCCCAGCCCTGCAGTCAGCTAGGCCAGGGCTGTTGCCTGCTGGTTGATCCCAGCAGGGTGTCCCCGTGGGCCCCTGGGGCCCTCTGCCCTCCTTGGGTTTCTGGGGCCTGGCCAGACCACTCAGGCCGAGTTGTCCCCTTGGCCCAGTGACTGCGCTGACTGGGTTGCTCTGCCTGTAACTGGTGCCACTTTCCTTGCCTGGCCCTTGATATCCTGAATTCCTGAGCCTCCAGCCTTGTGGAGAGGCCTTTGGGTGCCCTGGGTAGGGCAGGCCTCAGGGCCCAGGCACCCTCTGATGCAGGCCTCCTTCCAGCTCCTGGCTGTGGACCCCAAGCACCGTGTGTCCAGCCTGCAGGCCGTGCGGACTGCCCCGGCACTGGCCGGCATGCTCTGGGACGACCTGAGCCAGAAGAAGGTGCAGCCAGGCTTCGTACCCAACGTAAGCCCATGGGCACCATGCGGTCCGGAACGGGTATGGGGGGTATGTGTGGGCGGGGCTCAGTGCCCTGTCCCCCCCCAGAAAGGCCGCCTGCATTGTGACCCCACCTTCGAGCTGGAGGAGATGATCCTCGAATCCAGGCCACTGCACAAGAAGAAGAAGCGGCTGGCCAAGAACAGGTCCCGGGACAGCAGCCGGGACAGCCCGCAGTCGGTGAGTGCCTGAAGGGCGGGCGTGCCCGGGTGGGCCTTGCTGGGGGCTGCCCAGTCCCTCCCCTGTCTGCCAGTTCCTGCTTGGGGTGGCCCCGAGACCTGGGCGTCCCTGGGCTGGTGGGCATCGTCCCATGCCGGGCTCCCTGTTACCCCAGGCTCGGTCTGTGTCTGTCTCCCCTCCTGATGAGGATCCCACCTTAATCCAGAATCACCTCCTGTCAATCTGCCTGATTACTTTGCAGTGAGCTAATTTCACCACCCGAAGTATTAGGGGTTAGGCCTTCACTGTGGGGGGACAGTCTACCCATCACACCCCCTCTCCTGCCCCAGGTCTTGCGGCTTCTCTGAAGCAGGTGGGGTCTGGGAAGCGAGAATGTTGAGCATGCTCAGGGACTCAGGGCACAGCTGGGGTTCACAAAAGCACAGGGGTTCATGGTGACACTGTCCATGATTGGTTGCACCCTGACCCTGACCCGTCTGAGCCCATGGAGGGTGCCCTGGGGTGCCCCTCAGGCCGCAGCCCCTGTGCAGCCCCCTCAGACCTGATGGGCCCTGAGACGCTCCCAGGCACATGGCCATCGGTCCCCTCCACCTCGGTGTGGGGCCCAGGACTGGGGCGTGCGCCCCTGCATGCCTCAGTTCCTCAGGGAGTAAAGGCCCGAGTGGGTGGGCTCCGGCCCCCTCCCACCTACCTGGGGCTGCGACGGCGACCAGTGTCCAGCGGTGGGTCTGAGGTGGGGAACAGTGGTGGGTTGCCAGTTTATTGGGCTGTTTTCATGGCTGTTTTGGATAAGGACACCAGCGGTGACCTCGCAGCTCTCTGCATGTGACAGCAGAGGCCAGATTCCTTATTTGTCTTTATCGTTATTGGTCGGTAAGAGTTATTTGCACACTCTGGGTACACGTGCCCCTTGGAGATGGTTCTCAAATGTTTTCTCTTTCCTTCTGCTGTGTGGGGTTTCTGCCCTCCCCCGTGGTGCTGTCTGCAGCAGCACCTTGTGCTTTTGATGAAGTCTTGTCTTTCCATTTGTGCCTTTGGAGTCGTATTTAAGGAACGACTGCCTACCTGAAGGTCACAAAGACTCACTCCTGTTTCCCCTGAGTGTTTTAAGTATTTTACCTCATGCGTTTGGGTGTAGGATCCATTTTGAGTTAAGTTTTATGGATGCTATCAACTCGGGGTCCAGCATCCTTCTGCACATGGGTGTCAGTCGTCTGACTGCTATTTGTTGAAAAGACTCTTCTTTTCCCACTGAACTGCTTGGCGTCACTTTAAAAAATTAACTGACCAAATGTAAGGGTTTGTTTATGGACTCGTGATTCTACTCTGCTGACCTGTGTGTCCCTCTGGTGCCAGAGCTGCAGCCCAACTGCGGCCTTGCAGTGAGTTCTGAAACCAGGAAACACGTTCCAGATGGCTTGGCGAGTCTGGGCCCCCTGCTCCCCCCGGGGGTCCTGAGGTTCGGAATCGTATCTGAGCTGCTCAGCAGGTGTATTTGTGTCAAAGTCAGGGATGCACCTGCTCTGCATTCCCAGGCCCTGTCCTCCCCACCTTGGGAGCCGTCTGGGTTCTGAGGCTGAGCGTCAGCCTTGATGGAGGCCTGAGTGAGGGTCCGCGTGCAGACGGTTCACTCGGGAAATTAGCCGGGAGAAATCACTCAGAGGGGAGAAGCCAGGAGGGCTGGACTGCAGGCCAGCAGGTCCTGGGACAGCAGCCTCAGCCTGAACTGCCAGGCCCTCGGAGGGCAGGCCTCCCTCCGAGGACGCTGGCTTTCATTTCCTGCGCCCAGCATCACCGGCTGAGGCCTCCAGGGGGACCTGTGTGTGGGCAAAGAGCTGCAGTGGCCGAGCAGGACGCCGGGGAGTGGCAGGCACAGGCTGGCAGCCAGAGGGAGAAAGCACAGCAGAACCAGGTCAGGGCGGGTGCGGCAAAGGCCTCCTGGGCCGTGGCTCGGCAAGAAAGGATCCTTTGTGGAAGGGGTCACGGTCACAGGTCACACACAGTGGTCCCTTGCACCGCCCACAGCCGCCTTTCTCTGAAGCCTGTGGAGCGGCTCCTCTGGCTTCCTGGGAAAGCCCAGATGAGGAAGGTCAGTGAGGTGAACTCCAGGCGGGCCAAGCATGCGCGTTCCCGCCATCCTCCGGGCGCCCTGTTGCCGCAGCCTCCCCGCCTGCCCTTGGTCGGTCTGTTGGCGGCTTGCCTCCTGGCTGACCTAGACCCCCACTGAGAGCCGGCGCCCTGCTCCCATCACCTCCTCAGCCGGAACCTGTGCACATGTCCGCTCGTTACTGACATGAAGGCTGGGACATGGACAGCTAGGTGAACAGCCCGGCCTGCGAGGAGGCCTGTCTCCCTGAGGCGGAGGTCAGTTACCCTGCCAGGGTGGTGGCTCCTCTGGGGGAGGCCACGTGCCACGGCCAGGGCTGGAGGGAGCTCAGAGGTTGTGGCCCCCCCACCCCTAGCCCCCCCACCCAGGCTCAGGCTGCTGCTGATCCGCACTTAGTGCGTCAGGAGCCACTGAGGGGGCGGAGGAGCCACAGAGCCATCCTCAGAGCCCAGACCGGACCCGCAGGAGCCAGCCTGCCGGCCAGGGTGGGAGCCCTCCTAACTCACGGGGCACCCAGTGGGGTCCTTTGGGGCGTGCCTCAGCAGGGGGGACAGACCAGCTTCCTCCAGACCCAGTAAGCCTGCCGAGTTCTGTGCTTTCTTCTTGGAAGAGGTGCAGGTATAGTGACATTCCTTTGCCCTGGAAGGGACGTCCTGGCATGACCCCCATGGCTAGATGCACAAAAGTTAGACAGGACAGGCTCCTGAGGCTGTTAGTGGTCGTCTGCCCTACTCTGGGCCTGTGTTCTACAAGGACATGCAGAGCGCCCAGCGCTGCCTGCCCGTGGCCTCTAATCCACTGCACACCACCCGCGCGTGATGACCGGGGAGTTTAGATGGACGGGGCTCGTCCCGCCTGCTTTGACGGAGGACGGGAGCACACGCCAGCCCCAGCAAGACCATGACCGTGTCTCACATGAGCGTGAGCTGGTTCTAGCCCCCGCTGGTGGGTACTGGGCGGAATGTCAGATCAGTGGCCTCATGCCATGCACTAGAGGCTGTGTGGACCCGTCCTGGTACTGATTCTGCACCCGGCTCGGCAGCGGCGCTCGCGGCTCCCAGTCGGTTCAGGCTGCCACAGTCCCCATCCCTGCTATGGGCCAAATGCCAGGCTTGTTAATCAAGAGGGAAAGTAATGGGCAGCAGCATCCTCATGCCCTAAAAGTCAGAAGGTAAAGACCTGAAAGTCTTTGGCAGTGGCCCTGCCTGCCCTCTCATGCTGGTGTGGGTTCTCTTCGCTGTCTAGGCTGTTTTGTTGCGAGGGGCGGGTGTCTGGAGCTCTCGGCGCCTTTCCCGGGGTGGCCGCTGCCAGGTGGGCGCGGGCCGAGTGCTGGCTCAGGCCCTGGCTCCGCACCCCACTGCATGCGGTGGTCCCTGCACGGAGCACTCCCTGCGTTCAGGGAGGTGGTGGCCTGGACTCCGGGAGGGGCCGGAGGAAGCTCTGCCAGGGACAGTTGCTGGGAGCACGGCCCTCGTCGCGGGACCTGCCACCCCTTCTGACGGAGGTCCCCGGTCTGAGGACTGAACTGGGCCTGGTGATAAGGGGATGGGCCCTCCCTCAGGGAGGCTAACGACAGCCTCCGCTCGTGCTCCCATGGTCTCGCCCGCCGTGTGTGCACACCGCTGCTATCATCCCCCGACCCTGGGGGCAGGGTGCCCCACATGCCCCTCCATCCTGCTGCCAGGGCAGGGGGCACTCACACTTGGTTAAGTGCGGCCAAGTTCGGCAAGCCTTCTGCTGTCCTGGGTACGGTGAGCACCACGGGTTCCGGAACAGGCCCTCCTGTGGGTCACAGGCACCATGGTCCTGGGCCCCCACGGCAGCTCCTTCTTCACCACCTTGCTGGAGGCACTGTCCGTGGGGCCCCCCAGAACCTGTCTGTCAATCCGGTCCTGCTCCCCTTCTCTGAGCCTCTGGTTCACCCTCAGCCTATTTCCAAGGCGGTCCTAGAATCTTCACCAGGGCCAAGGCCAAGATTCCAAGTTTCTTGCAAGTTTCCAAGAGCCACACTGACCCCATTCCAGGGCTCTTGCCAGGGAATTAAGTCCCCAGCCAATAGGCTTGCGCTCACATCAGCACACTGTCCCTGGAGCAGCTGTGCTCACCACGCCGGTGCCTGGTCTCATGCCTGCCCTGGTCAGCGCGTGATGCCTCGTGGGTCCAGCGCTCCCCGCTAGGCCACTGTTGGTGACCTGTTCTGGAGGTCGGAGGTGGGCAGAGGCCAGCCTACAGGGGGCAAGGGCTGCCTTCCGTGGTGTCTGACACGGCTGCAGCTCTGTGTCCTCTGCAGGAATTGGGGGTGCTGCTCTGCTCCCCCAGGGAAGGGCCATCCACAAGCTCAGGGGTGCCCACACGCACCCCCTCAGGGGCCCTCCCGAGGTTCATGGCCCCGCTCCGCCCCCTTCAGGGCCCTGGCTGTGATGCGGGAGGGTCCCTGCATGGTTCCTGCCTCCTCTGAGGGTCTGCGGCCCTTACAGCTCAGCTGGCCTCCCGGGAGCTGTCCAGGCCCAGGACGGAGCATCTGCTCACACCGTGCCCCAGGCTGCTCATGGGTGCCCTGAGTCTGTCGCTTGCTTATGCAGTCGCGGTGCCCTGCAATAGAAAGGCAGCCAGCGAGCCGTGTATGCGCTTGCCCTTCCCACCTCTGCCCAACGCTGGAGCTGTGGTGGCGGCCCTCACGTTCCCCCCCCGACGGCAGCCACCCCAAGTTCCCCGAGGCGAGAGTCTCCGCAGCTGGACACCTGTGGCCGCCACCAGGAATGGGCTCCTTGTCTGTCCAGCAGTGCAGGGTCCAGCTCCTGTCCTGTTCTGAGAGTCTGCTTCTTGGGACAGCCCGGTGACCAGCCTTCTTAGGGCAGGTCCCTGGAAGTGGACTCTAAGATGGGAATCTGTATACAAGTGACCAAGAGGACCCAGTAGTGGGTCTGGAAATCTGGCCAAGTCTGGTCCCATGGGCACTCATCCATGTCAGCATCCCCCGAGGCAGGGGGCTGAGCTTCCATACTGGGGTGTCCTTCAGTCACTGGCTAAGGGTCACCCAGGCATGGCAAACTCTCAACCTGGGCTCTGGAGAAGTTGACCAGGCCCTGCCATGAGTGGATGTGAGGGAACCTGATGGCATCCACCACACTCATTTGTGTCTTTCTGGCTAACAGGAGAATGACTACCTTCAGGACTGCCTTGATGCAATCCAGCAAGACTTCGTGATTTTTAACAGAGAAAAGTGAGTGTGTTAGGGGTGGGTACTGGTCACAGAGAGGAGCTGGGGATTGGGGCCAAGGTTTTCTTGGTACACCAGTCCTGAGCCCCCAGTCACCTGGCATCAGTGGACCTCTCCCTGCCTGGGGGAGTCCAGGTAGTGGCCCCGGGAGGAGGGCGAGGGAGGTCCTCATCCAGGCTCATGGGAGGGGTCCCTTGGGAACTTTCAGTCATAAACGGGCCACGGGCGAGGATCTCCTGGGGATGCATAGTGGACGGCCAGGCAAGGGATGACAGCTCCCCGGGCATCACCTGCAGAGCCCCGTGGGCTCCTGTCCACCCGCATCCCCTGCTGCAGACAGAGGGGTGGGCACAGCTGGCTCTCAGGGCGATGAGAGGCCATAGGCAGCTGAAATGCTTGGCACAGTGGAGGGAGAAGGCCCGGCTCTGGGGGTCCAGGGGAGGAGGGGCAGGATGAGGCATGGAGGCGGTAGCCCTGGGCTCTGGCCGGGAAGGTGAGCGGGATTGGCCGGTACGCTGTCCGTCTTGGGGACCAGGACATGTAGGCACTGGCTTAGGACAGTGGCTGCTGTCCTGGAGGTCAGAGGCCTGGGGGAAGCGGGTAAGACAGGCTTGGCCACGCTCTTCGCAGAGCCTTCTTCCAAACCTGCTGGTCCTCAGGCCTTGCACCTGCACTGGTGTCTCTGCTTCTGGTCGGGAAGGGGTTCAGCTCGCCAGCCCTACCGCTCCAGCGTGAGGCCAGGGGTAGTCAGAGCTGCTGGGCTGACGGTCTCCTGCCTGCCCCATGTCCCTCTCGGCTCCCTGCTGTGCTGGCCCGGCCCAGGGATCCTATGCCCAGGCAGACGCCTGGCACTCAGTCCATTTTGGGGGCCCCTGGTATGTTCCTGAGCCCTCGGACATGTCAGGGGCCAGAGGGAAGCACGCTGGGGCTGCTGGTGAGGCTTGTACAGCCCGTCCTATGCCTCCTTCCCCTAGACTGAAGAGGAGCCAGGACCCGGGCAGTGAGCCCCTGCCCGCACCTGAGGCCGGGGACACGGAGGCGGCCTCAGAGGACAGGGAGGGGGCGCGCCCCGCCCTGCCCATGTGTGGCTCCCTCTGCCCCTCTGCTGGGAGCAGCTAGGCGGGCGGCCGGCCTGTGGAGACCAGGCTCCAAGGACGAACAGCGGCGGGGCTGCAGGCAGAGGCCCAGCGTCCATGTCCCCAGCCAAACAGCCCAGCCCGTCCAGGCGCAGATCTGGCCATATTTTCACTGGGACCATCTGACTGCAGAGGCTGCTCCCTGGCTCAGTGTCGCAGTAACAAGAAGTGACTGGTGTGGCTGAGAGTGGTGGGAAAGGAGGGCAGGTGTCCCCAGCCACTGAGTTGACTGCGATGCCGGAGGGAGGCTCGTGGCTGCTGGGCCAGGTCTGTTCTGGCGGCCCCGACCGGCTCACATGGTGGGCACGTGCACTGGCCCTCAGCCCCCTGGCTGTGCGCAGCTCCTGTCCCTGCCCTCAAGCTTGCTGCCCAGACCTGGTGGTGGCCAGCATGGGCTCAGATCTTGTACATCAAGTGGGGAGGGTCATGGGCAGGATGATGAATAGTTTTCTAGAGATACACTATTCTAGCACTTTCTGCTGTCTGTGCAGTTCCACCTCTGCGTATCATGCCTAGAACTGCTCACTGTCAAGTCTTTGCCTGCTCTGAGTGCAGCCATGCTGGGCAGCGGGAGGCTGTGGAATGGGCAAGATGAGGCCAAGGGCCCCATCATGCTGGGCAGTGGGTGGGTGGTAAAATCACAAGGACCAAGTGGGCACAGATGGTGCAAAGGAGAGCTGGCTGGGCCAGGCAGAGGTGGCGTGGAGAGACTCGCTGCCCTACTCACTGAGGGCCCCAGTACATGGGTGCCACGTGGTGATGCAGGACCACAGCCACTGCCATGCCCAGCGTCCATGTCCCCAGCCAAACAGCCCAGCCCGTCCAGGCGCAGATCTGGCCATATTTTCACTGGGACCATCTGACTGCAGAGGCTGCTCCCTGGCTCAGTGTCGCAGTAACAAGAAGTGACTGGTGTGGCTGAGAGTGGTGGGAAAGGAGGGCAGGTGTCCCCAGCCACTGAGTCGACTGCGATGCCGGAGGGAGGCTCGTGGCTGCTGGGCCAGGTCTGTTCTGGCGGCCCCGACCGGCTCACATGGTGGGCACGTGCACTGGCCCTCAGCCCCCTGGCTGTGCGCAGCTCCTGTCCCTGCCCTCAAGCTTGCTGCCCAGACCTGGTGGTGGCCAGCATGGGCTCAGATCTTGTACATCAAGTGGGGAGGGTCATGGGCAGGATGATGAATAGTTTTCTAGAGATACACTATTCTAGCACTTTCTGCTGTCTGTGCAGTTCCACCTCTGCGTATCATGCCTAGAACTGCTCACTGTCAAGTCTTTGCCTGCTCTGGGTGCAGCCATGCTGGGCAGCGGGAGGCTGTGGAATGGGCAAGATGAGGCCAAGGGCCCCATCATGCTGGGCAGTGGGTGGGTGGTAAAATCACAAGGACCAAGTGGGCACAGATGGTGCAAAGGAGAGCTGGCTGGGCCAGGCAGAGGTGGCATGGAGAGACTTGCTGCCCTACTCACTGAGGGCCCCAGTACATGGGTGCCACGTGGTGATGCAGGACCACAGCCACTGCCAGGGGCCAGAGGTGGGCACTGCAGGATGCCCTGTGGTGGTGCCAACCCCTGGGGTATGTTCCCAGTGATGTCAGGGCAGGAGGCTTGAGGTCATGTATAAATGTATAAACGCAGGTGTGCATTTTTGAGACCCCCTGGAACTGCGTGCTGGTTTCCCATGTTGGTGGCAGGGATATGGGTGTTACTGGGCTCTGACCACTGCGTCCCACCAGGGAGGGGATACAGTGCCGTGGAAACCAGCCTTGGTGAGCCTCAGGAATGGGCTCTGAGGCCACAGTGACCAAACCAAGCTGGGCCGGGGGAGCCCTGGCGATGTGGCAGGACCACCAGGATGGACTGTCCTGGGGAGGCTGCCTGGGCCAGCACAACTTCCTGAGAAGCCCAGTTCAAAGATAAGCCCCAAGAACACGGCTGACAGCACTCCCTGGCCACCAAGAATGGACGCCGGGACGAGGCCTGAGCTCCCAGTGCTGTGAGGCATGGGGCCATCCCCGACCCTTCCCTGATTGTCTTCCTGGTGCCTGTGATCATCCTGCCCTTCGGCAGACACCCCTGCTGGGAACTGGCCAGCCAGCACTTCTGGAAGGTTCTTGACAGCCCTGAGGGTCTGCTCTGCCTTGGAGACAGGGCTGTGGCCATGGCTGCCCCTTCTCCTGCCACCTGCAGGAGGTGTGAGCTTGCCACCCTGCTCCCATGCCTCCCCAGTGCCATGGTGCCCCCACACCCCACTGGGGTTCCCTGGGCTCTCGGTCAGAATGTGGGAGGCAGCCTCTCTGCCGAACCCTCTCCCTCAGCATCCAGCCAACCCTCTGGCTGTCTCTGACCTGCAGGCCTGGGCTGGGGTACAGTCCCCAGGCTGCTGCCCTGACAGTGAGAGCCTCACCCCTATGCAGACCCGGCCCTGCCCTTCCCTGACCTGGGCCCAGCAGAGGCATCCCCGTAGGTGGTCTGGAGAACCAGCTTCATAGCCAGAACAAAACCAGGGTCGGGCGCACAGAATGCCCTAGGGGCCCACTCATAAGGCACTCTTGGGGGATGGCCGACGGGACAGAGAGGTCAGGGCTGTCCACACGCCAGCAGCTACAGCCCGGAGACCTTTAATGGACCCAGTTCACATGGGCTGGGGAAGGCATGCAGGTTCTGGCTACAGCTACCCTCACCACGCGAAGCTGCTGCTCTCACTAGCTACAGGAATGCACGTTTGGTAATAAAAGGAATGCATCTCAGCTAAAAAGGAGCCTCAATTTCCCTGGAAACGAGCTACTAGGAAAGTAGAGGTTCAGTCCTCTGCCGGAAGCCACCCCGCGTGAGGTCCTGACGGGTCTCTGACGTCACAGCGGCTCTGCGGCAGGGCCTCTGTCCTGGGTCCGGCGAGGGGAGCGGACCCGCTGGGCCAGCAGGAGGGCTGGGGCCTTGGGTCAGGGACTCCTGCTGGGGAGGAAGAGGCAAACGCCGCAGCCTCTCGGCCCGGCTGGCTGTGGCCCCCGTTGGGCAGTGGCCCTGCCGAACGAGGCACCTAGCACCTGGGCTCCGGGCCCCCATGTCCAGCCTTGCCCTGGCAGAGAGACCTCCCCAAATTCTCTCTACTGGTGGGGGCTTCTTGAAACAGGACCTGGGACCCCAATAGGAGAGTATATGGGGAGGGGAAGGTAGGCCCAGCACCTTTCAAAGTCAACAAAGGGAAAGCTAAGAGACGTGAGCGTCCCCACAGCTGCCCGCCTGGAACAGCCCAGCCCGCGCCATCCCTGCAGAGTTCTAGGACAGCGAGGTGATGTTGGAACGCCCACCAGGAGGCGCCATGATCTTCTGCGCTGTGCGTCTGGCTACGTGGTCGTCCGCCTGAGATCCTGCAGAAAAGTTGGGAGTGGGTGTGGGAGGGGCAGAAGCAGCCGGCTGTGTGCGAGGCCAGGACCGCGGAGCAACCCCCACCGCAGCCACACTACGGAGGGTCACACCGCAGACCCGGACACCGGGCAGCTGCCCCCATGCCTGAGGTCGGCGATGGTAAGAACGGGAGGCCAGTGTTTGTGTCCAGCTAGGGACTGGAGGTCAAGGTTGACCCTCCAGGAGCCTGCCTGGGGAGCAGAGCGCAGCTCCATCCTGCTTTGTGCCCCCTGTGGGGCAGACCCGCCTTGCCCTCAAGACCCTGTAGTGGCAGAGGGCTGTCCGTGGCTTTTAAGACGATGCTAATTTCAAAGGGGACCTGCCCTGGCCCTCTGTCCCAGCACATACCACCTCCGTGAGCGGGAGGGTGAGGCAGGACACCAAGCGGTGGGTTGGCCCCTGCGCGGTCTGGAAAGAGAGGGTGGGTCCTGCTCTGGTTTGCAGGAGAACCCAGGACTCAGGGCTTCTGGAAGAATCTTGAGTCATGTAGCATGGTAGGGGGCACAGCCAAGAGCCCGAGGGGAGGCCTGAAGCCCACGGCCTGTGCCCTGGAGCCCCCTGAGGACTCCAAAGCATCTGGGTGTCCCTGAGCACCTGCAGACCCTTCCCTACTGGCCTCACAATTTTGGCTGGCAGGGCTGGCTGGGGCTGGACATCCCCGCTCAGCCCTGGGCATAAGGTGACAGTCCCCACTCAGCACTGAGTCAAGGCCAGGGGCATCACGACTGCCCTGGAGCAGATGCTGCACAAGACAGGGCTTCCCTGGCCAGGCCTTGCCCCTCGGCCCCTCACAGGGCAAGGGGAAGTGCCCTCCACCCTCTGCACACTGAGCAGCTCCCTCTGCGGGCAGGTGTGGCCAGGCGCGGGGCTGGGGGGCCTGCAGCCTCTGAGCTCCCCACCTGGGCGCCAGCAGGACCCTGGCAACTGAGGCCTACTGTCTCCAGGGGGGCTTCCTGTCCCTCAGGATGCTGCAGCGGAGTCCCCAACCTGCCGTGCCCCAGGCTCAACTCACCAGACAGGCTGAACCCCGACTGGTGCAGGTTGCGCACAGTGGGAATGGAGCTCTTCCCGGGGCAGGATGGGCGGGCCTGGGCACTGCCCCCTGGCTTGGCAGGCATTATCACCTCGTGGACTGGCCCGTCGTAGAGGCCGCGGGGCACTCCGTGGATCTCTGCCAACTGCAGGGCCGAGGGGAGGCATGAGGGGGCCAAACCCACCCTGAAGCAGGGCGGGCCCTCCTGCCAGGACCAGGGCCTGCTCCGCTCTGTGGGCCCCCCTGCCAGGCTCAGGATGTCTGGGCTTCACCGTGGGCGCCTCTGCCCCGTGTGTGTGTATACACACCTCCCTGTGCATGTGCACACACATCCCTACGCATGTGCACGCACACCTCCCTGCACACACGTGTGCAGACATGCTTCCTTCACCCAAGGCTGGGTAGCTGTGCCGAGCTGGGGGCACTGCTCAGACAAGGGCAGCCCTGTGGAGAAAGCCCGCTTTTGGACTTGGAAGCCAACCCTCCTCAGTACCCGGTGTCTGGTGGCTGGCAGAGCCCCTCTCCAACCCCAAGGAGGCCCTGAGAGGGAAGCCCTGAGTCCTGGCCTCCCTGACAACGGCCCCAACGCCAGAGGCCTTTCCCAGTGGCCACAGTGGAGGGATGGTCCACAGACCGAAGCAGAACCTTCAGATGGTTTGTGCTTCTGGCTGGCACCTCCCTTGGGATCTGTGGCTTAGACAGCGGGGGGGTGGGGGGCGCCTGCCCATCAGATCCTGCCCTGGGGGTGGGGTCACTGTGGGGCCACTACAGGGAGATGGCAAGTGTAGGTCTGACCCCACACCCCTCACCCCGGGTGTGTGACCGGGAGCCCACGCCCTCCCTGTGCCTTGGCTGTGCCAGAGCTGAGTCTGCAATTTCAGAGCTGCCAAGGTGATGCCTATCTGGGTGCCCATAGGAGTCCCAGACCTCCACCCCTCAGGGCAGGTGTGGATGCCTGGTCTGGCCTGGACCCGGCCTCTCAGCCCCACCCAAACCCTGAGGGAGGGGTGGGTGTGTGGCCAAGGTCAGGCCAGAGCACAGCTGTGCCCGATAGCCTGTGGCAGCACCATGCGCCTTAGAGCCCATGCCACCTCTTCCCCTCGGAGGAGACGCGCTCCTCACTCTCAGTTCAGACAACATCCTTCCAGAAAAATGGAGGCACAGCTCGGATACAGCAAACCAGTGTGTGCACTAGTGTGTGCATGTGCAAGCCAGCTGGGCGTGCAGCGTGGGCCTGGGCAGACACCTGAGGCGTCCATCGGCTGCAGAGGGCAGCTTGGCAGAGGGCCGCGGCCAGGCAGCAGAGACAAGGGGGGCTTGCTGAGCTCCAGTTCATGATGCTGCCGTGAAGACCGTGCCCCTCACCTAGTCCCTGCACACTTGTTCCTGAGCAGCCTGGGCGGCTCTGCTGCAGCGCTGATGCTGGTTCACACAGGGAGGCGCCACCAGTGGTTTTTAATTGACCTCAGGTCCACTTTCTATGCTGGGTTATGTGGCTAATAAAGGCATGCAGAGCCACGACTACGGGCCTGGCCGCCAGGCAAGGGGCCCTCTGTGCTCTCCTGACTGCGGGGCAGGGGCAGGGCTGACCAGGGGAACTGACGCTGTGCAGAGGAGGTCCTGGCCCCTGCGCCACGCCCACCCAACCCAAGCCTTACCCGGTTTCGAGCTTTTATCCTTTTGTAGACAAAGTCAGGGAACGTCTTCCGGGGGATGAAGCGGCCAGCCCCTGGGGTCACGAACATGTTCCCATCCTCCAGCACCACCCTGCCCTGACTGATGACCACCGAGGGTGCTCCTCGGCACTCGACGCCTTCCAAGATGTTGTGCTCCACGTTCTGGGGAGACAGGTCCATGGGGCAGCAGCCCTGTGTGCTCCCGAGACACCCCGTGGGTTTGACCAGTGTTCCCAGAGGCCTGTGTGCACCTGTCTTAGGACCTCTGATGAGGCACAGTGGACTCAGCCAGGCCAGAGCCCAGGGGGGGACTGGCCGCACCCTACAGAGCCCTGTCCTGGGGCACGGTCCCTGGACAGGGCTGTGTGGACCGCCTCGCCCAGGGTTAAGCCTTCCTATGAGGCAGGCAGGCACAGGGCACAGGGCTCCACAGCAGACATCCCAGCCACTCACCCTCAGGAGGAGCAGGGCCTCCGCTACCACCCAGAGTGCCAGTCCTGTGCTTGACCAGGGAGGCCGCCGGGGGCTCCCAGGACCCCTGCCCCATGGCACCCGACCCCAACTCGGACCAGGCTGCTTTTACCAGGTTGTGGGTCCTGGCAGAGATGATTTTCGTGGCCCTGGGGTTCCATATGACCAGGTCAGCATCTGAGCCCAGGGCCACTCGCCCCTTCCTTGGGTAAAAGTTGAAGATTTTGGCAGCATTCGTGCTGGTTACAGCAACAAACTGATTCTCATCCATTTTCCCTGAGGCCTGGGGACAAGGAGGCCTGGCTGAGGGGGAGGGAGTGTCCCGAGGACACTAGGCGGCACAGGCAGTGGGCAGGTCCAGAGCCGTGCCCCCAGGGCAGTGGGAACGGACAGGTCTGACCCTGTGCGCAAAAGCCTCGTCTCTTCTCACTCTGTGGGCAAATAACTGGTGAAGCCCCCAGGCTGTGGCCCTTAGAATGTGACGGTCTCCCTGCAGAGCCGGGGTCAGGGCTGGGCCCAGGAAGAGCCCAGGGCTGGAGGTGGGGGTGGGGGACGGGACGCCAGGCAGGGTGTTCCGAGGGACATGGAGTCAAAGGAAATCAGCACCTGGGGACACGACTGACATCACAGAGGTAATTCCACAGGGACAGGGCCACCCCCCCTCCATCATGTAAGATGTCTTCCTGGTGGGACGTTGGAATCAGGGAGGGCCAGGCTTCCCCCAAGCTGTGGGAGTCTCCCCTGGGTGGCAGGGAGGGGCCCCCAGCCCCACTGCCCCTCAGGGTGCGTTTGCTGGTGCGGTGGCCTCCCTCTGGGCACCGGAGCCCCGCTGCAGCCCCGCCCCAGTGACGGCTGGTGCCCTGCGTCCTCACCACGCACTTCTCCCAGACCACAGACATGCGCTCCTCGACGCCGTTGGTGCCCTCGGGGATGAGGGTGAAGTCGTCCTTGCCGACAGCCTTCTGGGCAGTGGTGAAGGTGCAGTGGGCACTGCCAGTCACCTGGAGGTCCCCGCTAGAGCAAGCTGGGCTCAGTGGAGCCCAGAGGGGCCTGCCCTTCTGAGGCCCGCCGAGGCCCAGCCAGCTTTGCCTCCCACCCTGGCCAGCACGGCCCACGGGCTGGAGATGTGTGAGAGAGGGCGCTGGGCAGGGGCGGCACTGAGTGCAGGGGACCAGGACAGGGCAAGGACAGGGCAGTGCGGGGGCTCCAGGTGGGAGGTGCTGGCCAAGCTTCTGTGCCAGGGAGGCCTGCGCTGCCAGCAGGCTGAGGCCATGGTGGGCATGGAGCACGCAAGCTGCCCTGGGCCAGCCCGAGCCGCCCCTTACCTGGACAGCAGGGAGGTGAGGTGGTCGGCAGTGGTAGGGTCCGGGCTGACAGGGGGCGATGTGACAAAGGCCGCGGCCTTGGCCCAGTTCTTGTCCCAGTAGTGGGAGCCGTCTGTACCCAGGCTGGCAGTGATGGGCTCCCCAAACACGACCACCCCTGCAACAGGCCCGAGAGGTGCCCTGCTGACCTGTATGCCCCCGGGCCCTAGCAGGACAGAGGCCTCGGACTGTGCTGATGGCTCCCAACAACCCCTCCACCTCTCCACCCGGACGGTTCACCCCCCTCCCAGGCTCCTCTGGGGGGACCTCTCCATACCTGCTCCCTCACGCCCCCCTGCTGGGGCCCGCAGGCTGGAGGGAGACATGACTGGCTTGGTGCCCATCCCTGCCTGGCCATGGCCTGTCTGTAGACCTCGGGTTCCCCTTTATCCACTGCCCCCTCCAGCTGTGTTTTGAGGGCACAGGGCCCCCAGCCCTCAGGACATGCATCCCAGGTCCTGGACACATGAGGGGCCCAGCAAATTGCAATGTGTCCTCCTGGCGGGATCAGTGCGGTGAGGTTCACTAGCACCTGGAGTCAGACTGTCCCAAACACACACACACACACACACACACATACACACACACACACACACACACACTCAGAACACATTCACGCAGTCACTCAAAACACACTCATGCACTCAAATACACTCACGTTCCTGTGCACGCTCGCACGCACACCCCATGGTCATGGCATTCACGTCTGTGCACACAGGCCAGCAGCCCCGCTTTGCTCCGAGGCCCCCTCCTGAGCAGCTGCTGCTCCAACAGAGGGAGACTCCAAACTCACCAGACCTGGGCGGGGACTGAGGCCTGCCTCCCCAGCGGCCGCCACCCGGGCCCCCAGCACCAGGCCCCAATACCACGAGGCCGACCGGCAGCGTCCTCCCCATCAGGCCTGCTCCGCTGGGGTCTCAGGGTGGCTGGTGAGCTCCAGTCCAAGGCCGTGACCGCTGACCCCAACTGGTGCTCCCCAGGCATTGGGGTGCAGGCCCCGTGCTCACCTCTGCGCTTGGCTTGGGCGACCACATCGGCTGCACCCTTGCTCATCACCTTGGTGACATACAGGGGGCAGTTGGCTTGCTTGGCGACAGTCACAGCTCGGTACACAGCCTCGGCCTCCACCTGGGGACAGGGACACTCAGGCCCTCCAGGGCCCTGGGGCCTTCTGGCCAGGGTGGCCTCAGGATGCCCACAGACCTCCAGAGGTCCTAGGCCCAGAGGGGGTACCCACTGCAGGTGAGGAGCCCAGCCTGGGGCTTGGTGCCCATTCTCTGGGCTGAGCCACACAGCCCTCAGGACCTGAACACGCTGCCTGCTCAGCCTCTGGTGACAGCCTTGGGGTGACCAGCAGTCATGGGGATATGAGCCTGGCAGGGGCACCCACTGAGTCACACCTCCCAGGTGACCCAAGTAGGGGCACAGCCCTGCCCGGCCATGGAGCCCCAGAAGAAGGCAGTGGCCAGGGTGCCCTGTCAGGGCACAGCTCTTACCTCCTCGGGGTGGCTGAGCACATGGCCCTCCGGGCCGGTGATGCCGAGCTCCAGCAACCGCCTCTGCTCCTAAACAAACCGGCAGGACACGGTGCTGCATTCCGGCTGCAGCCCCAGCTCTGGGGAGCCTCAGCCTGGGTGCGAAGTCCATGGCCCAGGGGACCCTGCTCCTCGAAATGGGTCCTGACCCCCAGACCTCTCACATAAGCCCTGTTCCCTAGGCAGAGTCCTGAGCCCTCAGACCCCCTGTGTGAGCCCTGGGCCCCCAGGCCGCTCAGAATCACCAACCACAGAGAACCCAGAATGGAGGAGAGGGGGCCCTGCAGGGGAGTGACACCAGCTCCCTAACTGCAGGAGAGGGATGGGCCTGGGGGGGGCCAGGGACTCGCCTGAGATCCTAGGGTTCCTGATGGGGCCCAGGCAGCCCCCCAGCCCGGCCTGCCACACTGTTTCTCAGAGGGGCGCTTCTGGGGGTGTGATGGGGGCTCTGCAGTCAGGGCTGGGTGGGACGCATCTCCCAGAAGCACGCTGGCCCTTGGGGCTCTGTGCAGGGAGCTCCTCTTGTCAGGGACACAGACACCGAGTCCGCGTGGGAGGCGAGAGCAGCAGGATACCATCCACCCCCAAACCAGCCCCCCTACACTGCTGAGGTGTCTCCCAGCACGCTCTGCCCACCACCCTATCCTTAGCTTGACCCATGATGTTCTCCTGACGGTGTGGCCTCAGAGGCACATGCTGGCCCAAGGGCGGTGGTGGGAACCTAGGAGCCCCGCAGGCTGCACGTCACCCCCTTCCTGCTGCCCTGGGGATGGGCAGAGCCCGCCCTGCCCCAGGAAGTCCCCCCGTGGGTCTGGCTTGTCAGGGAGGTGGGCTGTGCATGTGTACCCTCTAGCCCACCGAGGAGCCCTAAACCTCCCAGGGGCTGCCCAGGGCTGCCTGGATGTGACTGGAGGGCCTGCCACTGACCCAACACCACACTCGCTGGTCAGAAGGAACACAGGGTCCAGTCCCTAGAGGGGCCTCACTCCAAGGCGGGGGCGGGGGGCAGGCACTGCAAAACGATCTTAGTCCCCCACAAAACGACATTACGGTTTGGGAAATTTTTGATCTGAAGTGTGATGATCACAGAAAAGTCTGTGTTGTGGCCAAAAGCCCCCCAGGCTGCCCTGTCCCCCTGCTTGACCTCTGACCCTGAGCAAGCTTTTTACTAGAATCCGTTCAACATCCCCTCCCTTGGGGCTTCTGGGATCGAGTGCTCCTATGAGAGTCTGGGGCGCCCTCAGCCCCACCCCCGCCCGCACCTCCTCCACGATGTCCCCGTTCTCTGCGTGCACTTGGGCCATGGCTCCCAGGTCCCGGATGATGCTGAAGATCTCGTACATCTGGGAAGAGAGGTGTGCAGGCCGTGTGGGGCTGCGGCTCTGCCAGCAGCAGCCCCAGCGGCTCTTGCCCACTCTGGCACCCGCCCTCACCTGGCTGTCGGTGCACTGACACCGGTCCTTGTACGCCATGAAGACCAGGAAAGAGTTCACACCTGGAGGAGAGAGGCAGGACCGGCTGACACTCAGCCACCAGTGGTCGGATCCCCAGCATAGCCAGGGTGGGGGCAGCCCCCTCCTCTCGTGCCTCAGCAGCTGGCACAGTGGCCCTGGGCACCGGCCCCACATATGCTCACCAGCAGGCCCGGAGTTGGCCCCAGCCCTGTTCTGGCAGCTCTTCACGCTCTGGGACCAGGAACCAATGGCTCCGCAGGGGCAAATGCAGGTGAGAACCCCTCATGCCCCTCACGTCCCCACTCCCCAGCACCCCTGACACTGGAAGGAGCCCTGACAAGGAGGGAGCCATGTGCTCTGAGCTGCCCGAGTTCTATAGGCTGTCTACAGCAGCGGGGCCATCCAGCCCACCCCTGACCTTTGCGGCCTGAGTCGCGCCCCACCAGGCCAGGCTCGTAGCACGTGCTCAGGGACACACCGTGACACAGGCAGATTTGGGGGCCTCTCGGCCAGGCAGGGCCCGACCAAGAGGACGGTCCAGCTCTCCTGTTTTGGGGGCAGCCAGAGCTGTCCCACATCCCCCAGGAATTGGGACCCGACTGGGGATGCACCGGGGCCCGGAGGCAGCCCCCAGCTCCCCGCCACCCACACTCACCAGGCTCTCAGCCCCCTGCTCCTCGCTGGTAGTCTCTCTGGCCTAAAAGTGCTGATGTGAGGAGCTGAGGCATGTGGCAGGGAAAGTAGGTCACCCTGTGCCACAGGAGCCACCCCCCAGATGACAACCTGCACAGGGTATCTGTGGAGGTCGCTGATTAGTGAGCAGGAAATGTCCCGCAGACATAGGAGGCAGGTGGCCCGTCCCTGGGCTCCTCCTGAGGACCTACCCCTGGTCTGCAGGCCCCGCCCAGCAGCACCCCAGCAGGTGAGCAGTGGCTGCAGGTGCCCGGCTTCCCTCCACCTCCCTGCTCTGAGCTGCAAGGCCACAGCCTCCCACGGCCAAGCAAAGAACAACCAGGCGGCCGAGCTGCGGCTTGGAACGAGGTGCCGAGGCCAGCGCCCCCCCCACCACCACATCAGCTCCCAGGGAGGGGTGGGGGTCCTGCAAACAAAGGCCATAGTGTGAGGACCAACACCCTTTGGGAAATGGCCAGGATGAGCCCTCCCTTCCTCCTTCAGGTCTGGCCAGGGGCTGGCCCCACACTGCCTGTGACCCTCTCCAGGCTGTAAGCCAAGGGCAGCTGGAGGCTGCTCCACCAGAGAGCAGTCACCAGGATCATCTACCCTGTCAGACCGACTGAATTTCTGGCGTGGTTTCAGCCTCAGGGCTTCTGGTTCAAACGGACTCAGCTTGTCTATGCACTGGCCTGTTTCAGCACAGCCCCAAGAGGGACCTGCAGGTTAAAGCATTCTCCCAAAAGGGTCTGAATGTAGCTAGCGCTTTTCCTTCATCCAGGGACAAGGGCCACGATGACAGGTGGCACTGTGTCCTTCTGTGGACAGGAAACGTCCCCAGCCATAGGAGGCAGGTGGCCTTGGTCTAGACTCTTTGGAAGTAGAACGGGCATGCTAATTCCAGTAACTCTTGCTCAACTTGCCCAGAGCCCCCGGCCTCCTGCTCTGGGGTCACAGAGGTCAGCATGGTGAGGGCCCAGGATGAGGGGCACCTTCCCACCCAAGAACAGGGAAGCCCAGGCTCCCGCCCCCGCCCTTCCAGTGGCCCTCGCCTGGCCACGGGAGCCGCCACTCACCCTTGTCCTTGACCAGGGCCTCCAGCTCCTCCCGGGCGCTCTCGTGCCAGCGGGGGATGTCCACGTGCAGGCTGTAGTCGCAGCAGGCCCCGCTGTCCGCTCGCTCCCGCCACTGCTCATAGGCCGCCAGCAGGCTCACGCCCATGTCGGGGAACACGTGGTCCACTGTGGGAGCAGTGTGGTCAGCGGAGCCCCCTACCCTGGTCAAGGGGAACCACTTGGCCTCCACGGGAAACTGGCTTCATGTTCCCGAGAGATCAGGAAGTGGGTTTAAGAAAAGCAGAGGAAAGGCCACGGGCACCTGAACTGGGGGCCGATATGGCTGTGACCCTGCCCATCGGTTCTGCCCAGAGGCATCTCCGGCCCCAGCCCTTCTCCATGCAGACCCGCAGGCTGGACGGTGGACGAGGGCAGGAGGGGAGCACCGTTGTCTGTGGGGCTGGACCCAGGAGCCTGCCCAGAACGGTGGCTGGTTCCCTTGTGCTCAGGGATGGCCCACCTTGAACAGGCCACTCAATCCCCTGGGCAGCTGGGAGTCCCATGGCCACTGCATGGTCACCTCCCCACACGTACCAGCCCTACATCCAAGGTCCAAACACTGCTTAGCACCTCTCCTAGGGCAGAAAAGCCTGCCTACCTAGGGCTGTGGCAGATGCTGTGTCTTCTCAGCACGCCCCTCATTCGGAGCCTCTGCTCCCCAGCTCAGATCGCCACACTGGACCCTATGGGAATGGGTGCCTGTCCGCCCTGTGGGCCATTCACAGATCCAGCCTGGGGCTTGACAGAGGCCTGTAGACTCTCCATCCTCACAGGGACACCCCAGAGCTTAACTGCTGCCTCGGCACTGGCGTGAGCAGGTGACATCCATGTGGAGGAGCCCTGGCCAGCCTGGGCCACCAGTGACAGCATGAGCAATAGCCTGATAGGACCCGTCTTCTCAGTCCAATGATGTGGACCGTCTTTGGTCCTTTTTCACTTTGTGGTTGAGTAAACCACACTGCCCAAGATCCAGGCAATGGTTGAGCATCTCTGGTGACGTGCCCAGTGACCTCAGAGGGGCCCTTCCTGGTGGCAGCAGTAATAGCAGTCACAGTGTGCCTGGCACAACAAAGCAAATTAAATGCACAACTCACTTAATCCTTGCAACTTGCTAAGGGGTTCCTCTCCCCCATTTCACAGATGAGGAATGTGTGACTTCTGAGAGCTAACTGACTTGCTGGAAGTCACACAGCTGGAACAGGGTAGAGTCCGGGTTCAACTAGGTTTGTTACACCAGGTCTGAACCAAGCAGAGATGTCTGAGCTCTGCACTGCTGAGCTGACGGCATTCAAGTCCACGAGGGGAGCAGCTGGACTTTGGGGTCTTTTCCTGGCCCCACAAGCTTACAAAGAGCAAGTTCATGGTTGGCAAGCAAATTCATCTCACAGGCTGTTGAGTGGGGCTTCTCTGCTGGGCTCAGAGGTTTTTATGAGGAGGTATGTGAACCAGAGCATGTCAGGATGGTTCTCTTGGCTGGCACAGAGCCAGGACTGAAGAAATGTAACTCTGGGGGTTGTTGATGGATAATAGTATTTTTGTCATCCTTCTTCTAAAACCACAGCTTCCGTCTTTAACTCTTCTTGACACTGGCAAGAACTTCCCACAAACTAGGTTGCAGAGGCATAAGGATTGGGGTGAACATGTCTGTTTCAGGCAACACAACCCCCCTGCTTGTCCACGGCATTTGACTTTTCCAAACCTAGTCCTTGGCCAGCTGCTAGCTTCCCAGGAAATAATAAATTACTGGGCACACATCCATTTGCGCCCATGGCATTCCACAGCTGGCCAAGGCAAAGCGATTCAGAAACAGGGTTAACAAAAGAGCTGTCGAGGATGCTTAGACTGGAATATAATACTGGGGACGGGTCGAGGAGAACACCATCATGCGAAACTCCTCCTGTGACACCGAAGCCAGACGACCGAGGTTGGGGGCGGAGGCCGCCCCGCCTGGGGACACTCACATATCATGGTGGTTCCTCCCGCTAGGGCTGCCTTGGTCCCCTGGCAGAAGTCATCAGCTGGGGTCATGCCCAGGACAGGCATCTGCAGCCTTGTGTGCACATCAACTCCACCTGGCAGGACCATCAGGCCGTGAGCATCAATGGTTTTGATGCCCCCAGGGACGACAAGGTTTTCGCCTATTTGTCTGAAAGCAACAAAGAGAGGTTTCACTGCTTATAAAGAGCCCAGGCCAGAATGTGAACAGGCTTCCTGGCAACATGGTGCAGCAGAAAGTGCACCTGGGCTTCTTGAGGAGAAGGACGGTGCGGCCAAGATTTAGCAGGACCACCCCCAGAGGCTGTCAGAGTAAGACTCCCTGTGCAGCGGCTCCAGGGCTCAAAACGGAGGTCTTGGGCTTTGCACACTTACTGCACAGAGGCCCCCACTCGAGGGTCCTGCCTGACAGGTGTAAGCAGAGAAACTATAGGGGTGCTCAGTTCATCTTGATTAAGCACCTGCTGTGAGCCCCAGATCACCCTGAAGCTGTGGTGACACAAAGAGAGGTGGGGGCCACTGTCTTAATTTCTAGAGAGACTCATCCCTGAAGGCTGGGGCTGGAACTGTCTCCAAGGGTTTTAGACGAGAAAAAGTGTTTACGTGGATTCCACCCAAAAGTAAACTCTCAGACAATGTGTGGTCAGCGTGTACCCACGTGATCTGTGAAGACAGTTGAGGCAGGTACTTACTTTATCAAACCATCTTCCACATACAGATCAGCGTAAAAGGATTGGTCATCATTTACCACCTTCCCACCTTTGATCAGAAGGCGGTCACTCTATTGGAAACAAAAAACAGTATGTTTTCTCCAAATTGAGTTACCCCAAACATACCTAGGACAACTTACTCTGGATTATGATTGACACATTCAGGCACAAGCTGTGCACACAGAAAGAAACAGAAAGGCCTGCACCGCTGCCATCCCCAACAGCAGGGCGGCCAGGGCCCAGAGGCAGCTGTGGCCCTTGCAGAACAGGCCCCGCGCCTCCTGTCAGCAGTCTGGTGCTGCCAAAGGCCCAGGGACGGCCCTGGCGACCGGCTTCTCACTCCGCCAGGAAGTGCAGCGGTGAAATGGATCAGATGTACACATTTATCACCTGATCCCTAAAGCCCAGGCTCGGGGAGCGGCTGACAGAGCCTGCAGTGCCCATGCTGGCCTGGGAGGCTGCCCCTCCTCTGCCACTGCACTGAGAGGCTCCGGCTGGCTGCTGGGCTTCGGTCCACAGCAGCATGGCTGGGGCAGCTGTGCTGCCGGTATGTGGGGTCAGGGCGGCAGACAGACCCCCGTCCCCGTTCCCGGGGGCTGCCTCCCAGCGGAGGGAGACACCAATGATGAGAGGTCACACAGGGCCAGCGCAGACTGTGACAGACAGAGCCCAGAGAAGGGGACCTGGCGAAATGGGGAGGAGGAGGTGCAGCCCGCAGAGAACAGTGGAGGGAATCAGGAAGGAGCCGAGGGCGGGGTGACGCGGACAGGAGCGGACCTCACGGCCCTTCCCCTTCCCTCAACTGGGCCCCAAGGCCGAAGAGACGGGCACCTTTCCCAGGGAGGCCACCTGCTGTGCGGTCACGAGGACCGCAGAGGGCTCCCGAGGTGACACGTGACTCGTTACACGTGAGCCTCATTATGTCATCTCTGGTCTTCCTGACATCTGTTTGGGATGAATTCTCAAGATCCTATTGATTAAAGGGAAAACTGCCATCCCTGCCTCCAAAAGGCCTGACAAGCCTTGTCACAGGTTAAACTCGGCCCTGACACTGTCCTTAAGCAGCCTGGAGCTAAGAATGGTTTTACATTTTATATTGGTTAAAAAACATCAGAAGAATATTTCATGACTCACTCATATAAACTAAATGAAATTCGTTTTTCAGTGTCCTTAAGTCAAGTTTTACGGGCAGTCTCGCTGTTCATTTCTGTACGGCCCCAAAGTCGGAGGCCTCTGCTGTCCGGCCCGTCACATAAGTTTGCTGACTCCTGGTCTACGGCGTGGTGGTGCGTTCCCAGCTGCCTCGGCTCCCCCCCCCCGGGTCCTGCTGGGGCGCACCGCCCGCTGCCCCTGGGCCCTGGACATCGCCCTGACGGGTCACCGCACCATGACCCGCTTTGCCCAGCTTCTGCAGCCGGTGCTTGGACCCTGCCCGCCATCCCCTGCGGCGTCCCCAGTTCAACACCTGCGCCCCACTCGCAGCGGGGCACCTCACCCTCAGGCCAAAGGCAAGCCCGCCAGGAGGAGGAGGGTTCTGGGTAGGAAGAGCACGGTGGCCTGGACCCCGCGCTCCAGCGGGTTCCGGGCGCCAGAACCTTCCAGGGCTGGGACGGGCTGCGGGCTCCCCGGGATGGGCGTGGGGGCCCCCGGACCGGTCGCCTTCCCTCCGGCCCAGTGGGGCCGGGATCACTCCCGCCCCCGGTCACCCCGGTGCCGGCCTCCGGCGGGCTTCCCGCGTTAGTCTTGAAGCCGGCGCCCTCCCGACCGGGGAGTAGAGGGGCTCCCTCCTCCCTCGGTGTCGCGGGAACCCGGCCGGCAGCCCCGCAAGCCCTCCCGCCCTCCTGCTCAGGCCGAGTCCAGAGTTGGGTCTGAGACCCGCGGGCTCCCGGCCGCCCGCAGGCGCGGCTTTGTTTCCCGGCCGCGGGGTGGTCGCCCGGCTCCCGCACCGGTGCGTGTGGGGGGCGGGGGTCTCGCCTCCCGAGGGCCGGGGCCGCCGGGGTGCCGGCTGGGCGCCAACTAGTACGTGCTCGCCTCCACCGGGGTGTCCGAATCCCGGCTTCGCGGAGGGCTTCGGGGTGCCCGGGGCTCCGGGCCCAGCGGCCGGGCCGAGCTGCTTTGTCTCGGACAAAGAGCTCCCGGCGCGGTGGCGGCGCGGTCCGGGGGGCGGGGGGCCGGCAGTGCCGACAAAAGGCCGCGTCCGCCCGCCGCCACCCCTCCCCCCGCCGTCAGAGCGCCGCGACCCGGAGGCCTCCGCGCGGAGGGGGCACATCTGCGCTCCCATCTGAAGAGCGGCCTCGGCACCCCGCGCCTTCCTCGCGCGCAGAGCGGGTCCGGGGAAGCTGGCAGGGCCCGGGGCCCGAGCGCCCTGCTCCCCAAACTGGTCTGCGCGGCGCTCGCGGGGCGCCCGGCCCTCGGCGGCGCGGGAAGGAGCTGGAGCTGGAAGGGAAGGGCCGGGCGTGCGCGGGGGCTGCACCCGGAGGGCGGGGTCCCGGTGCGGGGCCGCGAGAGGCCGCCCCGGGAGGCGGGCACGGGGCGCGGGGTGACGCGCGGCCGGAGCGAGGCCCACCGTGATCCGGGGGATGCTCTTCTTGCCCTGGAAGGACATCCTGCTCCTCCCGCCAGCGCCGCCGCCTCGGTCGGCCCGCGCGCCCGGCTCCGCGGGGCAGGCCTCGGGGGTCCCGGCGGAGACGCGCGGAGGCCGGGTGTGTGCGTGGGGGCGCCGGGCGTCCGAGTGCGAGCGCGCCGGGCCGCGCGGCTCCCGCCCCGCCCCGCCCCACCCCCGCCCCCGCGCACAAGCCCCGCCCCGGCCGCGCTCAGAACCGCCCACTCCCCAGCCCCGGGCAACATCGGCCGCCGCAACACCGGGTCCCTGCGCCTCGGCCCCGCGTGCTGGGTGGGGAGGGCGAAGGGCTGCGACAGGTCCTGGCCAGCGTGTGTGCGGAGTGTGCTGCCCGGGAGGGAGGGTGGGAGAAGCCCGGCAATGTCCCGCCCAGCTCGCTGCCCGCCGCCAGTTCCCTGGTGACCCGAGGCACCGAGGTCGCGGGGATTGAACCCAGGCACCCCACGCTCCGGAAGCCAGACTCCGTCGGGGAAGGTGCCTCCGGCCGAAGCCGGGCTCCTCCGTCCGAACGCCGGGATGGGACGGGGCGGGGGAGACAGCCGCCTGCAAGGCTGCTCCGCCGCCGGCCGCGAAGCTGGGGGCAGGAGGGCGGGCACAAGTCGGAGACACAGCGACGGAAAGAGACAGCGAGACCGAGAGACGCAGAGAGACGGCGACCCAGAGGCAGGACGCGCGAGAGACCCAGAGACGGGCAGGAGCGGCGGAGCCCGCGGGCGGGGTTGCGCGGTGGCAGCGTGGAGATGCCCCAGGCCCAGACTGGCCGCGAGCGCTCAGGTGCCCTCAGAGAGGCTGGGGGCTTCGGGAAGAGGAGGAGCCCCCAGAGGGCTCCCGGCGTGGGTGTGCGGGGTCTCGGAGGGTCCGGGGCCCTCATACCGTTCAGCCACTACCTGCTGTGGGCCGGGGACCGTGCCGGGACGCTCTCGGCGACCCGCTGCGTCCTCGGGACCGTCTCCGCCGGCTTCGCCCGGCCCCTCCTGGCTGCCGCGTGCCATGTTGCGGGGCTGCCAAGCCCGAGGGTCCCGGCGGCCTCCCAGTGCGTCCAGCTGCAGAGTCTTGTTCTCAAAGGCGTCCTCCACGCAGCGGAAGACACCCTCGAGCTTGGGCCTGGCCCGGGGGCTGCCTGCACCCAGCGTCCCCAGGCGCGCGGGCAGAGGCGCTGCGGGCTGCTGCGGCCGGCGTGCGGCCATGGCGGGAGCCGGTGAGGGGCGACGGGTCCCGGAGCCTCCTGCTGCGGGGTCTGTGCGCTGCGCGTTAACGGGGCGGACCGGGGCCAGGCTGTCTCCGCCCCCGGGCCTGCCCCGCGGGAGGGCTGGCGCTGTCCGCGCCCCGGGTGCTGAACGCGCCGGACCGGGCAGGAGGGCGCGCTTTCAGTCCGGGGCGTAGCGCCACACCTCGCCCTGGAGCACAGGAGGCGTGGGATGGGGAGCACGCACTGTCTAGCGGGACTCCGGCCACATTTCCACGCTGCCCGGCAAGTAGGCTCTGACTCCGAAACGTTTGGCGAGTCGGGAGGGTCGGCGGGTGCTCCCACGCAAGCCGCTCCTGCTCCCTTAAGTCGAGTGCCAGGTTTTGGGGTGAGACACGGTAGAGACGCTCAGCCCGCCTGGGGTCACAGGGCGATGCCGTCACTCTGGAGTGCTCTTCAGAGATGAACTTCCAAGGAGAAGACACTCCAGCCTTGCGATGTTGTGCAGCCTGAGTTCAGACAGTGAGAGTCGCTGCCAGCTGCTGCGCATAGCGTGTCTGCAGAGCCGAACCACGTGCTTTCCCAGCCCCTGGGTCCACCCCTGGTTTCCACTCCCCCAAAGTGATCAGTAGCACCGCCTCCACTCACCTAAGTGACATTGTCTGTGGCTGAAATCTGTTGTCCAGTGTTTGAATTCACTCTCAGAAATCGTTTCTCTTTTCTAAATTATTTGTATTTTCTGTTTCTCACTTGATAAAAAGCTGCAGGAGGCCTCCTGGTGGCTGACCTCAGCTAGGTGCTGCCAGACACCTCTGATTTCGGAGCCTGTCAGGCGATTTTCCATGATTTTAGGATGAGACTGCTGCTGAGATACCTGGATCCTCCTCCCCAAAACCCGGTTCCCTTTCTGGTGTGGAAAGGGCCTTGCTGCTCCCAGAGCACAGGGGGCGCAGAAGTGGCTGACACAGCTGGGAGGTCCGAGCTTTAATGCCTTGTAAAGAGGAGAACTACGCTATTCTAGGATTTAAGACAATTTTATTAAAACTGTACAATAATTTACAAATGAGTAAAAATTCTCTGGTATATATCATAGGAATTACAATAGAAAAATATGTGTAAAATCTTGTAGTTGATCACCATACAAACCTATTTTAGGCCCATAAATACTGTTTAGCACTGAACAGAACATCACATTTTAGAATGTGGTTAGTAAGGAATCGCTTCAGACAACACAAACACTGGCTGGCATATTGCATGAGAAAACAAGTCCTAATTTCATTTTTGCATAAATGTGCAGTAAAGCTTTTTTAAAGTATACAGTAAACAAATAAATGATTTGATACATATACATACAACTTGATTTTCCTGAGCCTAAACATAAATCCATTATTGTGTTAAAACACACAACCCAACTGAAGGTGTCAATGACGGAGTAATGGTCCACGTAGATTAACATCACAACAGCCCCAAACTCCCACACGCCCTCATTCCTGACTTCCAGCGTTTGTGTCCACAGACCACGTAAGGCACTCGGGGTGTCCTGAGGGCTACAGGCCCCATGATGGCAGAGCACCTTGAGGAAGAGCCGTTGTCCTTCAGCACTGGAGCTCTGGGCCATGGGAGCGAGGTACACACGCATCCTGTGCCAACGAGGAAGCCGCACTTTACATGGATTTCTTGTTCACACAAACGAAAACATTTGCATTGTTTGGGGTATTGTGTACACACTGTGATTCTGTTGGTAATTGTTATGCTGTACACAGGTCCATGTCTTGGTTACACAGTAAACATTTCTGGCAACATTTCAGGGTCCCACCTGTTGCTCCATCAGTGAGTGGTGCGTTTACACACAGATGTCCCCTGTTTGAAGAGTTTACATATAGTAAAATAGCCCACATACTTGCAGGAAATTCAATCCAACCCCCTAGTTTTGAATAAAATGTATATTCTAGAATTTAGACAATCATGTTATTTTAAAATACTTGAATTCTTCAGATGCTCACTAGACCAGCAGGAATCAGTGACAAATGCTCATATTTGCCTTTTTCTTTGGGGGGTGGGGATGGCAAAAGCCTGGCCCTGAAATGCTGGATTTTTAATCAGATGTAAAGGTGCCTATGGTACATGAGTAAAAAGTGGTTATCTAAAGAGAGGAGCTGACATCACAACCACTGTGTGTTTTCAGAACACAGTAGGATACAAATGCAGTTGCTTCCTGGAATGTTATTCAAAAACATCCATTGAACCACTTCCCTTTCCTATGTGCACATGATTTACACATAAACAGTAACAATCTCGTAAGCATCGGTATGTTTACATCCCTCTTTCCTGTGTAGCTCACCTTGTTTTAGCTCACAAAGCCACGGCTGAGTGTCTGGGGTGTGCAGGGAGGGTATATGGAGCACTCCAGGTGTGTACAACATGCAAATCAAGATGATCCGGACAAAGAGGAGGGGTGTGAACTTGGGTTTCAAATGCACAGCTTTAGCTCCTAAACAGCCACCCCACCCAGCTGCTTTTCCTGAGCATGTACACATCACGTAGGAGCTCCCTCAGAGGAGGGTGACCCACAGGTGGAGCTGGCAGTGTGGGGTGTTCCTGAGCACCCACATTGCACAGCCCATCAGGCTTCAACTGGGGAGTTCAGCCATAGCTCCGTGGTGGCTTTTATGAACACAAGACTATTGTTTGCCATTCGGTTCTGAGTTCAACAGAGGATCAGCCATTAGTATGAGACAAAACTATGCATGGAGGATCAAACAAGGTTTCAGACTTTGGACACAAACCCCACACCAGGCTCAGCCAGAGAGGCAGTGAGCTGACCCCAATATCTTCTGCCCAAATGACTAGGTAACCGTGGCTTTTATGACAACAGAAAGGATGGGTCCTTCTTGGACGGATGTCGATTGATAGTGCATTACCCAGCAGAAAGCCCACTTGTACCAGAGAAAAGCATGCCTGTCTGATCCTATAAGCTCTCTCCCATTTCAACCTAGGGAATCAAGCCTGGTCAGGCCACCACTGTCATCTCCAAGTTGAACATTTCTTCTGACACATATAAAATGAATCAGACAGTTCCAAACAGCACGGTTGTCCCTCTGCCTCCCCTCAGGAATGCACCTTGTTGTTTTTTAATACATGTTACATTCTCACCTGCCTTCAGGTCTCACCATCCAGCACATCTACTCCTAGGTGCTTCAAAAAAGCTAAAATCCTGCACATCACCTTCTGGTTAAGCACTTGCATGTACATACACCCCCTGTGCACATTCCACACTGAACATGACAGCCTGAGACCACCAAGGGTACCGGGTCAACAGACACACCACCTCCAGCCCGTGAGCCAGGCTGGATCCCGGTGCCCGGGGGCCTTCCTGGGCTGTTGGCCAGAGCGCCCAGCAGAAATGGAAATCACACTTAAGAGTGGCTTCATCTGCATGCTGTTTCCTCTCTGAAAAAGAGTAAAGACAAAACCTTTATTTTAGCTGAGATGCCCGAGGTATGAGCTGCAACACTCATGGTGGGGAAGGTCTAGAGAAACACCAGGGCAGGGGGCTGACCGAGCACAGGCTCACAGGGCAGTGGGGGCTGTGGCTCTAGCTAGTCACAATCCCATGTCTTGAGCCTCTGACCCAGGGGCGCAAACAACTTTTCCCAGGTGACCATAAGGCCACAGAGATGAGTCCATGTGCCCCACGAAGCATGTGCAGAAGTGGCCTTGGGCCTCCCCTGAAATGCCTGACCAAATGCCCTCGCTTCTAATTTCCGTTTATCCTCATTACTGAGAGACTCTTCCTTATGACCTTTTACATCCATAATGTTTGCAACAAGTAACGTAAGTGCTGATCGAATTCCTTTTGAAGAGGAAGGTGAGCCCTGCCTCAGCCCTGGGGCAGCAGTGGGCTGAGAGGTGGTGACGCACTCCCCCTTGAGTGCGTCCTGGGGGCCACAGAGAGCAAGCCGGAACACTGCTGCTGAGCAGCTCTTGCGAGAGGGGATGACACCCTGATGGTGACGTGGGTGGGCACGGTGTGACGGGGTACCAGGGTGCGGATGAGCACACGGCCGGGGCCCGTGCTGGAGGGAGGGCCCTGACCAGCTCAAGGCCCAGGGGGCACAAACCATTGTCCTGTGATGTGGCGATGTCCCAGTAAAGTGCACCCCAGAACCACAGCCTCACCTCTCTGTCTGGAGAGCGATTCTGGTTGTAGTTTGCACACCGGGCTGCATGAAGGGTGGGTGGCTAGGCACAGGGACAGGCAATGACCAAGGCTGTGGAGTGGCTCCTCCCACAAAAATGGGCCGGGGCCAGGCCTGAGGGCAGAGAGCGCCCACCTGGACGGCCACCAGTGGCAGTGGGGTGCTCTTGTTCGGGCATCCAGCCCGAGAGCCAGGAAGATGTCAGAGCCGCGTTAAAGCTGCAGAGGCAGGACTCCCTGCAGACACTGGCAAATGCCGTCATGCATATGCATCAGGAAATGGCATTCTGACTCCTGTCAAAATAGATCCTGAGGAACAGCCCCTGCCGTCTGTGTTTGTGTTGGGAATTCCCATCAGGATCTCGACTGCTGGGAAACACAAAGATGCTGGCAAAGAGACTGAGCGCCTTCCCGGGTCTGAGCAAGCCCACATGGATGGGAACCAACTGCATATGGTGAGTGCTGGGGGCCCCCAGCTGTGGCCTCCCCGCAGCTTCTGGAAACACCCAGGAGACAGGCAGACCCAGGTCCGCACACTGGGTGGGCCAGGGGATGTCTGGGTGGGCAAAAGCATGATTCCACAGACGCTTGGCCCGGGTGAGACCCTGCAGCCTGCATCTTTGCTCTCTGTCCCCGGACCCCCCAGAGCGACCCACACAAGTATGTCCGTCTACAGGGCAGTGAGAATGTGTAAGCTGTTTGTCGGGGAAACTGCAGCCAGATGTCAATCCACCACACAGAAGCAAGCGGCAACGATGGACCTGTGTGGGTTTTTCCCTGGGTAGAGGGCCCCCACCTCACCCATGCCCAAAAGGCTCCTGACTCCCTTGCCCACCGGCCAGGCCGTAGCCTCCAGAAGACCCTCCCGGCCATCCTGTCTCCGTCCACACTGCTGGTGTCACCTGGCTCTCGGGAGATGGGACTCCAGACTCAGTCAGCCACGTCCTCTGCGGGAAGCCAGTGCAGCCCCGAGGACCCTTGGCACCCAGCGCAGTGCCCTGGAGTGCCAGGGCAGGTGAAGTCTGGGCACCGAGGAGGGCGTTCAGGCGCAGGGCCCACACTGCCTGCTGGGAGCCCCTGGTGGCCACTACTCTGCCCCCTCCTCCAAGGAGCCGGAGCACCAGCCAGGAGCTAGCAGGACAGAGGCCCCCTGGGCAGGGAGCCCTGGGGCAGACTCTGCCAAGTGGAGAGGCTGAGGGCTGGGGATGGCCATGCCCGAGATACCCACCCAGAGAGAATGGAGGCAAGCATGGGTGGCAGGAGGCAGGGCGTGACCCGGGGAGCCAGCGTGGAGAAAGATGTCGGGGCAGGCTGGCAGGGGGGCTGCACCTCTGCTGGGAAGAGCGAGAGCATGCCAGTTCAGCAGGCTTGCTCAAAGGCAGGGGGCCAGGGAACTCGCAGGAGCATGGCCGTGGTGAAGACTGGGCACAGAATGGCTGCCTGAACCCCCACCTACACTCACTGTGCAGGGAAGCAGTTTGGTGCCAGACCCCGCCGCACTGCCCTGCACGGGGGAGCCCTGCACGGTGCCCCTGCAGCCTCTATGGCCCCACCACTGGGCAGGCAGGTGAGGAGCTCTGCAGCTGCCCTTCTGGGGACCCCTCTGTCTCTTGCCATCAAGTGGCCCTGCAGAGCCTTGGCAGCCTTTGTGCATCCTGGCACCTGCTGCAGAGGGGTGGCACAAGGCTGCTCCAGGCTGTGTGTCCTGGTCCCACAGCCCCGGGGACCAGCAGGCTTAGTCCCAATGACGGGACACCTGCAGCACAGCCCCAGTCCGAACTGCTGAGCTCTTAGCAGCCCATGAGGGGTGCCTGAGGCTCTGGAGGGCATGGTAGCACCAAGCTGAGGGTGACAAGGGCGCCTGGTACCACCCCAGGGACTGGGCCTCGCCCCTTCACCACCACTCTGCACAGGTGATGTAGGGCCTGTCCTCTGCTCCCACGGCCCCACCCCTGATTACTGGAGGGGGGGATCCATTCCAGGAAGGGGTCCCACCGGGGGTCAGGGTAACGGAGATAATTCTAGAAGCTTCCAGTGCTCACAGCAGGGACGGTTGAGGCTGCCAACTGCCTGGGCATGCCGGGCCCCCCCATGCCTACATCAGCCCAGAAGCACCAGCACCAGGGCCAGGCTCTCCAGGTGACGGCCAGCAGCGTGTTTGGAAGCCAGCTCAGCTCATCTCTGTCCCTCCTGGTGAGAAGGCTGGGCTGCTCTCATACATGCACACACTGTCCATGCTGCACTGCGAATCCACTGCCCAGGCCCCCAGGCCTCTGCCTGCTCACACACACCTGACCAAATGGGCACACACACATGCACACGCCTGCTGCCTGCTCTCCGCTGGTTCCTGGGGCTGCTTCCAGTGTGGGTCACAGCAGCTGCTCTCGCAGCCCTAGAAGGGGGTGTCCAGCTACCTTCTCTAACACCGATATCTCTGATACTGGCGTTCATATTAACGGGTTCATGGTCATGCTTGTGAAAAGACCCATTACCGCTGTAACCAAGATGGCCACATGAGAGACGGTAGCCGACTGCCGCCACCGTGAGCTACTGGCTGGAGAGAATGGGAGAGACGGCCCAGCAATGCTGGCGGGTGGGGGAGGGGGCTTCAGGCCGGTTAGTCAGTGTCTGTCTGAGAGTGTGTGCAAACCTCCCAGGACCACTGGAGAAAAGCCTCTGCCATAAGGTAAAAACAGAGGGATTGTGAACAAAGAGGGAAGCCACCCTGCTCCAAACCCGGTGGGAACTGGAAAACCGCCTGGCGGCATCTCCTCAGCTAAGCATCCGTGTTCAGATGACCCAGCCGGGCACCTGCAAGCAACTCCCACACCATGTTAGCAACGTTGCGAGAAAGTTCAAGAGGCGCCGTTAGGAAAGGAGACCCGAATGTCCATCAGAGGCGAGGTGAAGTCCCACAGAGAAGTCGCAAACACGACACATACCCACCACACACCACACCAAGATGTGGGTGACTCTCAGCACGGTGGTATTAAGGACAAAGTGTGTCCTAAAGATACGAAACATACGATGGCTTTTTAAGAAGACTTAGAAAACAATAATTATACCTTCTAGAAACTATGGGTCTGCCACAAAGCTCTACGCAGGGGCAGGCAGTGGGAAGGGGTGTGAGTTAGCAGCCAGCGCACCCACAGATACCATGACAAGCGAAGTAAGGAAGCAAGGCCTTCCCAGCCCAAGGCCAAGAGTGTGGTCTGCACCCGTCTCGGGACAGACGCAATTCTGTGCACCCAGGAAACCAAGCTGAGGGAGGCCTGTGGTGAGGACCTGCCAGTCACCCACCTGCCGCCAGGGACCCTCAGGCCAGCCTATTCTGAAATGCAAATGCAGTGTGACCACCGTGGCCCTGTGCGGGAGCGGCACGGACGGTGCATAGGCTGGTCGCCTGCCATCAGACAAGCGCACGTCTGCCCTCGGCCTCTGAGCCCCGCCTCTGACAGCTGGAGCCCAGGCTGACAGCACCGCCCTGACAGGGCTGCTGCCCGGGGGGGCCTGCAGGAGGGCCTGCAGGAGCTTCACAGGGCGCCTGGGCAGGGCCCCTTCAGCGGCATCTGGGAGCCCTGCCACCTCGCAGGCGCCCCACCCTGCTCCCAGGACAGGGGATACCTGGGAAGAGCGACCCCCCAGCTCAGCCATAGCCACAGGGAAGAGCGGCCTCAAAGAGCTCATTGTTCACGCTTGGCTGAACCACCCACAGGAAACATAAACATCTCACCTTTTGTTCCTTTTTTAAAAAAGGTAAAACAATAGACACAAATTAAGAAGATTTCATTGGGTTCTGATGGGGATGTTAGAGACATTTTTTAAATGGAGGCCGTTAGTCCACGTGTAGCCCTGCTCACCACCTGCGGACACATTCTGAACAAGGGCAGCGGATCCCTACCTTTCAGAGATGACCACACAGCCATCATGCCGGCCTGGGCCATGGTGCGGCAGCAGCAATGGGCACCCAGCTTAGGCGAGGGGCTGCTCCTCGGCACCCGGTGCTGCCCCACCAAGAGCTGTGAATGTGGATGGGCTGACAGTTAGTCTCACACACCTCCAGCTTCCAGGCCATGCTGGGCAGGCAGGCCCCGGATCCCCAGCCCTGTGCCCAGGAACCACTGGAGACCATTTATGCTGGGCTCAGAGGATGCCAGCAAGTGGCACACCGTCCCCCTGATTCCTCCTGTGCAGTGACACAGTCGGCGGGGACACTTCGGCTGGGGTGGGACTTGCTTCAGCCAGGCAACAAGGATTTTAATCAAAACAAGGGGGAGTTCTTTACCATGGAGGCAGGAGGAGACAAGAAATGGATGAACCACACAGAAAAAGTGTGCTTTAAACTGGCACCAGATGCAAAAATTAATTCAAAATGGATCACAAAGATAAAATGTAAGACATAAAACCATGCTACAATTCTAGAACAAAACATGAGAGAAAATATTTGGGACTTTGAATTAGGCAAAGGTTTCTTAGGTCAAGCACCAAACACACAACCCATTTAAAAAAAGTTTTTTTATCAACTAGACTCAATCAAACTTAAGAACTTCTTTTCAACAGATATTCTGTTCAAAAGACAAAAGAGAGACTTGGAGAAAAAACTTTTGAATTATGTAGCTGATCAAAGTATGTATCCAGAATATATACATAAATTTTAAAACTCAATAATAAGAAACAAGCAATCTAACTCTAAAATGGACAAAAGATTGGAACAGGCACTTCATCCAAGAAGATACATGGAGAGAAAATCACCACATGGAAAGATGTCCAACATCATAGGAGAAATGTAAATTAAAACCAAAATAAAATATCGCCACATCCCTATCAAGATGGACACAAAAAAAGAACTGACTGTATCAAGTGCTGACAAGGATGTGGAGCAACAGGATGCCCATATATTGCTGGTGGGAAAGCAAAACGTGCAGCCACCTTGGACAAAAGTTCCTTATAAAATTAAGTACTTGCTAATCCTAGGTATTTACCCAAGAGAAACAAAAACTTATATTTATACAAACACTTGTACATGAATATTTATAGTGGTTTTAGTCAAAGTTGCCCCAAATAGGAAACAAGCAGATGTCCTTCAACCAGAAGCTGGGTAAAGGGTAGCACATCCCTGCACCAGAAATGACTCTGGTGCAGAATAAAAAGGAGCAAACCACAAAACAGGAGAGTCCTGTCACTAAGTGGGCAGAGCCAGACCCCAACTTAGGTGGCTCAGAAATAGCAAAAACGACAGGAGGGAAACAGACTGCTGTTGCCAGGGGGTTGGGGGTGAGGATGGCATGACTGCAAAGGGCGGCAAGAGGGCTGTGATCGTGGCAGACACCTGTGTGCGTCAAAACCCAGAGAACTGTACATTACAAATAGGGAACTTGGCTGTGTGTGTAAATTTCTAAAAAATAAGTAGGTGTGGGAAAGCCCAAATGGACTCAACGCTGTGACAAACGAACCCCCTGGTAACTACACTGGGCAGAGGGAAGACAAGAACCAACCTTAACTTTTCTAAAAACAGTATTTTGTCTGGACACTAAAAGGCTGAAGATAAAAGAAACTGTATGGACATATACTCATTGGTAACTTTGTTTTGGAGGGTATGGGGTGAGCAAGCAGAAGCTACTTGTGGGCAAGTAGGCACCCAGTACATACAGTGACAGCCAAGTCTCGGCTACCAAAGACAGGAGGCAGAGGGAGGGAGGGCAGAGGCCGGGTGGACTGCAGACTGTTGGCCTGGAATTGGATGTCGCTCTATGAACTATATATATATATGAACTTTATAAAGACGGTGCTAGAAATCTAGATGACAGGTAGGTAGGTAGATGGATTATTGATAGATGATAGATACTAGATAATAAACAGATGATAGATAGATGCAGAAATAAGTGAAGAGCCTGGGTGTGCATGCATTAGCACACAGACATGAATCTCTGAGCCTCTACGGGGGTCTCTTGTATAATGTCACCCCAGTGGCAATGAACACACCCCTCACCCAGAGGTGTTGGTCCCTAAACACCATCCGCCAAAAGGGAGCTCCTCAGGGGAAGGGGCTGGTTTCAGGCTTGGGGCAGGAAGATGTGAGGTGACTTTGAGCATCCTGTGATGATGCAAAGTAAAAAAGTGCTCAAAACACAGAAGGGAGCAGGTCAAAGTGACACAGGAGGAACCTGAAAGACGCTCAGTGGCATAAGCCGGGGTGACTGAAGCAGGAAAATAAGTAATCAGCATTTTGGAGTCGAACCCATTGAATAAATTAAATATACACTGGTCCATACTGATTAAACAATTAGATAAATAAAGAATGAGAAAAGGGACAGGTTTCCTTTAGAGAAGAATTCTAATAAGATGGAAGGAACGTGGGGACTCGGAAACTGCCATGAGAAGGGCACAGTGATCACCGCTGCAGGGGAGAGCCCCCGGTGGCACCCAAGTCAGCAGACCAAAGTTCAAGGAGAAAAAGGGCATCTGCACTGGCCCGCAGCACCGCCCCCCGACGTATTTGCTAGTTACAAACAAAGACACCTTGTCAGCGGGAGCCGGGCAGGCACTGCCTTGACCAAGGGGCTGAGGCCAGCAGCCCAGAGGGCAGACCTTGGCCGCGGCGTGTCTCACCTGACACCCCAGCTAGGTTCTACCTGCAACAGCGTGGCTTGGCGTCAACCACTTCAGCCTTTTCTCCTATTTTGCTAGCGTTCAAGAGCTCTCTCCTTGGCCCCTGGGCACCAGCGGCTGGGTGGAGGGGAAAATGCAGTTCTCTGTGTGACTCTGTGCCTGCAAACCTTCGTGAGTGTCTGGTCCTGGGGCTGAGGCCACCGGGCAGCATGTCTCGGGTGAGCTGCTCCTCCCGCCAGCCTGCAGCTGGGACATGTACACGGTCCCGTCCCAGTGTGGACAGTGCCTGCACCCGGAGTGAGCAGCCTAGGGACAGGAGCTGGTCTGAGTCACCCTGGGGCTCCAGACCCACAAGAGGCTCTGTCTGGGCCTGGAGGTCACCAAGAGGGTGGGGGGGCCTGGATCCCCAGGGGCACTGTGCTGTCGGTGGACCACCCCCATGCCCACTCTCCTGCCCCAGGCCTCCTTTCTGGCCCTGGCTCCCCTCCGTAGGTGACCTGCTCCTGGCCCTGGGGCACCACAGTTCTGGGGACACTGGGCAGCTTTCTGAGCCCTGGAAGGTCCACCCTGCCCCGTACTCTTCACGGCAGCCACAGAGCCACCGGCTGGCTCACGGGGAAAGGCCACCGGGAATGATGGGGACGGGGCCCAAACCACCCTGTCATCCACGGAGCCTTCTGGGCACGCTGGCCTTGCATTCCCATCCAGCTGTGTGTGCTGTGATGTACCTTGCCACGGGGGACCTTTGAGCCAGGCTGTGGCAGCAGATTGTCCTCACCAAGCAATCAGAAACACGGGGGTGGGGCGTTCAGCACTTTCCAGAGCACCACACGGCCTGTGCCCATTTGTGTAAAGGTCCAAGGGTTTCATCGCAGGTTCTCATGCAGGGTGACCCTGAGCACCAGGGACCACAGGCCTTGAAGGGGGTCTTTGGGCTAGAGCACCCCTGTGTGGCCCTGCAGTGCCTGAGGACTAGGGCGGGGCCGGGAGGGGCCCTGGCTTCTAGAGTGACCTTCCCGCCTGAAGCCTGTCCTGGGGCCCACTCGCCTCCTCAGGAAACGCCACCAGTGCCCCTCCCGGTAAGCGGGTAAGCGGTGGTGTGCGGCCCTCCTCCACCTTCTGCTCCCCTTCTGCTCCCTCTGGCCCTGGGGCACCACAGTTCTGGGGACACTGGGCAGCTTTCTGAGCCCTGGAAGGTCCACCCTGCCCCGTACTCTTCACGGCAGCCACAGAGCCACCGGCTGGCTCACGGGGAAAGGCCACCGGGAATGATGGGGACGGGGCCCAAACCACCCTGTCATCCACGGAGCCTTCTGGGCACGCTGGCCTTGCATTCCCATCCAGCTGTGTGTGCTGTGATGTACCTTGCCACGGGGGACCTTTGAGCCAGGCTGTGGCAGCAGATTGTCCTCACCAAGCAATCAGAAACACGGGGGTGGGGCGTTCAGCACTTTCCAGAGCACCACACGGCCTGTGCCCATTTGTGTAAAGGTCCAAGGGTTTCATCGCAGGTTCTCATGCAGGGTGACCCTGAGCACCAGGGACCACAGGCCTTGAAGGGGGTCTTTGGGCTAGAGCACCCCTGTGTGGCCCTGCAGTGCCTGAGGACTAGGGCGGGGCCGGGAGGGGCCCTGGCTTCTAGAGTGACCTTCCCGCCTGAAGCCTGTCCTGGGGCCCACTCGCCTCCTCAGGAAACGCCACCAGTGCCCCTCCCGGTAAGCGGGTAAGCGGTGGTGTGCGGCCCTCCTCCACCTTCTGCTCCCCTTCTGCTCCCTCTCCTACAGGCAGGCACGCCCAGGGAGTGGTGGTCTGCTGTTCTGGAATGCTCCACAGCCAGCTGCGTGAGGAGTAGCCCGCTGTTTGGAGGGGGCAGGCTGAGCGGCTCTGGGGGGCTCCCACCATCCCACACTACACACTGAAATAGAACCGCTCCCCACGCCAAAGCCCCACCAGGCCCCCAGAAGCACCTGCACTCAAGGAATTCCACTTGGAAATAAATTGGAATGGGCTTTCCAGCTGCTGGACCCTGGGGCGGGCGGCCTGGCCACTCAACATGCTGGGGACCTTCAGGAAGCTGCTGAGCTGGGGGTCGGATTAGAGAGAGGAGTGCTCTAAAGCTACAGCAGTGGCCTTTCTGGGTTTGGAGTCCTGGGGGCAGTGGGACAGGGTGGGCAGCACAGGCCAGAGTGCCCTGTGGGGGCTGGAGCCCAAGCTGGCAGAACAGCCACCACCCCTGGGAAGGTCCCCCCTGCAGGAGACAAGGCCACCCTCCTGGCTCAGGGACGGCCCGTGGCTCACTCCCCGGTCCTCAGGGGGCCTTGGCTGGCCTGGGGGCAGTGTCCTGGGTGTGCAGGACGCCCCCCAGGTCAGCACATCCTGAACAGCCCTCAGGGAGCAGAGGGCGGGCTACACAGACCCCCGCAGCCTGCAGGGAGTGACTGGCAAACTGAACCCACATCTCAGACTGAAAGCCTGGACTAAGCAGAGACAGATGAGGCTGAGCCCGACAGGCCAGGAGGAGGTGTGGCAGCCCCCCCACCAGCAGCAGGGAGGGCCCCATCCCCCAGGGGTGCAGCGCCTTACCTGCCCACCACCTGGCCGCCAGGCTCCCTCCTCTGGGATGCAGAACCACAGGCGTGCTGCTGTGCCCTCGCCCGGACACGGCCCCCCGAGTGTGAAGGCCGGAGCTCTGGATGGGCAGCACAGCCCCTCTCCACGCGCCTGCAGCTCTTGGCCTCCACGCTGGTGTTGCCGGGTGCCCAGAGCCTCTACTGTGTCTGGGGCTATGCTGTCCGAGGTGGCCTCTGGCCTCCAGGGTCTCCAAGAAGGTGAGGCCCCTTTCTGGTGGGTCCCATCCCTCTCTGCCCCACCTCCTGCCATCTTGCTCCTTAGTCTTCTATGGTCAGCCCCACGGTGCTCTGGCGCAGCTCAGGTGGGGCAGAAGGCTGAGGGCTGACGGCACGGTACAGTGGGGCAGCCACGGTCAGTTCCAAGAGTGGCAGCGTCGTGCACCAGGCAGGGCTGCGGGATGTGTGGTCCGGAAGTGCCCAGGACCCCGGTGAGAGTCACAGAGTCCTCACGGCCCACCTGAGGTGTCTTGGGGAACTGCCCTTGGGACGTCCGGAGGAACCAGTTTCCCTGAATGACGGTCACCACCACGGTTCAGCCTTCACTTTGCCATTCCGCAGGGTGCCTGTGCTGTTTCTGACTCGCCCTCTGAGACAGGCATATGGCTCGTACGGGGACCAAGCGTGAGGGTGGGCGGGTTGGGGGGCTCCTGCACAGAAGGGCTCTCTGCACCTGCTCAGCAGGCACTCAGGCAGCCCTGCGACCGGGACCGGGAAGCTGCACCCCAAGGAAAGACCCCAGGGTCCAGCAGCCAAGACCAGGCCTCCGACAGGAGGGCCCTGGCCAGAAAACTAGTCCTGATTCTGGCTCATCAGAGTGACTGTCCCCCACTCAGAGGTGCTCAGAGCCCCCCTTCTCCCTCTTCCTTAAAGGGGGGAGGTGTGCAGAGAGCAGGTCCTCCTGGGTCCTTAGGAATGAGGTGCAGTGTCCGGTCTCGCCGCCCAGCCACCTGCTGCTCTCTGGCCTGGCTGGAGGAAAGGGGTCTGACTCCTCTGGCAGCTGGAGGGAAACAGACACAGGGCACACAGGTCAGGGAGGCTGCTGGGTGGGAGGGAGGTGGCGGAGGGGCGGGTGCTGGGGGGTCGGGGGTGTGAGCCCTGTGCTCCGGGGAAGGCCCTCTCAGGGCGCCCTCTGAAGGCGGGGCCGTGGGCCAGGCAGAACCACATGGCCACACTGCTTGGCGGCCCATCTGCTTTTGGAAGGTAGCAGTGGCTGCCAGGCCTTTGCAGTCTGACTCTGAAAGCCGCAGGGACACCCAGTTCTGTGAGACACGGCCACAGCTGTGAAGGAGCCGCGTGTTAGGGACCCTGGGCATTTCTGGCTGAATCTCTAACACAACCCCAGCTTATACTCGATGTTGTGGAAAAAGGGCGAAAAGACACGAAACGGCCTCACCGTACAGGCCCTGCTTCCTGCCAGGATGCTGCCACGGCAGGGGACCCGGAGTTGCACACTCGGGCATTCTGTGCACACTCGTCTCTCCTACTGGGCAGGACCCCTGGGAGGGGGATCCTCTGCTTTTTCCCTTGTGCCTTCTGACAGTGGAAGCCCCTCTGAACCTGGACCTGGGCAGAGGCCGAGGAATCTGAAGGCTGCCCCTGGCTTTGCGACTGCCCTTTGGAGCCCTGGGCACTGTCCCCCTGAGGCACCTCCTGCTCCCAGCAGCAGGCGGGCGGCATGGGGCCAGGCTGATCCCCAGGCAGCAGAGAGCCACCCTCGCTGGACAACTCCCACATCTGGATACTCACCACGTCAGAGAGCCCAGGCGAGCTATGACCACAGAATGAAAGCTAAGGAGAAAAATAAGAACAAAAATAGGAACTGAAAGGAAAGGGAGGGGAGAGAGAGAGAGAAGAGCATTGGTGGGGCGCCTGCCAGCGGCACGCACGGTCACGAACACGGTGGGTGTGGCGGCACAGGGGCAAGCAGTCGGCGAGGGTCATGCTGGGAGGGGCCAAGGACGCCCAGGGCCTGAGGTAACCGTGTGGCCACCACTTAGCGACGCACTCTGGGGGGCTTGGCACTGACCAGAGGCCAGGCTGTGGGCACAGGAGAGAAGCCACATGCCTAGTTTGTCCCCAGCACGTGTGAGGCTCTGCTGGTCTCCTTGCCTGCCCGGGACCCAGCTTCCTTCTCTGGGGGTGGAACTGGCTGCCTGGGCCTGTCCTGGAGCCGATGGGGACAGCATTCAGAGGCCACTGGTGATGGTGGGAGCCTCGTGGAAAGACATTCCAGGGGCTGGGCAAACACCAGCACTTCCTGGCCATATCTGGTCTCAGCCCCATTAATAGTGATAAAGGGCAACCAGCATCCTGAAGAGATTTCACACGTGAAATCTTATTTTGGGTCAGGGGGTGGGGGGAGGGGATCAGGCCAGTGCAGACACAAGAGAGAATCTGGTGAGGGCGCAGTTGTCTTGCAGGGCAGAGCCTCAGTACCTAGGCTAGAAGAACAAGCCTTGAGTACTTGGTGCAAACAGACACTGCCACTCTAAGATGCAAAAGGAAACACGTTCAGTTTGGGGGAGAGACTGTGCCTGATGGGGGACTGGAGCCCCAAGAACAGGCCTCCCCATGCCTCGTGGTAGCTTTTCCACATGTTGGGTGTCCGTGGGGCAGGTGTCCCTTGTCACAGGCTGCACGCAGGCGGTTCTGGGGCTGGGCACAGGTGCCTGCACTGCGGATTTGCAGCTCTTGTGGCCACTGCTTAGTGGGTAGTGGAAAAGTGCCCAGGGAAGGGTCAGGTTTGGTTGTGGACCAGCGGGTGGGCACTGGGGAGGCCTGCCATGGGGAGGGACCCCTCTCTCCTCTGAGCACAGAGTCTTTGCTGGCTCTGCCTTGGGCCAGGGCTGGGACATGCAGCCCACAGGAGTCTGCCCAAAGGCCGGCCTCCTGCTCGCCCCGAGAGGGACAAGGCAAGGAGGTGCATCTAACGGCGGCCTCACTCCTTGCTCAGCGGGGAGCCAGGCATTTGGTGCAAACCAGCCCCCCGGCAGGACCAACCGCAGGAACCTCGTCTGACTGCCGGAGATCACTGAAGCGTCCCTAAATATCAGAAAAAGAGCTGCCCTAAAACAAGCAACCCCCCTGAGCCAGGGTTCTCTCTGGGAATGCTCTGTGTACCCCGGTGTGGGAGTGTCACTCTAGACTGTCACAGTGAGCAGACAGAGCGCCCGTGACCCCATGCTCACAAAGCCAGGGGTCTAGAAAAGAGCCAGCCGTACAGCCCACCTGGGGCCCAAACGAACTGCTTGCCAGCCCTGCAGTTTCCTAAACCTGAAAGTAATTGCGTCAAGGACCAGAAATAAGGGATTCGCACCTGACGGTCGGCCTGCTTTCATGTGGAAAAGCCACAGTCTTTCAGGAACTTGATTTTAGGCCAACTGCTTGGTGAACTTGGAGGAACCATACGCTGTAGCACAGCCGTCCCCGCAAGAGGGCCCTGATCCTGGCCCAGTGCACATGGCTCCAGCTAGAAGCTGTCTGGGGGACTTGGCACCCGCGAGGTGGCACGGACAGGCCACTGCAGGGGTGCGGCTCTCAGCGCCCGCCCGCGGCACCTGGTCCAGAGCTCACCCTGCCGACCTCAGACCGGGCGCCCTGCTCCTCTCCCGCACCCGGAGGCCCCACTGCCAGCGGCCTACCTGCGCCCCCAGGTTACCTTTTCCTCCAGTTCCTTGGCTTGCCGCCTCTGGGCTTCTAGCCTCTCTTCTAGCTCTTTGATTCTCTGCAGTGTTAAAAGGAGGAAAATCTTCAGTGACCAGGGTATTTGGGAATCAAGGAGACCAAGTGGGAAAAGGCCCTGCTGGCCTTACTCATTCCTCGGTGGACAGTCACGGACCAGGAGCCACGTGGGCACCGTGAGGGGCCAGGCGCCTTGGGCCGCCCGTCTGCCGGACGCGGAGGAAGCCTCAGCTGGGGAGCGGAGTGGGCACATTGCCTCAGGCTCCCCAGCGGCCACAGCGGCAGAGGCGAGGCCTGTCCTGTCCAGTCTGCCAGGGCCCCTCACCTCCCGTTAGTCCAGATTGGCCTGAGGTCCTGAAGTGCCCCAGAACCAGCTTGAGGTCCCAGGAGGCTGGTTGGGAGGGGCAGGGAGTCCAGCAGGAGGGTGGGCATGGGAGGACATGGCCACGGGCGGCTTGGGCACTGGGGTGCATGGTCACTGGGGCGTGGCCGCTAGAGGGGCGCCTGACCCACTGCGCTTCCGCTTCTGGGGGCCACACCCGCGTCGCCCCCAGGCCCGCGCACCCGCTGCGCCAGCTGCAGCAGCTCCACGCGCTCCCGCAGGATCTGGGCGTCCCGCTCGCGCAGCTCGCTCATGGCCTGGCGCTTCCACTGCTCCACGGCCGCCGTGAGCTCGGCGCGCTCCTCCTCCGACAGCAGCGCGGCCCCCTTGGCCCCGGCCTCCTGCTGCAGCGCATCGTACAGCATGGCTTCCAGCTCCAGGATGCGCTGGGGGCGGGAGGGGCAGCGTCAGTCCCCCCTCGTCCCCAGGGGCCTGACCCCGACGGGCCCCTGGGCGCCCCGTGGGTTCCGGGGTTACACCATCTCCAGGCCAGTCCACAGAGGGGCTGTGTTTCCCTGGAGCAGGTCACGTGCTGTTCCCTGGCGTGCAAACAGTCCAGGAGTAATTATTTCCAGAGCATTCATGTCCAAAAGATTTAAAAACGTGCAGTGAAACACCAATGGCAGAATTCTCGCACCACATTAACATTTGGGAAGACGTGACCAGAGCGGGTGTCGGTGCAGTGGGCGAGCGGGCGGCAGTCCTGGGGGAGGGAACGCGAAAGGGCCCCCCCTTCCCCGACAGCCTGGTCAACCCTGGGTCTGTGGGCCCGCAGCAGGGGGAAGGGGGGCTGCAGGGGACAGAGGGGGCACGTTCCTGACGTCACACCCCTCCCCACCCAAAGCCAGCCGCTGTGCCACCCTCAACGGTGCCTGTGGCGGGCGAATTGCGTCCCCAAAGACAGGCTATGTGAAGAAAGAGGCAGAGACCGGGGCGACTTTACCACAAGCCCAGGAGGGCCTGGAGCCCCCAGCGCCGTGGGAGGCGGGAAGGGCCCCGTCCTGGACCCCCCCGAGGAGTGGGCCGCCCCGCCTGATTTCAGACTGCCCCCCAGGCCACGAGAGCTCCTCTACGGCTCGGCCCCAGGCTGTGAGCCCAGCCGCTGCCCTCTGGCTCCGTGGCCCCCACTCTCCCAGACGGTGAGCCCCGAGGATGCCCACACCCACGGGTGCCTGGGGTGCGGCACGTGGTTCAAGACTTCACCTCTACAGCGTCATTCGGTCCCCACGCCTTCTGTGAAGTAGGGCCTGCATCAGCCCGCTTCACGCATGAGGAAACGGGGGCATGGTGACGGGTCAAGGGCAGCTGGGCGGCCGGCACGGAACCCTGCTGGTGGTGGGCGTCCAGACCCCGCAAGGGTCCCAGGGCTCAGGCACCCACCCTGATAGGGAAAGATTTACAAGGACCGCAATCCAGCCCCGGTGGCTCCCCTCCACCTTGCCCCCTCCTCAACACAAACAACAATAAGAAAACACTCCCTTGGTTTCCCGCTCTGCCGAGCCCCGGGTCCCAAGGTTCACTCCCTAAACCCCCGCCCGCTCGCCTGCTTGCTTGCTGTGCGTGTGGGAATCTTCTAGATACAGAAACAGAAGAATATATATTTCTCCCTTGGCCTTTGTTCAGGGCTCAGACTTTTGGGCGATGACTCCCCTCTGAGCCTGCCGGGGTGACATTAAGCCTCAACACTCCAAGACCTACGAGTGCCGCTTGGTTCTTCCGTCAGTGACCCAGTCCAGGTTTTTTTCAGTATTTTCCGTAACAACCCCATTCCACAGAGGCTCCAACGCACAGAGGCCTGCCCGCCACACTGCTGATGCCTGAACACGAGTGCCACCCTGCGCCTCTGTGATCATGCCCCTGATGCTTCCCTGCCTGGAGCTTCACAAACTCCTCTTCACCCTTCAAAGCCCACCTCCCTGGCCACCCTGCTCTGCCTGCAAGCCCCGCTTCCTTGGCAATCCTGCCCTTCCACTTTGTTGGTTAATTCTCCCTCCCGCCAGGGCTGAGGGGTTTTGCATCCCCCCGTGTGGTCCCAGCACAGCACCCCACTCATAAGTAGACAGCATGTGTTTACTGAGCGAACAAATAAATGAATGAAGGTAAAATACCCTGAGAGGCTTCTGATGCTTCTGAACCTTTGATATTTAACATAATTGATGCCACTTATGGACTCAGGTAAATTTATGAAAAATTATGCCATTTATGAATCTGGTAGGATGTCTCTCCCTACCCCACAGCAAGTGGGGAGCTGATGAGTGCCACCCTGGGAGCACAGTGCAGACTGGGGGTGCATCCTGGGCTTGTCAGTTCACAGAGTCCTTGAGGGGGCAGGAAGCAGCCCTGGGGTCACCAGGTCCCCCACAGGCCACCCAGCAGCCCCGGATCCCTCCCAGAGCACTGCACACCACTTCACTGGGCCTGCCTCCCCGGAGGAGGCACAGAGGCAGGCTCCGCACTCCTTGCAAGAAAGGCCACAAGTCAGGGGCCACGGTGCCCACTGCAGTCTTGGGGAAAGGACCTGGAGCCACACAGACCCCACAAGAACTCCCGAGAGAAGCTGAGTGGGTGCCGGGTGGGGAGGAAAGGAAAGGGTTGAGGGGGATCTGTGGCTCCCCTCCCCTGCTTCCAGAAATTCAATTCATGACGGACCACCATGGATTGGCATAAAACAGTATCTTTGCTCTAACTCAGCAGCCAAAATACACACCTTGGTGTAAATGCCTAAGGATTTAGTCATTTGAACACTTTTACAGCTTTTACCTCAGGGAATTTTGCTGATACAATCTTTGAAAAACCAAATTCTCAAACTACAGAACCCTATCTTCCCATCAAAAACATAACCTTTTCAGAAATTAATGTTTCCTTTTCTTCGGGCAAGATGATGATGAAACTCCTTTTGGCTTAGTAGACATTCTAGGAAATGAAAAAAAAAAAACCTTTTGGACCTTACTTACATTTTGTTGTTCTTGACAGCCACACAAGAAACTGTTCCCAGATGTCACAGCCAGCTCACCCTACATCTGCTGCCACTTCTCAGAGCAAAAGGGCTTCAGGGTGTTCAAGGAAACTCCAGCATTTAAAGACAAATGGCTGCATGTGGGCTTAGAACCAACATCACAATGGCTTCAAAAACCCGGCGTCTTTCTGGGAGAGGCTGTCTGACCTTCTCTGCACACAGGAGCACGAGTGGCACCTAGAAGACGGGCTCTGCGCACAGGCCTCTGCCCGGCTCCCAGGTCTGTGCCAGGTGCTCCCAAGGAAGCTGGCATCCCAAGCAGGGACCATGCTTTCCCTTTCAAACCCCCAGCTGTGGCTCTTGTGCTCAAAGCAAAGACGGGTGTGAGACCTGGGCAGGCGCCTGAATGCCTGAGTCTCCAAGGGCAGGTGGGGCCGGTCTGCCACCTCCTGCTGGGCACGTAAATGACAGGTGGAAAGCATAGGCTTAAAGAGCAAGTTGAGCAGATGCGGGTGGGTGGCAAGGCGTGTGTCTTTGTTGGAACTGGGGGAAGGGGGCCCCCTAATAGCATCACCCAGGGAGGAGGTCTCCACAGTCATCACAGGCTGCGGGCGGAGCAGCCACTCTGCACCCCCAGGGCAATGTGTTCTTTTAGCCTGTCTATTGCAGGCAGGTGGGTCTGTGTGTGTGCATGCGTGTGAGTGTGTGCATATGCAAAGCCATCTCTCTGACATCATGTATGGTGTCCCATCTTCTCCGCACTGATGTCACATAATCAATTCCCCTTCTCGAGGTGAGTCTGGAGTGATGCCTAGTCTTGGGGGTGAGATGTCCCCTCCCTGTGCTGTCCATGTGGTCTGTGAGCACAGAGAGCACCCGAGTGGGGGCTCAAGGCTTCCCGGCTGCCCCATCTGCTGTGAGCACGCCTCCCACCAGCCCCTGGGGCCCTGGATCTTGGCACATGTTCTGGGGAGGCCCACCAGTGCTGGCACAGCTCCCTGAGACCACCCGCCTCTGCTGCCTCTTCTGTGACTGCTCCAGCAGGCATCAGGCAACTGGCCACCATCACCCTGCAGAGGGTGCAGGGCCCTGCCCTGCCACCTGGGGCCCTGATGGGGTGACAGCAGCCTCAAGCCCCTGGGTCAGAGCTGGGCAGTAACAGACAGCATGGTGCCCCCTGCATACAACCTGTTCTACGACTCCAGGAGGTGGAAATTCCTACCTCCCTTTACCACAAGGGGCCAAGTCACTGGCCTCAGGCATCCCAGGGGCGGTGATGTAAATTCCAGGGCACATGCCTGCTTTTAGCTAATCCTCGGGACGCCTCACTGGGCCTCTGGACAGCTTCTCCTGAATAAGCACCATGACACACTGACTTCAAGGATTCGCAGTCTAGGTCGAACTTAGAGGGACTGTCCTGCAAGGTGACATCAATTTACAGGTGTCACTGATTGCCAGAGAGGAAGTGTGGGCTTCCTCCTCCAGGAAGCCTCCCAGGGTATGCTCCCTAGTCCCCACTGTGCTAATCTGAAGGGCAATGAAGCAACAGAAAGGCTGAGTGAGGTTCAAATCAAAATCTCAGACCAATTTCAGCAAGGAGTCAGTCATAGTGACTGAGGGAAGTGTCCTCTCAGATCTTGGTGTTGACCCGATGAGACACACACAGGTTTATCAGCAGGAGAAATTGTTTGCCACAGGAAGCAGATGTGCAAAGGAGGGGAACACCCTGCACTGCTCAGAATGGTTAGATGAATAAGGCAGGAGCCCCAGGAAGAGCAATGAGACAAGCATTCAACTGTGTTCAACTAATTTGTGAATGCATTATTTTCCAACAGATTCTATTTTATCACCGTATTGCAAATGTCCATTTGAGCTCTGCTCAGGTGCCTGCAGTCACAGGGGAGCATTTGCTGGCAGGGTGGCAGGGTCTCCTTGGAGCTCACGGGCCAGAGGCCTCCAAGGGGCAGAGAGCAGAGCAGCCCACGCCACTCACACCAGGCCCAGGCTGCTCGCAGGCAGGCGCTGCCCGGGACCTGGAACAGCTCAGTCGGCTCCACCCACAGTTCCCGCCGGCTCGGCAGCCACGTTCCCCTCACCTTGTGAGCCTGGTCCAAGGACTGCTTCCTGTAGTCCAGCTCCTCATCCAGGTAGCCTTTCTGTTTACTAAACAGCTCCTGAAGCAAAACAGGACCTTCAGCCTCAGGCTCTGCTCCTTGCCACCCTGTTGCAGGCCACATGGCGCGCCACCCACCAACCTTCTCACTCTCCAGGTCGACCATCTTCTGCTGCAAGGCCAACTCTGTCTCTTCGATCTGCTGGAGCCACTGGACTCAAACAGAGAGAGCAGGAGAGTGTGATCCTCGGGCAGTCACACAGGCACCGAAGCCATCCCGCGTGCCCCCTGTTCCATGGGGACAGCCTAGCTGGGGGGCAGGGGGCGCAGATGCATCTAGAGCTCTGCAGGAGATGTGGGAGGGGTGCTGCACTCCCGCAGTCCCACCCCCTGAGCCCCTAATCACCAGAACACCCTTTCTTTTTCCCACTGCTGGCCTACTGGGCAGGTGATGCCTGTGTGATGGGACCAGAAGCAGGCTGGCAGCCCTGGGAGCAGGGAAGCTGGGGAGTGAGGAGCCCTGGTGAGCAGAATGGCCCCCAGAAGCGGGTCCTGGCAGGGAGAACAGAATGCACCACATCGTGCAGTCTCTGGGGGTAAACCGAGGCAGAGCTGGCCCTGGGGCAAGGGCCGGCTGAACCTGCCATTTGCAAACATGTGTGATGGGTGCTGTTTGACCCGTGCATGTGCTGAACCTCCCAAGGCCGACGTGATCAGCGGCCCCGCCCAAGCTCCTGGCAGCCCCTCCTCCCCCAGCATGCCTGCACAGCTGCCCTCACCTTTTCAGCCAACGTCAGCACGGTCCTGGCTTGTATGACAACCACTTGCTCCTCATTGGTGAGATTCTGCACCCAAAAGCAGAGTAAACGCATAGTCAGGGGTAGCGCCCTCTGGGGCAGCTGGGCTGACAGTGGGTATGCGGTGGGGCTGATGACAGAGCCAGAGCTGGGGTCACAGCTAAGGGTCACTTTTACTAAGATGCCCTCCCAGTAGTCTTTGGCACCTCTTCATCTTGACCCTTGGACTGGGTGCATGCTCCATGTTGCCCCTCTGTCCTGTTACTGCTGGGAACCCTGACATTCTAGATTAGCCTGTTGGCAGAACAGGGGGAGGCAGTGCAGCGAGGGGACTGGCAGCAGGGAATACCTGCCCACTGCATCTGCCTGCATCTTTGTGTAAAGGCAGCTTTCTGCATCTGCAGTCTCAATTATTAGTAATTTAAAAACCACCTGTGTATGTGGAGCAGAGATCCAGTATAGGTGGCTATGACATGGTCTCCGTCCCTCCTGTTTTTGCCTTTTCCTGCGTGTTTTGCTCCTGCCTGGACAAGGAGCCTGCGTGGGTGGTCCTTCCGGGCAGGGTAAGTCTGGCGTTGGGCTGATGTGCGTCCTCAGAGGATGTGAGCACTTCACTCCCTGGGACCCTGGCCTCCCGCCCCATCAGCACAGGTGGGAGCTGGGCTGCCCCACTGCCGGCCCCGATCTGTGGGACGCCCAGAGGTGGGGCATGGGGAGAAGAGACTGGAGCAGGGAGGAGGCCCAGACCCCAGAACATCCCTGATCAGGGTCAGGCCACTCAGAAAGCCCTGTCTGTGCCTCTCTCCCTCGGGCGTGTGAGCTCCCCCAGGCCAACGGTCTCTTGCAGCCGCACAGGCAGGGACGATGACCGGCTGCTGTTGGGCAGAGGCAGGCTATGTCCCTGGGGCAGGCTGCAGTCCCAACTCTGAGTGGCGCTGGGGCCAGGTGGGTGTCCCCAAACCCTGCTGCACCTGGGAAACTGGCCAGGCTGCTCTTGCTGCTCTCCTCTTAGGGCAGGGCTGGCCTAACGGAGGGGTTAGGGAGGGGGTCAGGCTGAGCAAGTGGCTTCAGGGGGATGGAGAGAACCTCCTGGGATGTGGTTGGACCAGGCTGAAGGATCCACAATGTCCCACTTGGTGATCAGCCTGGCTGGGGTCCTCTTAGGCCCTCCAGGAGTTGACTGCATCCGAGGGCCCCGGCCTCAGCAATCTGCCATCTGCTCCACCCTCACTGCCTTTGCCCCAGCGAGCCGTCCTGACGCTGGTACCTGTGCCTCAGCAGCTCAGGTGTAACGGTGAGTGGCACTCCCTGGGAGGGGTGGTGGGGGTCCAGTCTGCACCCCCCAGCTCCTGCCCTACTCCCAGGGCCCTGACCTGGAGGACACCGAGGTCTGGGGTTCAGGTGCCCATGCAGTCAGTTTGGAGGTGCACCTTCCTGGGGTGTTTGGGCACAGGGGTCAGAGCGCTGGCACAGCCTGGTTGTGGGGGTGATGGGCTGGCTGTCCCGTCACCTGCCTCACAAGCTGGGCCACTCTGCAGTCCTGAGCTGCAGCTGAGATGGAGCACAGGGTCTGGGTGCCGGGCACATGCAGCGGGGAGCTGCTCCCTGCCTTTGCTGCTCATGGCTTCCCAAGTGAGGGGCAGGCAGGAGAGAGGTGATTCCCATCAGCACAGCCCTGCACCCCTCGCAGCTGCTGGGAAAACAACTGGCTCTGAGCATGTGTGAGTGAGAGGGTGTGTGAGTGAGAAGGTGTGTGTGTGTGAGAAGGTATGTGTGTGAGAACGTGTGTGTGAGAGGATGTGCATGTGAGGTGTATGTGCGTGACTGAGGTATGTATGTGTGAGAAGGTGTGTGTGTGTGAGAAGGTATGTGTGTGAGAACGTGTGTGTGAGAGGATGTGTGTGTGAGGTGTATGTGTGTGACTGAGGTATGTATGTGTGAGAAGGTGTGTGTGTGAATGAGGTGTGAATGAGTGTGTGAGCCAGGTGTGTGTGCACGCATGTGCTTGTTTTTTTCCTCCACCTATTTTGTGAAGTGCACTGATTTGACTGAGCGCCTCGCTCCTTCTGGAGAGTAGTAGCCAGGACTGGGGTCCAGGGGCCTTCGGACCGCCTGTGGCCTGCGCACCTGTCAGCACACCTGCAGGGGAAGGTCTGGGCTGTGGGAGGGGCCGCCCTCCCGCACAGGTGGGAAGCTCACGGGTAAAGAGCCTGCCAGATGCAGGATGATGGACGGAGGGCGGATGGAGGCCGGATGGAGGCCGGATGGATGAGGGATGGTGGAGGGAGGTGGGGGGAGGGGTGCGGTCACTGCCCACTCAGTGGTTAGTATTCTTTGGCAAAGTTTGCTGTAGAAATTGGAACTCTGCCCTAAAGGAGATCTGCAGATTATTTATAGGCTCTGCCCTTCCCTCAGAACCAAGGAAGGGGGAACCCCTGAGGTCTGGGGTGTCTAAGGTGCTCCAAGGAACTGCAGCCCCTCCCCACCATGGGCATGAGGGGGATGGGAAGGACCCCGGCACAGACCTCGTGGCTGGAAGTACCGACGCTGGAGGGAGCAGGCATCCCCGGGGCTCCCCCGGCAGGGCAGAGGCCCCGGGCCCACGCTCCCAGGCGCCAGGCGCCACCCACACTCAGAACAATGGGAGGAAGGGACGGAGGCTTCTCCTTGATGCCAGAGGACTGTCCCAAGCAGCTCTGATGGCGGGGCAGGGCGGGACCCGCAGGGGACGGCCGGCCAGAGGAGGCATGCGCAAGTCAGGGGAGCGACGTACACTTACGGCGTTGTCCCCCAGGATGTCCAGCTTCTTCATCAGCTCTGTGACCGGGATGTCCTGCAGGCAAGACAAGGGGCATGCTGGGAGGCGAGCCCCGGCCCGGCGGGGGCCACGCGGGGCGGACTTGGGCAGCGACTTACTGTCACGCCTTCAGCCTCGCAGCACGCTTGGAGGGGGCTCTTCCCATCCGCGAAGGGGGCGCGGTGGAGGTTGATGGCGGGGGACTTCCTCTCCCTCTCCTAGGACACAGGCACAGGCTGGGGTGGGGCATCGCTCGCTCTCTATCTCTCTCTTTCACACACACAGAGCAGCCACGCAGCCATCTTGTGCCCCAGGGGAGAGAAGGCAGGACCCTGAGGGGCAGCTCCATCTGGACTCAACCTACTTCCTCGGTGGGCAAGTGGGGACCCCGCTCCCCACATCTCAGGTGGGCAGGACACAGGAAAGGCAAAAACAGGTGCAGAAAAACCCAAGCAAAGCAAAGGCACAAAAGGCAGGTCATTCCTATGCGTCAGGGTCATGACCTTGTCCCCAGGCAGCCTGAAGTTTGCCAGGATGGAAAGGAGGCCCCAGAGTGGTGCTGGGGCAGCCAGCAAGGTGGACATCGGTCGGGTGGCTTCCTCCCTCGCAGGTGGACCACACCTCCCAGCCTTGCCGCGAGGACCGGCTCTGTGTCCAGCTGGACCCTCCCCTGGGAGCCTTGCTCTCTGCCCTTCCCTAGGGGGCCAAGGTCACAGCAGAGGGCGTGGGTCCCCAACAGCAGAGCACAGATACAGAAGGGCTCCGGGTCACTGTGTGGCTGGCAGCTGTCCTCCACTCAGGGGCTTACATGAGCAAGAAGCAGATGCCCGCCAGGCCGACGAGGCAGTCGGGCGTGTCCCCCTGCAGCACTGGGACAGCCTGGCGGGCACCATCTCATCCAGCCCCAGGGGTCTGGAAGCAGACTCGGGTGGGTGCACTTGTTTTGACTTTGCTGCAGCCTCCGCAGTAGGGCTGGGAGACTCATGCTCACTGGGTAGCTGGCCCAGCCCCTCAGACAGACGCCCCCTTTCCAGCTCTGCCTCGTGGGACCGTGTGCAGGACCTGGACCAGGAGGCTGAGGGTGGCTGGCCCCACACCGGCTCTGGGCCCCTGCCGGCCGCCGCCTGGGGCCCTCCCCACGCCACCCCACCCTGCGCGCCGGGCACCTGCCCAGGCCGCCTGCACACCTCCAGCTCCAGGATGCGGAACTCCAGCAGCTCGTTCTGGTCTCTCGCATCCTGGGCCTCATGCTTCAGTCGAGCCTCTTCTGTCTCCATTTGTTTGATCTGTAAGACAACAGGCAGACGGAACACCAGAGGTCGTGTGAGGTCAACCCCCAATTTCCTGACGGCTGCTGGCTGACCGGGCCAGAGCCCCCACTCCAGCCTGCCTCCGGATGGATCCCTAGTGAGACGGTGGCCATCTCTGCTCTCCAGATGGGGGTCGAGGGGAGGCAGGGCTGGCGCGGCAGGCAGGGACCCTGGAGCCGGGGAAGGAGGCTGGTGCCGGGCCCTGCCGTCGAGCGGAAGGGGCCCACGAGGGCAGAGCAGGTCAGATGTCACCGTGGCCAGCACAAGGCTCCCTGGAGGCAGGACTGGCCCAGAGTCTGAGGGCCCGTAGTGGTCTGATGGACGCTGTGCACCGCGGCTGCCTGGCCACCCTCCAGAACGACTCGCTAACTGAGAGGCTGTTCAAATGAATCAGCAACATGAAGCCCTGTGTGAGGCCCACGCCTGCCGGAAGTAATGGAGCCGTGGTGCATGGCCTCAGTGGCCTGTGAGCACAGGAAAATACACTAGGAGGGGGACCCCGTGGGCATGCAGCTTGGCCCATGCCCCTGAACTGAATCTGGGGACCAAGGGGCCTGCTCTGATACGGGTGGGGGCGAGATGGACCCGGGAGCAGCAGCGTCCTCCGAGTGAGCAGAGGCAGTTGGGAGCTGGGTCTTCCCAGCGCCATGTGTCGCACTGCACAGCTGGGGCCACTGGGAGGCACCTGTGCGTGCCACTGTCACCAAAGAGCACAGGCTTTAAGTGTGCACACAGGCATCTTTATGTGTGTGTGAGCATGTGTGTGCACACAAGTGTTTAAATGTTTGTGCATGCACATGAGTGTTTGAGTGAAGAAAGTGCTTAAATGTGTGTGAGGCACTTACATGCATGCCTGTGTACACACGAGTGTTTTGTGCACACACAAGCATTTATGTGTGTGAGTGTTATGTGTGCAGGTGAGCATTTGTGTGCATATGAGTATTTTAGTGTATGTGTAGTGTTGACATGTGTGTGATTTAAGTGTGCATGTGTGTTTATGTGCACACATTCATGTTTAAATATGCATGTGGATGTTTATATGTACACACAGAATTTGTGTGAACACGAGTGTGTACATGTACACAAGGTCACCATGCAGACAGCTGTCCTGACTTGCAATCTGTGTGAAGGGTCCCAGGAGGCCTGGAGGTGTTGCTCACCATTTAAGATGTGAACGGCGCCCGAAGCATAGCCCCGTGCAGGCCATGCCGTGAAGCGGGGACTGGTTACTGAGGGGGCACGACTAGCCTGTGGCTGAGGGCCTGGGCTGGAGGCGGAGGGTCCCATGGAGCCTTGTTGTGGCAGGCACCTGAGGCTGTGGGCACGCGGCTGGCCTGGCTCCTCTCTAGAAGGGCTGTGCTGGCCGAGGGAGGCATGGCCTTCCCTGCCTGTCCTCTGCCCACAGATGAGGCCAGCTGCTGGTGGGGAAGGGCCCCCAGGGGCACCTTCCCCGAGGCATGATGACAGGGCTCCAGAGTGGGCTGTGCGGCCCCAGCGGCTTTTCTGCCTCTGGACACGGAGTTGTGCTCACCTTCTGCCCCATTCCACGCGAACTGTTGCTGTAGTTCCAGGGCCCTGCCCCACCCGGGATGCTCCCAGAGTGCCCAGAGCCACCTGCAGCCTGCAGCCGTCAGTGCTGTGAGTCCCCTTAGTGTGGCCCAGAGAAAGGGCTGCCCCAGGGGAGGGGGTAGTGAGGGAGACATCCCGAGTGGACAGCCCCCGAGGGACAAGGGAACATGGGGTGGCTCCTGGCAGATGCCCGGCCACCAATGAGAACAGCCCAGCTGTGTGCTGGGTTTCCTGACCCAACCTACACCAGTTAAAATCTCCCTGCCAGCAAATCCCTGGCTGGGGAGTGGGGGCCACATGGACAGCAACATTTTGGGGCCTCCTAAAAGCCCCAAAGTTGTGTGGAAGCCAGGAGAGCCCAAAGCCGGGCCCACGGTCAGGCGACACTGGTTAAGTCAGAAACGTACTCACAGGTGCTTGGTGGTGACACACCGAGGCCCAGCCTCCCGGGGGGTCTCTTCCCAGGGAGCCAATGGCTTTAAAATGACCATTGTTACGAGAAGTGGTTCCTGGGCCAACAAGGCTTTGGAATGGGGTGATTCCAGTGGTTTTTGAAAGTGCAGCTTTTCAAAGTCCTCCTAACCATCACCACCCACTGAACCATCTGCACAAAACGTGGTAGAGAAGCAGCCGCAGACGCAGGGCTTGCCCAGACCCCAGGAGGACCTGGGCCGCCCCTGGGACAGAGAAGCACAGCAGGACTGTGGGCCAAGGGGACCTCTGCTGGAGCCCAGCCCGCCCAGGCCCCCGGGCCCCCACACTGCCGCTCGGGGCGCACCTTTTCTACCAGCTCTTGATTTCTTCGATACAGGGCTTGCTTCTCTTCGATCCACTTCATATCCTGGAAGACGGAATTGAAATGGAAAACTAGATACCCTGCAGGATCAAAGCTGGAGCCAAGGTGTAAGTCACACTTTAACTGAACAAGAGGCCTGACTCCACACGACTCCACACCCAGCTTCCAGATAACCCCTGAGAACAGTTTGTGCCACGCAGCTAATGGGAACCCAGGATTGCCCCATTTCCTTGGAGGGTCCTGGGCAGAGCTGGAGGAGGCAGCCCTGCTTCAGAAGGACCCACAGGACCCCACAAGGTATGAGGCGTACGGTTCTGAGTGGGTGTCACAGGTCCAGGGAACCCTGGCACGGAGCCAGCAAGAGCCTGGGGTCTCAGGCAGGCAGGGAGCGGATGGTCGCTCAGGAAGTGTCCTGTCCACTCCACACTCGGGACATGCGGGCAGAGGCAGGCTTCTGTGCCCTGGAGAGAGATGTGTGGGCCATCCTGCCAGCCCCACGCTCCATCCCAAAGCCCTGTCCCCAGCTAAGCCAGGAGTCGGGGGGCACTGGCTCTCTTGGACTCTGGGCTTCGTCCCAAGTTTCTTCCTGGCAAAGTCATTGGCCTCCTTCCTTCAAGTCTGTAAGATTCATTCTTCAGATGAAAGGAAGCTGCCTCCCGCTGGCCCTCCTGCCCCGCCTGCTCCTCCTCGTCCGCCCCGCCCCCAGGCAAGCCCGTCACAGGTTTTACTCTGGCATAAACACTGGCTACACGAGATGGGGCTCAGGAACGTCACTCACAAAGTTCAGGGTCCATGAAGGCAGCGCCCAGAACAGCTCCTGGGCGCCATTCCCACAGGGCTGAGAGCCTGGTGGGCCTGGGGGATGTGGTGGGTGGGCTGGGGCGCAAGTAGTCCTGTGTGTTTCAGGCAAACCCACAGCCCCATAGCACTGACCTCTGGGCTCCCTGAGGACATCAGACGCAAGCCCTGGGGGCCGCTCAGGCCCTCTTCGGGCCTGTCCATCCAGCCATGCCCCCAGCGGTGAGCACGTGGAGGACCCTGTGGGTCTGCACTGGCCGTGGAGGGAAGCCAGGTGCTCCAGGCAGACCCTCCTGACTCTACATAGATGTCCACTGGTTTGTCTTGGGTCTGCCTGCAGCTGCACCAGCCAGGAGGTCGGGGTGCCCAGGCCTCGTGGCCACTGGGGATGGATGCCTCCCCTAGCAGGATTTGAAGAACCCAGAAGTGATGGCTGGTGGTCACAGGGGTGAGGGGAGTGACTGACAAGCCCCAGGGACCTGAATCCTGCCCTGAGGCGAGGGACTGACTGGGCTGACCCAGATTGGGTCCAGTGGTCAGGCAGCTGTGGAATTCCTTTAGATCCACACCCTGCCACTTTTTGAGTTTTTACTGAGGTAGGGCACACAGTGAGGTGTGCCTAGGTGCCAGTCTTCAGTGTGAGGCAAGCACAGACCCACAGAGCACCACCTTCATCCCAGGAGACCTGCAGCCCCAAGGGCCACACCCCTAGGGACTCTCTGTGGGTGACAGACGGCCCGGCCCTCACTGCAGCTCCCTGGGACCCCAGGCCACGCACCCACCTGCCCCTGCTCAGCCAGGGCCTTCTCCAGGTCATCCATGCGCGTCTGCGCCCTCTGCACTTCTGCTTGGAGCTGCTCACGGGTCTGTGGGGCGGGAGGAGAGACACATCAAATTTTCTCTAAAAGCCGGACACGCCCATGTGATGCGATCTTCAGAGGACTCTTGGCCTCTCTGCTCAGTGGACGGAGGAGTGGCCGTTCCCTGCTTGGCAAGGAGCTCTCTGCATGCCAGGGAGGACTCTAAGGCTTATCTGAGGCAAGGGACACGACTCACATTACACAGGATGATCCTTCGGTTCATTGTGAGCAATTATTAGAGAAATTCCCTGTTTTTAGGATGAACAACTGATGAGGATGACTGAGTCCCACTGGGGTCTGACCGGAGGGGGTTTATTTTGGCCTCTTGGAGGGACAGTGACAGAGACAAATGCAGATGGGCTTGAGTGACTCATCCTGACACACCTGCATACCCCCCCACACGCATACCCGCACCCACACACACCCAACGCACACACCAACCCCACACACACTCACCTCGCCCCCACACCTCACCCCACACATGCTCACACACAACCACATACACACCCCACACACCTGCAACCCCCCCACCTGCACACACCCAACGCACACACCGACCCACACACACTGATACCCCACACATGCTCATACACACCCACATACACACCCCACACACCTGCACCCTCCCACACACACACCTGCATACACCCAACGCACACACGGACCCACACACACACTCACACAAACCCCCACACACTGACACCCCCCACATGCCTGCACACTCCACACACACCTGCAAGCACTCCATGTACAACTGCACGCATCAGCACGCCCACCTGTGCAGACCCCACACACACCTGCACACCCCCCACCCTGAAGACACCCCTCTGCCAGCCGGGTCGCCTCCCCCTTTCCTCACCTCTCACTTTCCCTTAGTGCTCCCCGAAGGGCCTGTTTCTGTTCAGCATACCGGCCCTCAGTGCCTGGCTGTGTACCTGGGCCACTTCCAGGGGGTCCCAGCCACCCTCTCTGAGCCACTTTGCTCTCCTGGGGTCCAAGCCACAGGGCACTTTACCCGATGGTGCTCCCACTCCCCTGGGAACAGTGCTCACAGCAAACGGATGAGAGCGTGTGGGCCGGACTCAAGGTCTGGGGACCCTCGCCTCGAGGAGGGCAGGGCACACCCAGCCTGGCCCGGGGCCCCTCTTGGGGTCCCATCAGTGGGCCTGGCTCTCCCTGTCTTCTCTGCCCCGATGGGCTCTTCTCCCTGAGGGGCCAGCAGGGAGGGCTCTCCGCCAGCTCACCCTGAGTTCTGACAGGAGTGTGGCCTGGGCTTTGCTGACACTGTCCCCTGTCCCCAGGGGCCACACTCCACCAGCCAGGCTGTCACAGAGCCATATGGCAACGTGCTCTTGCCCCACAGTGGCTGGAGGAGCACAGCCAACTCCCAGGCCCCAGGAGAGCCCTGCTCTCCTTGGGGACGTGGCCTGTCTCCCTGTGGCGCGTGCTGCCTACGTCCCATAGCTGCTCCTGCTGGGAGCCGGCCGCCGGGGCTCAGGGTAGGGCAGGGCGCACCCAGGCTCCGCGGCCCAGTGGCCAGGAGGAGGCACCTGTCAGCCTGCGTCCCATCCGGTGGGAGAGATGTGAGCACCAGTCCCAGGCGTCCAGGGAGGCAGGGACAGGAGGGCCACTGGCTGCCCAGCAGGGCCTGCCTGGCAAGGCGCAGGGTGAAAGTGGGCGTGGCGTTCGAGCTCAGCATCTGCTGGATGAGTGAATCATCTCAGCGGGCTTCGTATCTTGAGCTCCTCTGCTGATCCTCATCTCTGAGCCTGGGTCTGGAAGAGCTTCCCCAGGGCACCGCTGGCAGGTTTGTAAGGAAGGTGACTTCACCTTATAGGTGCTGCAGGCCCCATGCCCACCAGTCACACCCCCAGAGACAAAAGGGGTCTCTGGAGCACCATCACTGGTGCCAGCGCCTGGCGCTGCTCAGGCAGGTCGCACCCACTGCAGGCGGCCTTCCCTAACACGGGTCCTTAATCATGGGGAGCTTCCCTGGGTGACTGCGGGGCAGAAGGGCCCGGCCCCGGGAGGTGACGCAATGGGAGCGCCCCTGCCCAGCCCTGGCCAAGCGGGCGGAGCCCAGCGGGAGCCGGAACCCGGTGGAGTAGAAGTCAGTTAGACCTTAACTTCTCGCTCTGCGTCCAGCGTCCCTCCGACCTGCTCCTGCAGCAAAGCGTAGGCTCTCTGCAGGGCCTGGTACTCCATGGTGAGCTGTCGGAACCTCAGCTCCGTCTCCTCCTTGGCCACGCCCTGCAGAGGCGCACGAGACACAGCTTGAGCGCTCTGGCCTCTTGGGGGCCCCGAGGCATGAGCCCAGAGCTGGGCCCCACGTGCCATCCAGGCTGCCCCAATCCAGGAGCCTACGTTCCTGACCAGGGTCACCTGAGGCTCTGCCCGACGCGTCAGGGGAGGAGAGCTGGGCCTCGTGGAGTTGTAAAGCTGCCAGGGAAAGGGAATGCATTTCCTCCCTGCCCACACGGGATGGACTGTCCCCCACAGTGCCCCCCAGATGCCTCCTTCTGGCTGCAACCACATCTGCTGCCGCAGGAGAGGGTGAGGCTGCACTGCCTTCTGGGGGGCCCGCTGAACCCTGGAGGTGTGCTGCTAGGAGGACAGGCCATGGGTCTGGGGTGGTCGGGCGGCCATGAGACTGGGCCCGGGAAACCTAGCCTGGCCCCAGCTACCCTGCCCCCACCCTGCTCCCGAGGTGCGCCGGTGGCCGCTGTGTATGGTGTGTTAGACCTCTGGGCGGGTCCACGGCCATGGGGCCAACTGCTGGGACCTGCCACCCACCAGGACTTGCCATCTGCCAGAACCTGCCAGGTGGGGCCCCATGGCCTTAGTCCCCCAGGGCTGGTCAGGGCCTGTCAGGGGTGGGCCTCCTCCACTCCCTGGCCCTCAGCCACCGGGACCCAGCCAGTCTGCCCGGCCCCATCGCCACGCACAGGCCTCCCACCCGGGGGCTCAGATGCTGCCTGATGCAAAGGTGGGTCCTTCTAGGAGGACTGGGGGGCAGGATGCCCCATCGTGCTTTTATCCAAGACAAGGCTGCCCCCCACAGCCTCAGCCCTGGGTGCCCTCCTCGACCGTGACACTGGCCCTGCCCCTGGGCACTGTGGTGCCCCTGCCCCGCCCTGTCCACGCCTGCCCAGAAGCTGCTGCGGGAGGTCACCTCCTCCAGGTCGTCATCAGGGGTGCATGGGGTCCGGTCCGTCCTGTCGGTTTGGTAAGAGAGGGAAGAGCCATCGGATTCCAGGGACGCCTCTTCATCATACCCAAAGAAGGTCTCCACGACCACCGGCTTTGGACCAGAAGGAGCCATGTCAGCCCAGACCCAGACCCGGCCTCCTCCTCGCCTCCCCACGCCTGCCATCTGTTTGTGGCTGCGGCTCCTGGCCTCTTACCCCAACTCACCTGTCTCCCCCCGTCCTGTCTACACAGGTCCCTTGGGAATATTTCCAAAATCTCCTTTATAAGAATCATTTATCAGAACAGACTGTGCTGCCAAGAAATTAGCCCAGGTCTTCAGATTCCCTATGGGCACAGATGTGATGCGTGGGGCCTGCATGGGGTCAGTGGACCCGACACTGCAGCTGTGGCCAGGGCGCTATGACGGCCGGCAGGCCCTCAAGGGCACAGGCCGGCGGTCCTGGGGCCGGTGCCCCACAGACACGCGGAACTTAACCTCCTCTGTGGGGCAGCAGGGAGGCCCGTGTCCTGCGGCCCGCCTGTTATTGCCGTGATATGTCTTCCCTTGGAAATTTCAAGGAATTGAGGCTGGAGTTTTAAATTTAGAATTATAAACGGAATATTCACTTTGGGTCTTGTTTTGGCTATCTCACAGTAACAATTTTTAGAAATAGTCAACTTATCTTCTTTTCACCTCCAGATAAAGAGGTTGTTTCCTGTTAAGGGCTTTTTAACGTACATGGTTAATGTGCATCTATAGCAACATCGCCTCCTTTACCTTGGGGAGTTTCGCCATTTTCTTTCTTTGTTTCCGATATCTTAAAAGCTTATCACGCTCCTGCAAACACCAGCGAAAGGGAGTTTTTGAGTCGCGGAACAGCTCTGTTAGTTTAGGATTTCTGTGTTGCTGTCTGAATGGACCTGGAGCACCGCTTCAAGCTTGGAGAGATGTCCCTCCCATCATGAATGCCCAGAGCCCCTCAGCCTGCTCGGGGCAGCCTGCCGGGAAGGTGTGGAGGGCTCATCTCTTCTGTTCAGGCTGGAATGAGCCACCACCCGGTCCGGTGGCTCTCAGCCTCCAACACCCAATTCTCCTGCAGCTTCTTTCTCACTCCGTGGCTGGGGAGCTGCCAGGGGAGGGGATTTGAGCAGCACACGCAGAAATGGGAATTCCAGAAGGACCAATGGCCCAGCCCCTCTCCATACTCGCTGAGCAGATGTCTACAGAGATGGCATCCACACGTGGGTGGGGACGAACCCCCCTGGACATGGCAGGTGCCCAGGGACCTGTTTGCCCTGGGGAGGTATGCAGCATTTCTGGGGCCCTGAGAGGAAGCCAGCCACACCTAGGAGCTGGTCCCTGTGGTTGGGGAAGAATCCTCTGACTGGGGAGGGAGCCCAGAGAGGGGGGCAGTCTGCATGGCGAACAGAGCTGGGCGCTGGCTCCTGAAGGCATCACCTAAGGCCATCTGGAGCACGTGCCTGTTTCCTGGCATCTATCTGACCCTACCGGATGGCATTCTCAGCTGCCACAGCAAAGCCTTTGGGCAGGGAGCACAGTAGTCATGGTGTTGGCATGGCTTTCCTGTCTGGACTGGAGCGAGCTGGTAGTAGAGGGGGTCTTGGAGACGGCTGCTCAAGACAGGGTGTCAGTGTGAGGAGAAAGGATCAAGGGGTACTTACTAACACGCTCTTCACGTAGCCAGCAGTTTCGAGGGTCTGGGAAAGAGAGCGGCCAGTTAGGGGATGGAGAGCAAGACCACCCAGAGCACTGCCCCGGACCTCTGCCACCCCCAGCCACAGAACTGCGTCCTCTCCCCACTGCCTGGAGGGGCAGGCCTTACTTGGCCCTAATGGTCCTCCCTCCTCTCTAAGCTGATCCCCAAGGTGAACCTGCGGGAGCCAAGGGCCAGTCCCTCACCTCCAGAAAACTGAGATCATGTGAACTTGTAATCGACAGATCTCCCCTTTCCTACCCCTCATAAATTCTTACTGTGGGGCTGACAGTCACGGTATCACTGAACCAGTCAAGAGCCCAGACCACAGGCGCAGTCTAGGGAAGGCTGTGGGTGTGACCTGTGGGCCAGCAGCCAGCGGGCAGGGGTGAGGAGCAAGCAGGGGTCGGGGGGTGCCCCGGGGCCTGGGCACCTTAGAGAGCTCGTCGATGAGGCTCTGCTGCTCCACGATTTGAACTTTCAAGAAGTCAACTTCTCTTTCATCTTGACTTTGATCCAGGTCGTTTAAGGAACTGGGTCTCCGTATGATCCCTGCCCTTTGTCTCTGCAAAACCAGCCAGACACCACAAAGGGTGGAGTGAGTTGCTTGGATGGGCGACAGGGAAGTTGGGGGTGCCCTCACTCGATCCGCATATGCCTGTGCAGCCCTTACACTGGTCACCCCTTGGCTGCGGGTCAAGGGGCCCCCGTGCGGGCCTTGGAGCAGCTGGCTGCAGAGTCAGGGGAAACCCAGGCCTCGGATCCCCAAAGCCGGGGTGGGGCTGTGTAGCCTGTACCTGGCGTATACGGGGATAGCCCTGCACCCAAAGACAAGATTGTGTGAACTACGTGGGCCATTTCACACCCCGCCAACTCTTCCAAACTCAGGGTGTGGAAAGAATAGGATTTCTGCAGGTCTGCCCCCCACCTCTGCCTCAGGCCCCACAGTGCTGAATTTCCCCCGGCTGAACTCCTCTCATGACCTCTGGGGCCTGTGGGCCGGAAGGAACACACAGGCAGCAGGTCAATGCCCCCACACCCCGCTCAGTGGCTGTGGCAGGAGCGGGGCCTCCCAGCTGCACGCGCTGTGCCCGAGCCTGGCCTGTGGCCCAGCCTGTGGCTGTACCCGAGGCTCTGCTAACTTTGCCCGGCCTTCTTAGCATCGGAAGACGACTTGTCCAAGCTCCTCATGTCAGAGTGGGGGTGTGGCCCGCCAGGCTAGTGGCCTCCTTGCCGTTTCTGTACCCACACTGTCCCCCTGGGCAGGTGCCCACAACCCCCTCCCCTGGGTGCTCAGAGCCTGGTCTAAGACCCTCTCTCAGGAGGCACTGAAGCCCTGCCCTGGGGCCTTGCCATCAGACCGCGTGTCTTAGAAGCAGGGGGGCCGCTGGCTACTCGTGGGGGTGGGGGCACATCCTGCCAACTGATGGCTTTCCAGGGCCCCTTACCATTTCTATGTTTTCCTGGGTGACAAATTTTAACTTGTTTTCCATTCGACGTAAAGTGTGGGACAGATCCTCGTTTTTCCGAGTAAGGCGTTTGTTTTTATCCAGCAATGGCTTGTACTGACTTTCAGCTTCCCTTAAACGCTTTAACTGCAAGACAAAATGATTACACACTGTGATCGTTTCAGAGTGTGACAGCGACTGACAGTCCCCACACAGAGGGGCAGACTGACCAGAAGGGGCCTCGGCTGCAGTGGAGGGTGGGAGCAGTTTGGGGGTTGATGCTCTATTTTGCCAATAAGAGCCACGATAGACTCACCTGGCCCGCTGGACCCCTTGGGACACCCAGCGGGTGCCACAGGTTACCCGGGAACTTCAATGGCTTTAAGGACTAATGCAATGTTTCCCCTGAGGCACGAGGTCCTCACATGTGCCAGATAATGTGCAGAACTGAGGACAGTTTTGCTCAATGATATGCACAAGGGTCAGCACCACAGCCCCACACCTCTTTCCCCACAACCCCTGCTGCTGGTTGCTAATAAAGTTTTATTGGAAACAGCCAAGAGGCCCGGGTGCAAGCCCAGCCCTTGTCACCCTCACAACGCCTTTTCACAGGGAGTTTTGGAAGTGGCTACTGCAGCCCCTCTGCCCCGTGCGCCATGCCCCAGCCTCCGGCCGCTCACCAGCTCATTCCTTTCTTCCGACAGCAACGCATTTCGGTCCTCCAGCTTCCGAATGATCGCGCTTAGCTCAGCGATTTTTAGTTGGAAGCGCCGAGCATCCTTCTCATCCAACTGCTGTTCCTAAAACAAATTCAACTGCAAGTAACTGTCCACAGACACAGACATCAAAACTGTTGCAAATCCCAGCACACCCTGGACACAAGCACTTCTGGTTCGTGACTGCCCATGATCCCGAGTGGCTGGGGGGCCAGGGTGGGACTCCTAGGGTCCCCGAGGACCACAGGCACTGCTAACCACATGACAGGGACAGAACAAAGGGCAGAGATATCCAGGAGTGTGCAATGTGGAGGCGAGCGTGTGCATATGTGGGCACACGGGCACATGGGTGCAGTGACGCCGAGAAAGTCTCAGAACCCAGGTCCCTGCTTTCCCGGGGCCCCTGCCGGCTGCGCCTTTTGGGAAGGGGTCTGCCCTGCACCGTAGGCAGGGATGTAGTTTTCCTAGTATTACATGATGAACACAGTAAAAGCTATTCAACCTAAACTTTCAAAAGTTGGTTTCCTAAAGAAGAGTGTGCCCTCAAATTGAGTTTCTAAAAGGCCACTTGTGGAATTACTGGAACTTCATTCAAAAATCAGTAACAACATTTGATCCAGTTTCAGAACCTCTCTGGGGTTAATGCGATCTATCTAGTGCCAGAGCAGGAGCTGGGATTATATCAGTAAAGCCCTTTACAGTAAGATTATAAAAAGTCATTTTCTGTCCTTGAGATGTCATTGTCCTAGGCCTGGCTCCAATCACACATGGTTTCATCCTCAAAAAAAATGTGTGCCCAGGAGGGACTGAGGAATGGTTCCTCATTCAGCAGGTGCAGGAGAGGCTAGGGAGCAGGTCTAGAAAGACCCCAGCAAGGGTCCGTGGAATTCAGGTCCCCCCACATTTCCCAGAAGCACTCCAGAGGGCTCTGAATGTGGGGCAGCCATGAGGCAATGGATGACGATGGCAGCGCGGCTGCCCCTGCGCCATCCTAGCCTGAGGAGGGGCAGAAAAGTGGCACAGTCATGTGAAAAGTGGAGGGGGGTGACTGGTGATGTGAGTGGCAGAAAGCACTGGGCAAGGGTCAAGCCAGAGATGCCGCTGAGCAGGGAGAAGGAGCCTTCTTGGCCGGCAGGCAAGGCCTGTGCATGGAGAGGGAAGCAGCCCAACCTTGTCCCCCATGAGCCCAGGGCAGGAGGGGGGCACGTGAAGGCCAGAGCTATACCACGTCAGCAAGCAAGGAAGGAGACAGTCTGTGCACCCTTTCCACCAGGCCAGACAAGCCGGGGGGAGCCAGGGTCCGGCTGGCAGGCTGCAGACATGGTTGTTGTCCCCAGGGCAGGGGGGTTCTAGCTCCGGGCTCAACATGGGCTCTGGACTGCCGGGAGCTGCCCGTGCAGGGCCACACAGCTGTGTGCCATGCTGTGACTCTGGGTAGATTGGGTGAAGCATGGGGTGCTTACAGGGCTTCCCGAGTGGTCTGAGGCGTCTCCTGCACCGCTTGCATAAGGAAGTTCCCGTCTGGGGCTGCCCGGGTGCCGATCAGCCTCTTTGACCTGGGACAGCTGCTCATCTAAAGCCTCTTTCTGGAGCTGCAGTCTCTGAGCATGCCCGGCTTGAACCCCTAACTCTCTCTCCAGCACGAAGACTGCTCTGTCTTTAAATTTTATCTCCTCCATCTATAAGGAGAACAGAACACGATCACACACGCAAGCAGGGTACAGATCTGCAGTCACCATAGAAACAGGTGGAATGACACTTGTGAGCAAGCGTCAGGGGGTCTCCCCTGTGGCAGCCCTGCCCACGGCTCGGGCTCTGAGACGGGAGCAAGGCGGGTGGCCCTGTTCCACGCCGGGCAGCAGCCAGGCTCCCCCATCAGGCTTCCAGCCTGGCCTCCGGCCCAGTGGGCTCTGGCCAGGCTGGTGCGGCTGAAGACTCCGTCTGGGACTCCTAGCCCCGTTCCCAGCCTCCCTTGTGCTGTCCTGCAGGGCTCCTAGGTGGCCAAGGGGACTGGCCCTGTCAGGCAGGGCCCAGAAAGACCACCTCCAGCTCCTGCTGGGCAGAGGGGGATGCCCTGAACTCCCCAAATCTGTCAGCAGGGGGAGCTGATGAGCAGGAGCTGTGAAAGCAGAGAAGGAGAAGCCTGGGCCCCGCAGCCTCTTTGCTCTCCGAGGGGCACCTGGCCTAGGAAGGGCTGGAACCAACACTGACCCTCTGCACCTGCTCCTCCTTGCTCTCAGCTGTGCAGAGAGGGGTGCTGCCCTCCTGTTTGCAGGTAAACCCCAATTTTAATTACTCTTGCTTCAAACTAAGGCTGGGGCAGGGCCTGTGCCCCCAGAAAATCAGGCTTCCGGCTAGAGGGCAGGAAAACCCATGCGTCTGACTCACCTGGGCCTCTGTCGGCTGCCTGGCCAGCTGGGGTCTGTAGCCCTCCCAACTGTCCCTAAAGTGTTCAATCTCCTGACAGCTGCATGCAACCCTTCTGGGCAAAGCTGCCATTTGCCTCTGAGCCCTCATCAGGGCTGCCATGGGTGCACCCTTGGCCACAGGGTGGCCACTGCCCTTAGAGAGGGAGGCAGAACAGACCCCCTGCTGCCAGTCTTCAGAAGATTCGGGCGCTGTGGGCATCACTGCAAACAGAGCTTATCAAGGGGACTTGGTTTGAAGACCATTTTTCAAATAGCAGAGCAGAACCGGGCGTCCTGCTGCTCACTTGTTGCTGAAGGTTAAAATAAGCTAATAAATTGGCTGTCCGCTGAAGCCCGCTGGAAAGCAGAGCTGAAATATCTAATTAGCCCAGATTGTGGTAAACTGAACAGAATAAAAGAAATCCTCAATTGCTAAACTCCCAGGTACTCAAGCACAGGGATGCAGAAAGGGGCGACAGGGTCAGCGGGAACGCAGGGCCAGTGAAGATAAAGCCAGACTGACGAGCACTATATTCTGGCCCTGCATTTACACTCTTACAACAGAAACAGCGTTTTTTCTTTCATCAGGAAACAAGAAAATAAGATCTGCCTACAGATCCCGTAAATCAGCTTTTCAAGCTGGTGGTTCTGGTCAAAGGACAGACCTCTCTGACACGTCTCCCCTGCGAGTCACTGATGTGGCCGCGTGAGCCGGACCACGCAAGCTCGGAGCTTCACGGCCTCTGCGAAGGAAAACTGGGGAGAATTGCTTCCATGCAGGGCAGGTCTGCTTGTGTGAGGACGGGAAACTCAGTGGTGGTGTCTCCAGGGCAGGCCGAGGGTCTCCGTTGCATCGGAGGCACCAAGAGTTTTCAGCCAAATGCAGGCTCTCGCCTTTCCGACCCATTTACGGAGAGTGGGCACACGCGTGGCGCAGATGCCCCGCTGAGATGGAGAAAAGGCCTTGCTAGGCGTGTGAGGTCCCCACCTGGTGACAGGAGCTGCTTCCAGCTTGGGGCACATGTCCAGCTGTGACATCCAGCCAGGCCAGGGAAGCTGAGGGGCAGCAAGGGGTTCAGGGGCTGCTGCCTGCCTCCCTGCAGGAGTGAGTGCACAAGGCATCCAACGGGCACCTCCCAGGCTTGAGGCTCTGAACCATGGCCCTGGCCTCTGGCTGCCAGCTCCCCTTTTTCCTCCCTGGGGACTATGGGGCCGGGGGTCAGGGCTCCATCCCATCTTATGTTATTACCCACACCCACACCCACACTGACACCAACCTCAGCAGGGTGGGGCAGCCCCCTTGAGAGCCCAGGAAGGGGGCTTTCAAAGGGTGAAACTGGGGAGCGAATCTGCATGAGTGGTCACCCTGCGGCCACCTTCCCTCGCTTGGGCCACTGTGGTGGCTTCCAAGTGGCCTCCCTGTGTCCACACCTATGCCAGCCACAGCCTGCTCGCCTTCCAGCCAGTCACCTTCTAAACCAAGAATCAGACCTCATGACTCCTGTGGTGAAAGCCCTCGAAGGGCGTCGAAGTCCTTATGGGAGCCTGTTAGCTTCCATGGCCTCACCCCTGCCTGTCCCTGCCCACGAGCTGCCCCTGCCCCTGCCTGCCCCGGCCCCTGCCCCCACACTCCCAGGTAAAGGTGTATGGAAACCCCAGGGAAGGGGTCTGTGGGAGGTGCTGAGGCCGAGAAGATGCCCTGCACACACCCAGACTCCCCCCACCAAGCACAGAGCACGCTCAGTGCCCTGACTGGCACGTCTAGGCAGAGCCTGGGAACCTGAGTTTCACAGGTGCCCCAGCTGATGGCAAAGTAACCACCGACCCATAGAGCCGAGGTCCCCCTGTGACAGATGTGCCCCAAGATGCCCATCACAGTGCCATCAGCAGCCCCGTGTGTCTGTTCCCTGGTAGCATCTTCCTGGTGGAACCTGGCAGAGAACCTGCTCAGTCAGTCCTCAGGGCCCTGCTTGCCCTGCATGGGTGCATGGCCTAGGGTGGGTGTGGGCATGGCGTGGGGCATGGTGTGGGCATGGCTAAGGCAGAGTTGCGGTGTGGGCATGACAGAGGGTGGGTACGGGCATGGGCATGGGTATGGGTGTGTCGAAGGCGTGGGCATGCTGTAGGCCCGGGGTGGGGGCACGCCAGGACCTCTCCCCAGGGAGCAGACAACCAAGAGTTTGGCAGCTTTGCACAAAAGGAAGCATTGCCGAGGAGCCACAGGCCCGGGTTCTGACAGAGCTGCCCGGCATCTGAGAACGTGGCGTCTGGAAACAAACCCATGTGGGTTCTGCAAGGCTCCAGCGCGGGCAGGGCCCTGCCGCAGCTCACCCGAAGCAACTCCCTCCGTGAAGAGGGGCCGGAGGACAGGCAGGGCCACTGCCTCCCCGCAACCCCCTCAGTCTCCTGGGACCTCCCAGAGGCCCACTGGACGGCGCGGAGGCCAAAAAATGACGCGTCACAGGTTTTCTGAGGAAGCTGGGCTGTTTCTGCCTGTACCGCTTGGGTCTTATGAGTCTCTAGTAACAGTCTGAGCTTGCAGTGTGCCCGTGGCACGGTAGCTGGCAGCAGCTGAGCCCCGGGGGCGCCCTCCCAGACCCCGCCATGGGGAGCAGCAGTCCTGTGGCCCCTCATGCCCAGCCCATCCCTCACCAAGCCTTCTCCTGCCCTTCACTTTGACTTGGGTGAGAATCCGGCCAGGATCCAGCCCCCGGACACGGCTTCTCCACAGACACGGTCCGAGCTATCCCGGGCTCCGCCTCTGTAAGGTCAGGGGCGCTATGCAGCGGAATTCCCAGGGCCTAAAGGCCGCGGGGCTGGGCACACTGGGGAGGCACTGGCCCTGAGGTCACCTCCTGAAATGCTCCCCGGGGCGTACCGACATGTGCCCTCAGGTGCCCGGGTCTAGGTAGGGCACCGCTGGGCTGCCGACAGCCTGCTCTCGACCCTGGAGAGAAGCCCTGAGCCCACTGTGCCCTCTCCCGCTGTGGCTGTCCATGGGGGTGCCTGCTGGTGGCCATGCCCCTGTCCCTCCCCCACGTGACTTCCCTCTGAGACCCCTGTGCCCCTACCAGGTGCCACACCTCCAGCTGGCACCCAGGGTCCTCGGGCCAAGACAGGGACTCAGTGTCGCAGTCCCCTCTGCCTGTTTGTTCTGCTCCTGCCAAGCTCGGCCCTGCTGGGCAGCCCCTCAGCCTCCCAACCCCCAGGGCCTGCTCAGGCACCCGCTGGGCTCTGAGGCAGTCACAGATGGCCATGCCCCCAGCTCAGCACCCTGCAGGCCACAGTCCAGGTGGAAGGGCTGGGACATGAGGGCGCTGGCCAGCCTCTGATTCAGCAAGTGGCTGAGGGAGTGCCTCCGGCTCTGGGCCGCTTTGGGGGTTGCCCTGTTCTTTGCAAAGTGGCCACCACTTGTTGAAACCCATTCCCTCCCTGCCTCTCTCCCACCCTCTCAAAGGGCTGGCCAGCACCCTGAGCCCCTACTGACCATGCTGCAGCCTCCAAGGCCCTGCCTCCCCACTGAGCCTGCCCCTCTCAGACCGGCCCCCACATGCTGTGGCTGGGCCACCTCCAGACCACCTCTCCCACCCTCCCCTCTGCCCCAGGCCTGCTCCTGCACACACTCTCAGCAACGTCCGTCCCCACCATCTCCAGAAATGCCCCTGAGCCCCTGCACGGGCCAATGCAGCCCCTCCTCCTGGCTGGACAGCAGGCTCGGGCGCAGCCTTCCTGCCCGCCAGGCCTTCCAGGACACGCTGCCTCTCAGGTTCGCTTTACTTCCGCTGTGTCTTCCCACACGTAGCTGGGCCTGGGGTGTTGCCCCTAGGATGTTCTCTCATGTGCTAGAGCCCTAACTGAAAACTTAGGAGATGCGGGAGCCTCCATCAGCTAAGCAAGAGGGCCTCACCGGGGTTGGGCTGTGGAGAGGAAGGGCTCTGGGCAGGGAGCCTGTGGCCTGGCTGCTGGGCTCATGGGCAGTGAGGACCAGGCTCCCAGGTGACAGGGGCTGGCCCACAGGTGACAGGGGCTGGCTCTGTCACTGTACCAATTACCTTGGAGCACCTCCTACATGCTGGGCACAGGGCTAAGCGTTTCAATTGTGTTTTTCATTATTTCACTTAAATTGCACTAAAACAGAACATTATGTCATACATTACATTTCATATAATATGGTTGGGAGCACCGGCTGAGGAGGCCTGAGGGACGCCTCGGCCCAGGCCAGCAGAGGAGAGCACACGGCAGCCACTGTTGGGACCAGCCTCCAGCAGAGGCCCTGAAGAGGGGTGGGTGATGCGCCTGGGTTGGGTGGACCCCGGCGAATCCCTCCCTACTGCACTGAGGCACAGAGTCCTTGGACAGTTGGCAGGGGGCTCAGGAGGGTCCTTTTGCTCATCAGACCAGTAGGTCTTCAAGCACTGAAATGATGAAGAGATTCCCCAAATGGATTATGGATTCTATAGGGGTAACTTGAGGAGGACTGAAATAAGCAGGGAGAGATTTCTGGTTTTTCTAGGAATGTGGGGGCCGCTGAGGTCTGTCTAACCCCCCAAGGCATGTGCCTTTGTCTCTGACTGGGCTCCTTTATGATTCTCTGGAGAGAGATGTTTACCCGGAGAAAATTTGCTGTGCACAGATATACAAATGATTCCTGCTCATGGCGTCATGAATGCCCTTGGCCAGGTAGGCACATCCATCTCCTTGGGGCGAATCCTCACTGGGTTGGTTGCAGCATTTTACTTGTTTCCCCATTAATTAAGGAAAGAAATAAAGTTTTGACACATTCATTGCATGCTGTATGAGAACCATGATTACACCCTGTTAAAACAGCCTGGCTGTCATTCCAGTGCAGATTCCAGCAGGTTTCATTTAAGAAAGATGATTCTTGAGTTTTATGTGGTGGTCCAAAGGGCCAAGAAGAGCCAAGTTATTCTTAAAGAAGAACAAAGCAGGAGAGGATTGCTCCTCCGGAAATCAAGACTTATGCTGGGGGCAGAGCGATCAAACCAGGCCTAAGAGGCCCAGACAGGACGCGGGCCAGAAAGCCCGCTCAGGCGAGAAGACTGGTTGGGTGCCATAGGAGAATGCCTGATATGTAACACAGAAGAATAATTAATATATGGTGCAAAAGAATGCTTAGTGTATGAAATGATATGTGACATAGAATAGTTAATAAATGATATAGAGGAAAAATTCATATATGACAGAGGTGGTGCTGTGGAGTGGGGGCAAAGATTTTTTTTTAGTAAAGATGCTAGGACAGTTGTATAGCCACATGGGAAAGAGAAACTGGGTCTCTACAGCACACACACACACACACACACACACACACACACACACACACACAGTGCACCTGGTACAAGAACACACAAGTAAGAGACAAAACTATGAAGTTTTAAAACAATAATGCTTCATGGCTTCAGAAGAAAAGGATTTCTTACGCAAGGAACAATAAGCACCGACCCTCCAGGAAAAGATGAACAAGACAGACCACTTTAGAATTCAAAACTTTACTCACAAAGTGATGCACCAAGCATACAAAAAGGTACCAGAGTGGGAAAGACACTTGTGTTTTTATTATACATTTTAGAACCAGCCTGTCCGTGCCTGCAGAAAAGCCTCCTGGGGCTTTGATCAGCATCATATTAATTTGGGGAAAATGGTCCCCTTACCAATACTGAGCCTTCCCAACCATGAGTGTGGAACGTCTCTATTTTCGTCTCTATTTCCCTTAGCAAGGGGATGTAGTTTTCAGAGTACCAGTCCTGCACTTATTTTGTTAAATTTATTCCTAAGCTTTTTATTCTTTTTATGCCATTATGAGTGAAATTTAAAAATATTTCATTTTGGATTGTCTGTTGCTAGTATGTAAAAACACAACTGATTCTGCATATTGATCTCATGTCCTGAAACCTTGCTGAACTCTTCCAATTGTTCCAGGACTTCCTGTGTGGACTCCTTAGGGTTTTCTGTGCACACTCACATCACCTGCAAAAAGGGCAGTTTCAAATCTTCCTTTCCGGTCTGAGGCCTTTAATTCTTTGGCCTTATAGTTCGGACTCAAATTCCTCAGTGGGGAACGATTAAAAAAGATGGAAGGAAAAAGGTCCCCAACAAGGTGGCAGAATTTCTTCCATTGCATCTTAAAGTAAGGCCCACTCCACATACACGTGCACACACACACACGTGTGCACACACACACACGCACACACACACACATGTGTGCGCGCACACACACACACACACACACACACACTTCTGGCCTCCTGTCAGCTTTCCTGCAGAACAAAATTGGGAGGAAATCCTCCAACACAAGAGACAGCAGCCAGACAAATAAAAAGCAAAGAACTCTTGTAACATGGCCAATGAAAGGAGCCCAAGAAACCTTTCTGAAGCAGCCAATGCAATTATTATCCTCAGAGAAATGAGATGATGTTACACTAAGAGGAGAATGACAGAACATCTTACATCAGAGAACTAACGTTTTTGAGACTCAAATGTATGATGGCAGAAATAAAAATAAAACAAAAAAGTTGGAAGAGAGAGTGGAGGACATTTCCTAGAAAGTAGAAACAAAAGCCAAGGTAGGAGAGAAAAACAAAAACAGAACAATTGCAAAGGCCCAACATCTGATTGCCACGAGCTCTGGAAGGAAGTGAGGGAAGAAAATGACTCAGAAACCACAGAACACAGTTGCCACAGTCAGAAAGGCTCCTGACTGCCCGGAGCGCGGGCCGAGCAAGTGCCCACGTCACAGGCGAGACGTCCTCGGGGGGGCCTGTAGGTCGGGGAGGCAGATGGCCGTACGAAGGATCAGTAATCAGAACAGCAACCGTGGAGGTGAGAAGACAATGCAGAAACACCTTCAAATTCCTGATGGAAATGTTTTCCAGCCTATGATTCAAGCCCAGTAAAAACATCCAGCGTGAGGTAGGAATGAAAATTTCATACACACACAAAGTCTCCCAAAATTCATTTCCTGTCCTCTGTTAGAGAGTGTGTTCCACCCTATGAGAAATTTACATCCAAAAAGAGGAAGACAGGACGGGGTGAGCCCCGGGAAGGGCCAGGGTGAGGATGAAAACACCCCTCAGGTGGGCGCAGGTGGAAGATTACTCCAGGAAGGTGTCTCAAAAAAGGGTGGACAGAGTCCTTAACATTCGTGACTATACTGAGAGGAGATGTACCCTTCCGTTGGAAATTTGGGATGAATCAGTGGTTCACACTTAGAAAAATATGCGGATGGAAAATTAATTCCAGGGAAATCAGGTGTGAACAAGGAAGACGATATAGTCGCGGTCCCTCTGGGTCTTTTATGAACATTTACACCTCAGCAGTCATGCGTGTAGTCAACACTCCCTGCACCCACGATGGAGTCCCCAGGATCCTGTGAGACCCTCTCCTGTTGCCCCCAGATGGGCCCCCTCCCAGGCTCTGGTCGGGCTTGGCCAGCAGAAGCATGAGATCAAGAGACGGGGTGGGAGGCCTGTGGGTTTGCTCCGAGGCTCCGGCTGGGCTGGGGGCTGGCAGAGGCCGAAGTACCCCCAGCCCCACTCCTGCCCTGTGGCCTTGGTCTCCCGGGGCTCTGCAGACTGCCCCTCCCTTCGGCGTCCTCAGTCACCTCTTCCAGGTGCACCATCTGTCCCCGTTGAGACTTGACCAAAATGATTGCGGGGTGGGCAGTAGGGGTGTGGGAGGAGGGCTGGTGGGGAGGGAGAGGAGGACATTAAATGGAGAAGTCAGGTGGAAGTTTAAGCACGTGTTTGAGAATTTGGAACAAGACCCAGAAGAACGAGCTAGAAGAGCTGTGGTGGTTGCCTCTGGGGGGTCTGAGTCAGGGCTGAGGGGTCCTGGGCACCTGCCACCTTTGTGCTGAGCTGTAAGTTAAGTAGGTAGGGCTGCCCACCCCCACCGCCAGCACCGGATCTCATCGGGATGGCGCTGACTGCCCTTCACCTTCCCACAGCAGGCTGGCCAGCAGTGTCCCTCCCTTCACAGAGAAGGAGGAGGGGAGGCCACGTCCTGTCACAGAAGGAACCCCAGTCCTTATAAGTGGGGTCTTGGCCAGGTCGTTGGGTGGCTCAGAGTGTGGGGGAGTGTGGAACTGGGGACTGTCTGGGAAGGAGGGCAGCTGGCAGGCTGGGAACGCCAGGGCCTGTGCCCAGAGGCACATCTGTATCTGCTCCCAGCACTCATGGACCCCTCTGGGCCAGGGGTGCAGAGAGTAGTGGTCCCTCTGGGAAGCTCCATACGGTGGTGCGGCCAGAGGTGATCTTTGGGATACCAAGGCCCAGGGTAGCAGGGAGAGGAGCCCGGGTGCACACATGTGGGTTGGAAAGACTGGGGCACGCCATGAGGGCCCCTGGGGCCCCGAGCGTGGCCCACTGCAAGGCTAGGGGGCCTCCTGAAGCACAAGGCAGGGACCTTGGGTGCTGGGCGGCAGCTCCATTTTCCCCAGATGTGAAGGAGGTCTAGGCCCCCTGACTAGGAGAATCAGGTGCGACACTTCACGATCCCCAAATATTCTCCAACTTCCGAGCCCTGGGCTCCGGGACACCGGCTCTAGGGGTCCTGCCACGTGACACCTGGTCTCTGGAGCCCCTAGGATGCCACAGATGAGGCTGCCAAGAACCTTCCTGCCCTGGAGAGGCAGCCTCTTCCCCTGGGGCAGCCTGAGAGCCACGCCTCCCCAAATGGCCTTGGGGGCCTGGCCATTGCACCGCGGGTCCCGGGTCTGCCCTCTCTGTACCCAATGAGCGTAACAGACTGGGTGAGCCCTCTACTTGTGCCATCAAAACTCCCACCCCTGTGGGCTTCCAGCCTGACCTGGGGACCTGAGAAGGGGGCCTCTCAGAAACCCTTTTGGAGGAAGAGGGGGTGCCCACTTGCAGATGTCTGTCCTGGCCCAAGCCAGTGGCGAAGCAAAGCTGTTGAGGCAGGGGGCAGGGGGTGCCCGGCACACGCAGAGGGCGCTGACCCCTGCACGTGCTCAGAGGCCCGGCATTAGGAGCCCTCGGAGCCGACCGTGCAGGCACCACGCACCAGGCCGAGCGCACTGCCCAGAGCCGAGCCCGGCACCGCCCACGCCCTCCCACGTCCCCCCGCGCCTCAGAGTGCAGATCCCGCACCCGCGCCCGCGTACCAGCCTGCGGATCTCGCGCTCGCAGTCCTTCTTGATGCGGGCGATCTCCTCCTGGTGCAGGTGGTACACGCTCCTCATCTCCGCGGCCTTGATCCTGTCGGCCTGGATCACGACGGTCAGCGCCTCCTCCACCTGCCGCTTGGCCCCCCTGAGCTCGGAGATCTCCTGCTGCATCTTGACCTTCTCCACCTCGAAGCCCCTCTTGGCCTCCTCCTTGGCCTCGGACAGCAGCACCGTCTTGGCCCTGTCGGGCGCGCCGTCGCGCAGGGCGTGCAGCAGCGCCTGCAGCCGCTGGTTCTCGTGGTCCTTGATCCTGATGACGCGCAGCAGCTCGGCCTCGTGCTGCCGCAGCAGCGTCTCGCGCACGGCCTGCAGCTCCTTCATCTTCTCCTCGTGCAGCTTCGCCTTGAGCTCCGTGAGCAGCACGGCACCTTTGTGCTGCTCGTGGTCCCGCACCTGCTTCAGCTCCTGGCTCCTCTCCCTCTCGGCCCGGCCTGCCTGGAAGACACGAGCAGACGCGCGCGGTCAGACCAGCTCTGCAGCAAGGGCTTGGGGACGCGTGTGCGTGTGCTGACATGGGGTCACCTTCCCCTGGAGAACATCCTAAATGCAGGTGGAAAGCGGAACCCGGCCTTGCTGCTGGCGAGCATGAATAGGCGCCACGGGGTCCGCGGGAGACTGTGTGGCAGCCAGCTGCCCCGGGGAGTGGGGTCACAGACTCGGCCCACAGACTCTGCCTTCCCAGGAGTGGCTGAGCCGAGGGGGACAGCCGGGGGCCTGTAAGACCACTCTGCCTTTGCAGGGGCAGGGTGTCCCCCCACTCCCCCCCGCTCAGCCCTGTGAGGAGAGAATGGGGCAGGCTCCTGCCCTCCAGCCCAAACAACGGGTTTCCCATTTGACATTCTTGGCAAATGGGGAACCAGTCTAAGCATCTAGTGTCTAGATTTTTGGAAACAGTCAAAATACACTTGTTTTCATCTGGAGGCCCTGACCTTGGCTAAACGACCACACTGCCCACCATCCAGCACCGTGTCGGGCTCAGAATCTATTTATGGGAGGAATGAATGGCTGGAACCCAGATCTGCCCTGTAGATGGCAATCAGAAGCCCATGGCATGCACACCCTGGCTCCTGCCCCACACAACCTCATCTCCTCGCCTCCCGCCACACCGCTGAGCTGGCTGGGAACGTGTGCTCGGGACAAGGCTCGGGGGGTCCTCATCACCTGGCTGCTCACCTACGGCTGCCCTTTCCACACTGCTGTCTGGCTTCTGACACCCCGACTGAAGCTCCCCCCTGGAGGCCGAGCTGCTGGGTGCCGGGGGCTGGCTGGCACAGGCCGCCTCGCCGGGCCCTCACGCTGTCAGGCCCCTGGCTGGGCTCAGCCTCTGGACCTCCTGGGACCACCAGGGGAGAGTGATGGGGGTGTCACAGCTACAGCATTTTGCTGAGGGGCCGGGAACTCCGTCTCCAGCTGTAGCTTCTGTTGGAAGGTGGTCCCCTTCTTGAGCCCTGCCCTGGTCCCTACAGACACAGGCTCAAGACTGCATTCCTGTCCTTGCTGCCCAGGTAGATGCCCTGCCTGTTTACAGGAAGCGTGGAGTTGCCTGCTGCCTTCATCTGCAGATGGTCTCTCCCAGGCCACCTGGATGCCATCTGCTTCTTGCTAGGACCCTAGAAATGCAGCCCCTTGACCCTGAGGTCCCCACTCTCGGTGCACGGCACCCTGTGAGAGGACACTGTCTCAGCTTCCTTCCCAAACCACACACAAACCCTGCCACCCACACCTCCAGAGTGGCCAGTCTGTGCACCGTGCTTGGCCAGCACTGCCTCCCAAATCCCCACCTGCAGTTCTCCACGGGGCGTTGCCCTGGAAGCCTGTGTGACCTCTGCTCCCTCCTGTGTGCATTTAGAATGAAAGCAGAGCATCTGGGCCCATCTACATGCCCTTGTGCCACCCTGGGGTCACAGTCCTTCCTCCAGGGGACCCTCCTGCCACAGCCACTTTGTGCTCTTCCCCAGAAGTGTATGAGCTCTGACGCCACACACCCTGGGTGCCCTGCCTCCCAGCCCCCATTCCCTCTGCCCAGCCAGAGCCCCCTCAGGACTCCTCAGGCTGCTCTCCCAGGCACCTGCCAGCGGCCCCTGCACACCAGGTGTCAGGTGCTCCCATGCCCTGTGGCACACAGACCTGCCACACTGTGTCCTTCCTCCCTGGTGCTCATTGACAGTGCCTTATCTGTCCACCCCTCTATAAACTAGTGCCTCCACCCCGGCCAGAGCAGGTGTCCCTGGGAGGAGACAGCCTGTCCACTGTTGTTTCCCTTTCTGATGGACATGTGGCCCTGACTCACTCAGCCGGAGCTCCCAACAGGCAGCCTACTGTCCGCTGGAGTTCTAACCACCCTCCCTCTTGCCCAGGGAGAGTGAGCAGCAGTCCAGCTGCTGGGGATTCTGCTCAGAGGACTGGACGAGTATTGCTAAAAGCTTAGAGCAGACACATTTATTCATCTTCCATTTAAGATGAATCTCCCTTTTTTCCAGGTTGAGTTCAAGACAGTGAAAAGCAAGACTTTTGATGGTGTTCTCTGTCACACAGCAGGTGGCAATTAGGAATCTCTATGGAGAGGAGTCCCCTCTGGTGCCATTTCAGAGCACATGGCTGGTGGGGGTGTGCGCTGCTGTCCCCCCGGGGGTGTGGGCGCTGAGGGCAGGGGGGCAGGAGGTCCTGCTGGGTGCGGCAGAGCAGAACTGCCAGCTGCATCTGCACATCGGGAGCCCAGCTCACGTTCCCTCTTAATAGATGACAATGACATCACCATCACGAAAACCTGGGTGGGAATCAGCTGAGAAAAGGGAAATAATGTGGCATGTATCGCACAGATGTTTTTGAGCAGCGGGGGGAGAGTAGAGGAGAAAAAATGATAAGCAGACAGTTCAAGGTTCAGGCGGGTGTAATCGTGCCTGTGAGCTGAGCCGTTGGGAGCGGCAGTGGACGCCTGCCTCCTGGTGGCCGTTGGAGCTGACCTCACAGGCGGCGGCCAGGGGAACAGCACCCGAGGCGGAGTGCCGCCCGCCTCACCCGCGGGAGGGAGGGGTCCGGCGGCTGAGTAAAGAACAGGGAGGTGCGTGGCCCTCCCGGGAGACACTCCTGGGCCCCAGAGAACCAGGCTGGCCCTGCGCAGCTGCAGTTCCGAGCCAAACGCCGCGCAGTACAGAAACAAACAGCGTGGCTGCGTCCTGACACGACTTCATCTGTGGACATTGAATCTGAGTCTCATACAATCATCATGCATCACAAATATGACTGTTCTTGGTTTAACCAGGTCAGGTAACTTGGAGGGTTAGTAACTGGCCCCAAATACTCCCCTCTGACCAGCCTCCCAGGGGAGTCCTGCTCCGAGCAGGAAGGGGAATTATCACAGCGTGGGGAGCCCAGGACTTGTCGACCCCCCAGGAGTGAATCCTGCCCAGGCACGTGTCCCAGAGGCTCCTGGGGGAGGTGATCGGGGAGGGCAGAGAGGCCAGCTGGGCCTGACCCTTGGGGGCACGTCCTGTGGCCAGCATCCCCTCCACCCAGAGGCCCTGTACCCACCAGCACAAGCCCAGCCTCCCCACAGGCTGCCAGACCCCCAGGTGCCAGATGCAGGGATGCCATTTCTGGTCTAGTCCCTGGCCCCACCATCCCCATGTGCCTGCCCAGATTTGGTTTCTTATAAATAACGGGGCCTGGCTGTTCCCTTCTTCATGCAGAAGGCCATGCCAGGCCTGCAGTGTCTGATCTGCTGTGCCCCTGGGAGTTTCCTTGTGATGGCACCACTGGACGAGTTCCCAGGGCCCAGGTGCTAAGAAGCAGGGCTGTTCCCACACAGCCTGGACTTGGGGCCACATGCTGGCCTGTTGGGGGGGCACCCTGCCACCCCTCACAGAGCTGTCTGTCCTCCCCGCAGCCTGAGAGCCCCCAGGCCCAGCTGGGTGGGCACTCCTGCAGAGCCCTGGCCATGGCCACATCCCGCTTGGGCAACCCCGGGGCCCAGGGAGGTGGGAGCGAGGCAGGGGTGTGGGGGGCCCACCTTGCTTTTTTCCTGCTGCAGCTCTATCTGGATGTCAGTGAGCTTGGCCCGCAGCTCCTCATTAGCGGCCTGCAGCGCGGCAAGGACCTCCGCCTTGTCCCCCTTGCCTCGGCCACCCATGCCCTTCTTGGCCATGGTGGGGTGCCCCGCAGGCCACTGTCTGGGCTGGGCTGTGTACGCCAAGCTCGGCAGGTGTCACCTCCTTGCGGCTCCGCTACATGTTCTCACCTGTGGAGGAAGCACAGCTGGGTGAGTGGACGGCACCCAGCCAGCACTGGGAACTGGGGCTGGGTGGGTGGGGGCTATTCTCTCCCCAGTCTAAGGGCGACCGCACTGTGTCACTGGCCCCCAGCTGCAGAAGCTGGTGCTCTCTGTACACGTCCCCATGCCCAGCACACAACAAACACTCAATACATGTTTATTCTTTGCCTTTCTGGAACTAGAGAGCTGGGGCCCCAACGTTAAGGCCCGAATTTCACATGAAGCTTTCATACACATACAGGTCACGGTGTGACGGTCTGATGGCAACGGGGGGTGTGAACCGGGAACTTCTCAGGCTGGCCTGTTGGGGGGCACCCTGCCACCCCTCGAGAGCTGTCTGTCCTCCCCAGTGCCCTGCAGTGGAGGTCAGGCCTGGGGCCTCCAGGGACCCGCGAGCCCCACGGGAGGACAGGCACGCAGTGTGACTGAGCGGCCTGCACGCGCCAGCACACACACTCAGCCCCGAGACCCGCCCTGGGCCGCTCTTTGTCCCCCAGTCCTGAGTGCTGGCCCCCTGCAGCCCCCCTCAGCTGGGGACTGTGTTCCATTCCTGCGTGTCCCAGCTCCCAGCACCCCATGCGGCCAGTGGGAGAACCACCAGCCGTGCAGGCCAGGTGGGGCCCGGGCTGGGGAGCAGGGGGCAGGCTCCACAGTGCTGCCTGGGGGACCCCGTGCCTCGGCCTCATCTCCTCCACCAAAGGGATTCCAGGGTGCCCTGTTCCCCAAGGCCTCCATCCCATACTTCACATGCCCTGGAGCCTCGTCCACAGATGTGACCCAAGCCACAGAGGCACCCTGTGCCCCCAGGTAGCTGCCCCAGCTGACACGCCTGAGAAGGTGCCTCTCCAACTTGGACATCAGGTCAGAGCCCAGCTTTCAAAGTGTGCAGAGGGGCTGGAGGGGCTGGACCACAGGCTGGGCATTGTCACTTTCAGGGGAAACACTTGGGCCGAGTCCTCAGGGCCTTTCTCCTCCTCCCTCTGATACTGAGTGGGGAGGAAGCTGCAGAATGGGGGGGGGCAGTGGGGGGACACTGGGAGGCTGCCACGTGGTCGGGCTGGGGTGGAGAGTGAGCAGGGAGTCTGGGAGGGTGGCTGCCTTTCAAGGATGAGGAACAGCAAAAACAGGAGAGAAGACCCCAGAAAATGGTTTGCAGCACACCAGCAACGGACCACCCTTGGTGGCAGCAGCTACTGAGATGATCTGAACGGCCCAGCCCTGATTACAGGCCGCAGGCTGCGGGAGCTCGATGCCCAGGCAGCTGACCCCCCTCACCTCCCTGCTTGCGGTCCTGTGAACACCCAGGGAGGTGGAGAACGCACCCGCAATGACACTGTCCCGCTTTCCCGTGTCCGCAGGCAGCCTGCTGGGGACCGTGGGCCCTGCCCTCTGCACCCTGGGGCCTCTGGCTCCTGCCCCTAAGGGCAGAGCCATGTGCTCTGGCTCATGCTGCGCCCGCCAAGCCCCGTCCCTGCACCCTCTTAGAGTCTCCCCTCGGCTTGTGGTGAGGGTGCCGGGCGTTTGGGAAAAGGGAAATAAAATGTGGCCGACGGGAGGGCTGTCTTCTACCCACTGCTGCTCTTGGAAATGGATGCAACAGCTTTAGGAGAAGAATTGTTTCAAGGGTCCTGGATGCTAACATATGCTGGTCCCACAGCCCAGCCCGCCGGCTAGTTTGTGGCATCTGACGGTTACTTTTTGGACAGGCTCATTGATGTCCAGTGGTAGGTTTCCATCAAGGGAGGGGCCTAGGTGGGGCAGGGACCAGGAAGCAGGGAGCTCTGAGACTCATTTTTTAAAAAAATGCTCTGCTATAACTTTATTTACTGTTGTTCCAGAAGTAAGACCTATTCATCATAGGAAAAATTAGAAGATTCAGGTTAGCAAAAAGCATAAAATTCAGTCATCATCACATCTCTTCAAATTAATTACTATTATGTCCACAGAGTTGTAAATTCTTCAATACATTTATAAAAACAGTATTATGCAGTACGTAGTTTAATCTGCTTATTTTGTTCAGTAACATATTGAACCTTATGATAAATAGATTTTTTTTGTATCATTAATCTACAATTACAGAAAGAACATTATGTTTACTAGGTTCCCCCCTTCACCAAGTCCCGCCCCCCACCAGTCTTCACAGTAACTGTCCATCTGTGTAATAAGATGCTGTAAAATCACTACTTGTCTTCTCTGTGTTGCGCAGCCCTCCC